ATAAAAAAATGGAAATTAGAAATTAATTGAAAATGAATAGTGATTAAATTTTTTTAAATGTTTCATTTCCTACTGTTTTGTTATAATAATAATATCTATTCTGAAGTTTATAAAGTCTTCTAAGAATCTGTTTTTATCTGAAAAAAAAATAGTCAGAAAAACATTTCAAAAGACTCTTTATTATTTATCATTTAAAAATGTTTAAGTGAAAAGTTAAGAGGCAGTTAATAGTAGATAAGTATTTTACATATTTTATAAATTCAAATAGTAGGGATCGTAATAGGGAGAAGTATGATAAAGGGCTAAGTGATGACATCAGGATCATGCAGGTGATCATTGGCGCGTGGCAGTCAAATTACACGCACCATGAAATGTATGGGACTTTTATTGCACATGACTTGTTATAAATTAAAATTGCTGTGCGATAATAGCCCACTCTAATACTAAATTATTTACGTGCAGGTCCCACAATTTGTAACAATTTATAAGAAATACTTACTTAAAAAATGTCACGAATGTTAAGTAATTCTTTTAATAAAACTAATAAAAAATATTATGCACGTAAAAAAGAAAAAAAAAATAGAAGAAACAAAATTGATGACTGATACTGAGTGAAAATTGCATCGAATTGTGAGGCTAAATAAAATTTATTCGAACCTCTCGTGACACTGAACCATTAGAAGATCGTTTATATGTATAGCTAAACTCTACTGTAGATTATTAATTTGATAATCGATGTCTCTGCATTTGAACTTTGCAATGTTTCTATTAATTGACTTTCCTCTGACGAGAATAATAATTTCTACTGTCTTAAGATCCAACCAAAATCACTCCAAATCAAAATCTTTCAATAAAAAATAATTATTTTAAATAAATATAATTTTGTTGTTGTAATAATAATAATTAGAAGTGATGTAAATTTATTTATTTATTTAATCAGAAATGCTAAGAGTGAAACCATATGTAAATTTGTTGTAATAAAAAGACTTAAATACATGTGTACATAGTGTAGTTGGTATGTAAATAGAGTCTGAATTTTCAGTAAGAAAATAAGGGGTGTGTTTAGCTGCGCACTAAACGATTTCAACCCCTGTCTCGTTTATTTAAGCACCGCCCCTTCAAAACTGTTGTTGGTAACATCGTTCAACCATTCGCTGTTGACCGATTTGCTATACATTTGTTTAATCCAGTAGATTTGGTTCAACACAACGTTTTACCGCATGGACATTAAGTCGTGTCCACGAGTTTTCCATACAGAGATACTTTCTACGGATTAATCTTGTAGTATTTAATTCTTATCAACTTGATCCAGTCAGTACAGATACATTAGTGCGAGTGAAAATAGATATTAAGTTGATTGAAATATTTTCATCAGTGTTTAAAATAAGATTAGAGTAAGGGTATCCCATTCATAAAAGTATTTTGTTCGATAAGTGTATAATTGCAGCCATGAATGCAATAGCAAGATCAATAAAATAAATATGCAATGTTGGATTAACTCTTAAGATATTTAAAGATGTAGTGGAAAGTATTAAAGTTTGGATAAGCAAGACTGGTTTATTTCTAAATTTATTTGAATTATTTTATTCTGTCATGGAATTTACGTGGGTTGTTCAACAACATCAGTCTAACGATCCAATTCAAGGTAACAGAAATCGTTCAGGTAATACTGATCAAGAAGAGTCTTCAGCAATTGGTCATTCTGCTGCTAGAAGACTACTTACCATTACAGGTGAATTTTTATCATCCAATTCAGCCATTTAAATATTAATATCATGATGATAGTCTTCATTTGCATTTTGATGACTATGATGATGATGCTGATAACAATAATAGTGTTGATAAGTTGAATGGAAATATGATACAAGTAATATACAAAAGATCTTGGGTGTTGATAGCTGTGCTATTTAGCACACTTCAATTATACATCATAATGATCTACATCTAAACAAGTTGCATACATTTTAAATAAGTGTATACTTGTGTTGGATATTTTCACTGTCTCTCTATGTATAGATACAGAAAGACGCAACACCTGACGTACTACCCTTGTGTAACCTGACCAATTACCATAATCGTTTTGTTCATGATCAGGTTAATCGTTTCAACTAAGGGTAATAGACAAGAGGGTTTAACAAAACAGCTGCCACCCTCTCATGTCTAAAACGATATACAAAATATCAAATAAATACTTTTTACAGCATATTATTTTGCTTGATTAACTCAAAACATTTGAATACATTCACTTCCGGTGAATATATACTTCAATTATTCTTTTAACAAATTTGCAGCTGTATCAGTCATGCAAGAAGATTGATAGGATTTTTTGTTTTTTTATTTATGGAAAAAGATTTAAATAAAAAGAAAAAAACTTATCCAAGAATTTTCAAATTCAAGAAATTATATATGATTTTGTATTTAAAAAAATTCCTTTGTTTTTTTTTTTTTTAAACAAATGTATTATCGCAAACGTGCTCAATCATGATATTTGATAAACACTGATGGTCTTTGAAGATGTAGGAAGTATTCTAACAAGTATCCAAATAGGAAGAAGGAATGATAGGTCAAAAGACTGTTGTAATAACATTCTATTTAGAGTCTAAAAGTGAAAGTTTCAACATCTTTTTTCTCATCTCTTTATTTGCTAATATAATTTAATTAAATTAAATTATAACTATATTTAATCTTGATTAAATATGATACATTATTATCATTTTTGAATGTCTTTTTACATTGTAGTCTATGATGCTTCAACATAATCCTGAAACTTATCTTTCTTTATAATTATCATTGCTGATAATTGAGAAAAAAAAATTAATTTCCATCCATTGTAATACAGGTTGATAAATTTAACGAGTTTTTAACATTAACAATCAACATTGTTACGCAAATCTCGCGTGAGAAAGATGTTCTTGGTGATGTTGATGGATATTCCGGGAAAGTCAGTGTTAGCCTTCTACACAAAGTATGGAATGTCACATTTACAATATGAAAAATTAACCATGTAGTTGTGATTTATATGTATATTATAATACATTTCAAAAATAATTACATTATTCTCAAGGTTTTTTTCTTCAATTTACCTATAATTGGAGTTTAAATAATCAAATGTAACACAAGATTTTCTGAATGTGAAAAATGTTAACATATACAGCATTCAAATAAATAGAAATAAAATCAAATCCATTTGCAAATGGTAGAAAATTGAATTTTACAGGATGATGTATATAGTAAAAAGCTGATTTATAAATTCAGAGTGATGTTATTGGATCTTGAAGGTCCGCGAGAATATTGTTTGGTCGATAAGAGACCACGACCAAAGTTAGCAACGCCTTATAAACCAACCCCTCTTTAGCATTACAATTTTTATTTTTCCTCTTTCTTTTTTCTTTTAATTGGTATAATTCAGCTCTGATGACATGCCAAGTTTGATAAGAAAAAAGCTGCTTTTTCCGTCTACAAAAATGAAAAAGAAAAAAAAAAGACAAATCTTGTATTCGTATCAAGAATTGTGGAGTCTAAAAATAATATATCATCAAGAGAAACGTGCACATGTAGGTGAAAGATTTTGCTGTATATGTACTTGACTGGATAAAACATCCAAGCATTTGTACTGACCGGAAGTAACGAGTTGTGACATTTGAATCGCTCGATTAAACTCTTAAGAGAAGTCCAAGGTGCGCAAGATACACTCAACAAAATATACATGCATCAAGTGAATTACTTTTTTTTTGTTCTTATCTACATTTTCTTCTTTTTGTTTAATCTCTATTAACTTTTTCCTAAATTACTCTCATACAGCAATATCGAAAGCATAAATAGTTTCCTTTCCGTGAAGAATTTCTAATCATATTTGTTCGTTATCATTAGTCAACTTTCACTCCTGGTGTATATTCACCAAATAAATAGGTGCTCTATTTATCATTCCTAACTATAATTAATATTGACATATTTTAGCAAATAAATATAATCTAATATATATTTATTAATATTAATGTATCAATTGACTTGATTTTATTCTTGCTCACTTTTAACACAATAACCATATTTATGAGGTCATAATTGTGTTATATAAGTGTATTTATATTCTTCTGTTTCCAACATGTACAAGTACCTGCTGAAGAATTCTTCAGAGTTCTCTATATACCATTCACAAGACCTTTAATGCAAAGAAGAGAAAGAAACCCAAGCTAAACCATTACAATCAACTCAGCATATATTACTGTGGTAGAGTTGCATTTTTCCATGTGCTGTGATTATTCTTTTAAAAAGACTAAAAAATAGCTGAATGTCAGTTGAGAATATTCATTGTATATTGATTAATGAAATTTGTAAAATAAATTCTAGGATCAATTAACCCAAAGCAAAGTTAGGGATCCATTTCTTGACTTATTGAATTCTATAAGTTAAGACTTGACCTGAGTGACTTTCAACTGAGTTGTAGAAATTTCATGCACTTGCGTAGCTTCATTTCGAAAGTCATTCTCATTCTCTATTGTCATTTCTCACAGTATTTTCTATGTTTTGGAAATACTTCAAATTAGGATCACAGTTATCAGGTTGGATTACATCATGATGATGTGAAGCTTATTTCCCAAGAGTTTTATAAGTAAAAAAAAAATGAATCTTTAAAGTTGCTGTATGATTAAATCAGATAGTTTTGTTTTATTTTATGAATCATGATAGGTTTGAAATTTCTGAATCTAGAGCAATGGACTATGTTGATTCACTTGAATTGTTATGAAGGATATACACACTGGTAGTAATAAATAAATAAAATGTTTTATTTTATTGAGTAGGTGTACATCTTCATTGTGTGTCAGTTGTAATTATTCTAAAATAAACACTTTCAAGGACAGACGATTAATCCATCTAGAAAATGTGAGACATTGATGAAATCTTGAGATAAATAGAGATTTTTCTTAAACCATTTATCATTATAGTATATTTTAATTTAAATTATCAGAGTTGGTGTTGAATAATTGATTAATTTTTTTCAGGAAGGAGCGACTTCGTAGGGGGAATCGATAATGAAGCATTGGATTTTTCTCAACTTGAAGATTTCATCAATAGTGACAGTCCACAACCTGCAACGTAAGTTTTCTAATAAATATAATTAAACGAAAATTGCTCCACAAAAGTTGTTTGTCAAGTGATCTACTTAATACAATGAAGATCTGCTTCCGGTGTTAATCATAGCTGTACTAAATGTGTAATCTCAAAGCTTGATAGTGTCGGTAGTTGATGAAACTTAATTCAGTTAAGTGCACTAAATATATGTAAGTGAATAGAGAAAACGAGAAGGATAGAAAAATAATTAAAAATTGTATAAAAGTTAGTAGATAGAGATTAGAGTTGGACTACTGGGACTGAGTAATAATAGCATAATGACAGAAACAGACTGGACAAAATTGATGGAATCAGTGCAATAGCACATTAGAGACAGTAATTTAGTCTCGTACCTACTTAAGGGTACCGCGAGCACGGCATGTATTGTGTATAACAGGTTTTAAAATGAGGGCTCGTGCCACAAGATCTATTTTCTCATTGAGTTGCTATCATTGACTTTATATTCCATAATTTTACTCTTCCAATTTATGCAGAGAAAAAACATCATACCCACATGTCGAGTATTCATACCATCATCTAAATAGATAAAAATATTTTGATATTTTTTCAATTGTCTTCTCTCACCCTCCCCTCATTTTATTCTTTTTGTCACGTTGAAAAAATGTCCAAGTACTATACTGGTAATAACGTCATTATTGAACATTATGCCACGGCAAGCGATAGTGATATCTGTGTTTTATAAACTCTGGTATGCCTGGTTCACCTATCGGTGACTTTTATTGCTATACGAATGAGAGGAAAAATAAATATACGTTTAAAAGCACCAAGTGGCCAATGGCCAAAGGTCGAGGTTTGCTGACTACGGGATAATTTATCGGTTAATCAATGTTGTGTATGTTTTACTTTTCTCTTCTACATATTGATAAATAACATAACATTTAAATTAAACTCATAAACTCTACTGTCAAATTCAATTTTCTATTTAAGGTACTTTGCTGATACCCTTGCACATAATGAAACCAATGGCACGGCTAATCACAGTGGACGAATGGAGACCTCGACGAGTCAGCAGCCTCCTGCGAGATTGCCCTCACCGATCACCCAGAATCATCCAGTACAATCTGCTTGCTCCACTGGAGCAACTACTATTCCACCAAGTACGGCGTATAAGGATCCGCAGACCTACGTTCTTCCGTAAATGTCTTATTTAGCCATTTTTATATCAATGAGTTTTATTATTTACTCCAATTTATTTGTTACATTATTTTCAGACATGCATTACCCGAAAGTCCACCAGACAGTGGAAGTGAACCCCCTTACTCACCACCTGGACATCATGAATCCTCTCAGCATGTTCATTCACCACGTAATTATTGATTTTATTTATTAATTAAATGTTAAAAGGTGTTGATGCTTATTTTTGTATAATTATTTTTAGATCAAAAAGCAGCGCTACAAGAAATCCTCCTTCATCATCAAGGAAACACTCCTAACTATACGTCGAATCTCTTGCCATCATCACCTAGAACCTTAGTAACATCAGCAGACCCTCTTTTAGGGTTGACACATCCAGTTTTAACACCTTTATTGACGCCTGCGACACAAAATTTATCTGCTCAACAATCTCTAGGATCGTCGCAAGTTTCACTTCCTGCACACGAGCATAATCCTAACAATGGCATTACAACTCTCTATCCATCGCTACAATCTGCTTCAAAAAAACGTAAACATAGTCAAGATGGTCTAATTCACGTAAAACAAGAGCCAGAGTTGGGGAATGTTGAGCATAGCTGCAGTAGTAGCAGTGCAGTACTTGATAATGATGAGGTCAATGGAGAAAATTCGTACATTGATGCTAGTTACCAGTGTATTAGATTTCATCCATTCCAACAAACCTCATGGCATACACTTTGTGATCATAATCTTAAGGAATTGCCGACGCCACATTATAGAGTAGATGCTGATAAAGGATTCAATTTTAGTAATTCTGATGATGCTTTTGTATGTCAAAAGAAAAATCATTTTCAAATAACTTGTCATGCTCAACTACAAGGCGAAGCGGTTTTTGTTAGAACTGGAGAAGGCCTGAAGAAAATCAGTAGCTTCCAACTACATTTCTATGGCGTGAAAGTTGAGTCACCAACTCAAACTATTCGAGTTGAACAAAGTCAAAGTGATAGGAGTAAAAAGCCGTTTCATCCTGTTGTGTAAGTATAATCAGCTTTTTATAATTAGAATTATTTATAAATCTAATTGACTCATGTAATTATTTATTCATTAATTGATGAATAAATTATTTGTTACTTAATGATACTGTAATAATCAAAGTAGTATGTTTTAAGTACTTGATTATTGAACTAAATTGTTGCAGAGCTAATTAACCACATGACAGTATTGCATTTACACTAATTTAGAGCGGGTTTCAGGGTGGAGCTCGGCGGTGAACGAGTTACAAAGGTGACAGTAGGACGTCTCCATTTCAGCGAAACGACAAGTAACAACATGCGAAAGAAAGGCAAACCTAATCCAGATCAAAGGTATTTTCATCTCGTAGTTGGACTTCATGCACATACAGCTGATCAATTGAGTTATCAAGTAGTTGCTCATGCAAGTGAGAGAATAATTGTTAGAGCGAGCAATCCTGGTCAATTCGAGTCAGAAGGTACAGGAATTGGTACTGAAAGTGGATGGCAAAGAGGTGCTGCACCTGATACAGTCTATCATGCTGGAAGAGTTGGAATCAATACCGATAGGCCTGACGAAGCATTAGTAGTTCATGGAAATATGAAAGTTACCGGACACATTGTCCAACCAAGTGATGCAAGAGCTAAACAAAATATTCAGGAAGTGGACACGCGAGAGCAGTTACGGAATGTCCAACAATTGAGAGTTGTAAAATACAAATATGCGCCAGAATTTGCGCTCTATTCAGGTCTCGAAATTAAAACTCAAGAAGACACTGGAGTTATAGCTCAAGAAGTTCAACAAATTTTGCCTGAGGCTGTTTTGCCAGCGGGCGATATTGTCCTTCCAAATGGCCAGAGAATTGAAAACTTTCTTGTGGTTAATAAAGAAAGGATATTCATGGAGAATGTTGGAGCTGTCAAAGAACTTTGTAAGGTGACAGACAGCTTAGAAACAAGAATAGACCAGTTGGAGAGGATTAATAAACGACTGACAAAATTAAAACGTGGTGATAGTTTGAAGAGTTCTGTAAGTACAGTCTCAAGCATAGCCAGCAATAAATATTCATCATCAGCTAAAGCAAATAATTCTTTTCCTCATAGAAAAAGAGACAGAGATGATGATTTATTGTGCAGTAATAAATTTATTCAAGTTATAATAGTTATTTTAATTTTAATTATGGCTTTTTGTCTTGTCGCAATGGCGACATTGTATTTTCTGGAATATCAAAAACGTAATAATTTAGACTGGTCAGCTGTTGCAGCCGCTGGCGGAGTGCTTGCCAAAGGATCAGCACCAACAATTCCTACAACAATATTGACATATGATTCAAGATCTAACTTATTACTTCATAGTACTATTTCACCTTCACAGTACACTCGACAAGAGTTGTTTACCAAGAATTTAGGAGGACAATTTACCTCGATAAAAGATAATTTGCTTTCAACAAGTACTCCTAATACGAAACAACAATTATACTCTCAAGAAATCACGTCGTGGTATCCGTTTGGGCATTCAGCTTCTCAGTCTGCTAAATCAGATAAAAATAACGAGTTTCAGAGTAACTGGTTGAGTAGACATGGTGCTGGAGGTGCGGTACCAAGTAATGTCGATGAAAATGATCAAAATGGAGATGTAGATCCACTTTTATTATCAAACAAAGGTCCAATCCCGTTAGGAAGACCTGCTGAATGTCCGACAAGTTACACAGAACTTGAAAATCCTTGCCAAGTATACTGTTGTACTTCAGAGATGCATCAACTTGAAGAGCCTCATCCTGAACATCCACCTGAAAAAAAATCAGTGTCAATACATTTAGATCAGCCACTAGTTTTGCAACATGAAGAGAAACGAAAGTTAAGTAAAAACATGCAGAATGGAATAAGTCCTGCTGATTCGAGTACTCAAACTCTTATAAAGGATACTCATTTTAAATATTTACCTAAAAGAAGTCGAAGAGAAGCAGGAAGTGGTGTTTGGGGTGAAGTAGCAAGTAACGCAGCGGGTTCTTTACCACCTGAACCGAAACCACAACTCTACATTATCGCCAAAAGCTTTAATACAACTCTAGACCACAGATATTGCTCGGTTACATCTCTTAATACGCCTAATAACTTTAGTTGCGTGATTCCGTTGTCTAAGCATATGCCAGACAAGCATTTAACACTTCAATTTGTGGGTATGCCGTGGTATTGGCAAATTGTTCAACATTGTCCGTTAAGTACTTCTTCAAACAATGCAGCTGTTGATGAAATCATTGCTTGTGGATGGGAATACACGATGGACCAACGACAATCATATATGGAAAATACTTATCAGCCTGCTGGAAGCCAATCCTTCCCTCTGGATGTTGCCTTTTATTTGAGAAAAACATTAAAATTCCGAGTGCCTACTGTACAACCTAACGAGGTAAATAAATAGTTATATAAAACTATTTGTATTATTATTTAACTTAATTGTTAAATTTTTTAAATGTATCTTTGTTGTAGAATATTTGCCGAAACAATCATGCCGGTGATTTTCTTGAATTCACTTTGCATTTTTATCGTGATTGTGATGGATGAAGCAACTGGAATTCAAGGAGCTCAAGCCATTTTCCAGTTTTATCCATACTAATTGCAGGATTTTTGCATCTTAAGTATTAATTCGATCTAAAAATGATCTTTTTAAACATATGAACAGTGGAACTGTTCTCATGTTTTAATTGAGTAGAACTTGAGAGATTTGTAACGTAAAAAATAGATACTTCTGACTATGCAGGCAATGTTTTATACATGTATTTTATAAATAAAAAAAATATAAAAAATGAGAACCATACAATAGTTGATGGTTTAATAAATATTAAACGCACACATTGGTGTGAACTTGAATTTGTATTTATGCAAGTATTGATGAATATCAGTGATCATGCAATTTTTTGAGCCTCATTTGTAAGATCTGATAAAATTTACGTAATCAATTGTTCTCATGCTATCATATAATGATAGATCAAATTAAGTAATTTAAAATCAATGGAATGATGAAGGAACTAATCATACTCATAAAGTCTTTCGATAAATAATAGAATTTCAGGCACATGACATGTAGTAGCTAATATCATTTTAAAAAATATAATTCTATTATATCTCAATTTAATTAAAAATTTTAGATTAAATACTTTTATCGATATTATTATTAGTATAACTTATTATTGTAATAATCAGAGACATTTGTATATTTTTCACGACTATATACTTTCTTATTTGTATATCATGATATCTTCAAGTTATTTTCAATTTACATATTACTTAAGTTAAATATTTATAAATAATAATACTGTAGGCTTGATGTATCTGCTTATTATTAATTGATTTTACATCAAAAGATTTTTTTTTTCTGTAAAATATTATTTTAATAAAATACAGAAAATTTTAAGAAAACTTTCTTTTAAATCACAATGAAATAAATTTTAAAAGATTAATATAAAAAAGTAGATAATTTTGCAAAATAGCTGTTTAAATTTAATTATTGCTTTAAATTGTAAATTTTTTTCCAATATTTTTAATGAAAAATTGACATTTTTTATCCAAATAATTTTAATTAATCAGAAATGAATAACTGATTAAATACTTCTTTTATTGATACAATAAACATAATTGCAATGCAATAAGTCATAGATTATAGTGAAGTGTATATATACATTATAATAAAATTCTATTACAAAGTATTGTTAGTATAATATTAAAAATAATAATAAGGTTTACTATCACAAACAAACTGAAATAATTTTTTTGGTAAACAACCATATTTTAAGTAAATATTCCTGATATTTATTAAAGAATGTTGTATTATCTTTGATAAAAATCGATTAATATTTAATTGATTATATTTATCTGTGTAAGAAATTTTTTAAGAGGTGCAATAATGACAGAAAATAATGATACAAAAAAAAAGTACTCTTGTACTTGGAGAAAACCCTCCACTTGTTATAAATAATATATTTACTGGAATTTCAAATTTTAAAGTTATTATATGCACCCTAAAATTTATTAGCTCATTTGGAGTAATTACCATTTAAATCCTCATTAACAGTAATTGCTCTAATTATATCTTTTAATCATTTAGATGTAATTAATTATCGTAATAAGAAATTGGCAGTGATAATTTTAAAGTAGGATTAAATTTTTAATTTGTAATTTACCAGCCTAACGTAAATAAATGTAGATCTTACTTAGGCCACTAATATTTCGCTAGTCCTTAATAATAATTGTTTCAAGGCAAATTTTAACAAGTGATTTATAAACTCTTCATTGAAGTCCTAATATCATATTTCAGTGCCTTGTAAAACGAATTCGATAATTGGTATAATTGTATATTTGATCACAAATTTCTGTAAATGTATTATGTATTACATATTTATTAACATATCATAAATCATAAATTATAATATTACAAATTAATGGTAGAATTAAAGCATCCATTAGCCTATAAAAAATTGGTGTTTTTTACTCACCTTTATTCATTGATCATCAAAATCCAGTAAATCTACAACGTCCTCTACCTCAAATGTGAATATTTTATTAAATTTAATTATTCTATAGATCTCGACAAGAAATGAAAAATTAAATTTCATTTAATTCGAAGATTTATTAACAAATTTTTATGATATTATAATCACTTAATTGTTAATTCGATCACAGAAATAAATATGGAACATTCATACAAACAGCATATTTTTCAATTTAACAATAATAATATTTTTTACACTGTCTGATTTTAAAAAGTGATGGACTTTTTAGCATAAATTTTTAATCATTATTATGATTGACATATGCTCGATTGCGTATAGACTTCTATTGACATTTTTACTTTTCATTGGTTGGACATGAAATTAATTTAAGAGATTAAAAAAATATAGTAATGTAATAAATATGATAGTTTATCGAAGGAAACAATACTTGAATACTTAAACACAAATAATTAACAAAGATATGTACGTATGTTTTACAATACAAATTTCAATGCATCATCTTAAGTAAATTAAATTCGAATACAAATAAAAAAAAATCTAAATAAATAGTATACATAAACGTCAGTAAAGTTTATAAAAAAATACCACATATAACGATTGTAAATTTACACTATTTGGTTCGCTCTCGATGATATTTATAGAGATATTATTGACCTATTTATTTTATACGCAGTGCAGAACGGAACAAATGGACGAATCGTCTACTAATGATAAACCGCTCATCGATTACTATAATAATATATTCATTTTCACTATTATTCGCAAGTATGAAATAGTCTATTCAATCACATTGGTTTCCCAATATTCCCAGGAATCAACCGAATTATTTCCCGAAAAATATTTCTCCAAATTCATTAACTATAATTAGTGTTTAATTTCCACCTAAAGCTCGACTAAGCATGACAATGAATAATACTCTATATTTGTGTTTAGTCGTTGCTTGTAAAATCTAATTAATTGTCTTTTATTTCACTTGATTTTATACGGCATTACGCGTTATCCTTTCTTTTTTATTTTCCCGGTCACTCGTAGTTTCCTCTCGTACAGCTAAAACCATTCTTAACATAAGAACAGCTAGTAATTTATCCAGTGGATCCATGAATCCTCTTTGAATCCATTTTGGAATTGTTGTTCGTGCATGAGAAAATCCCAATTTTTGTAAAATATAATCTATTCCGTAAGGCTCAATACTTTTTCCAGCCCATGAAAGTAATCTATTAAACAAAGTTTAATATAAATATTCCAACTCTTATTTATGTTTGATTTTTTGTTTGTTGGTTTTTAATACATACCTCACAGTCGGTTCTAAATGCCATGTTTTGCACCTATATGATCGCCAATCTTTAATAAACATTTCGGCTGGATCGAATTGTTTTCGTTTTTTCTCTTCTTCAGAGATAGAGGTTGAAGGAATTGACGTAGAATTAGATGCTGGAGATTTATTTGTACTCCGTTTTTCCTGAGGATCGGGGCTATTGGTTCGCAAGCCTCCTGCATGCTAAGAAATAATTAACAATTCAATTAAGTGAAATCAAATAACATTCATTTCTAATAATGAATAATTCAGTGATAATAAACTTACTACTTTTTCCTTTTCATTGACGTAAGAAGTGATGAGATCATGTAAAAAGAAGAATGCTTCAGCATCCACGGTAACAAATATGTGATCTTCAAATTCAGTAATGAAACTGCATTCCACAAGCGGCTTCTCACCTAATAAAATTTATATAAAAATTGTATAATACCAGAATTTAAATAAAAATTAAATTGTATGGGTCTATAACATAATTATTGATATCAAAATAAAACTTAATCAGGCTGTCAAACAAATTTGGATCTAATATTCATGCAGTTTGAATAGAACAACTGGGATAAGAGTAACTTTAACTCCACTATCTACACTATATAATTATTTTTTATTGAAAAAAATAACCATTGGTTTTACCATTTGTTACTTTATGGTACTTACTATATAAAATATGTTTAGGCAGTCCTAAAAAATACACAGAGAAAGAGAATTGCAGTGTACTATAAAGATTTCTACTAAAGTAGCACTATGAGAGGAGATGAAATACTAGACTGATAGACCACATTAAGGAGAGCGCGTAAATAAATTTAATTATTTTTTAATGACGAAAAAAAAAAATTAAATTCCAATATCAGCGATAATAATTTTTTTAGTAATGAATACACAATAATACGAACGAATAAAAACAAAATATAATTGAAAGCGCTTGCATGAATCACCAGATTTATGAAAACCGGATAAATTGTTCGAAGATACCACATATATGATAGAAATGATTATAATACTTGGAGTAATTGAATAATAATTTATACGTACTTATGACATCTGGTGTTTTTGCTGTTTGTAAATGCTCAGTTTTTAAGTGTAACTGCAATGAAGGTAAAGCAAAAATAACTTCTCGTGTGTGAGTGTGCTCTTGAAGCTTGATAGAAGCTGATGATGTACTTCTGCCACGACTGTTCGTATTATTATCCGGTGGTACCTCTGATCGTTCTCTTTCGACACACGGAAACCGGTCAACAGCTAAAAAATATTATTAAATGAATTGTTTGTTTCTTTAAGATATATATCAAATTTATTCATACCATCAATTTCACTATTAGCAAAAGCATAATGGAACCACTCTTGAAGAGATTTAAATTGTGGTGGAAAGAGAACACTTCGGCTCAACTTGCAAACAGTAGCCATGGAATGATGTTTGGCATGTTGTTCTTGCTGTTGTTGACCAAGACTTATTGTGAGTGTTTGAACAACGTGAACATCACAAGTATTTGCAGATTCAACACTTGGTATTTCTTGTGCTTCGGTGGCAAAACTGATGCAAGGCTCTTTAAGAGAAAATAATGCCCAATTTTTACTTTTAAAATTAATTCCGTGAAAACAAGCAAGACTAATATTGCATCCATGTAATTCCATTGTTCCTCCAAGAACAGTACCATTACTGGGTAAAGAAAATTGTAGAGTGCCAAGCTGTAAACCTGCTACTTGTGTTAAAACTCGTTGCCAATGTCGATGATGTCTAGCATCAGATATAGCTGTTTGATTTAATGTCCAGGGCCCATCACTTGATTTCTTTTTCTGTTGTCTCTTTTTAAAACTATTGCTAGAGATAACTCTTTGATTTCGCGGTTGAAGAGAACTAAATACTCGTTTGCTACTTTTGAATTGTTGACTGAAGAATTCATCAAGTTTATAAAACATTTTAAGTAAGTCTGCAGTCGTTGATTTACTTATCATAATCTGTAACTGATCCCAACCAAGATCACCATGCATAAAAATAATCGCTGGTCTTCTTGTTGGCATAAAAGCATCATTATTATTAGTAGTTTGAGTATTAATTTTCCATTCATCTCGCAAAGTAACATCTAAAGAAGATACTCTTGTCATCAAAACACTTGTGCCCATGTAATCAAGCCGTAACTCTAATGCGAATAATTTTAAACCCAATGTATGATCCGGCTCAGTACCAGGTTCTTCACGAATATGAATGTATGTATCAATCTTACTTAACTCTATTGTTCCACCAACAAATCCACCTTTAGCATCTAGACTAGATCCACCTAAACCAATTCCAATAAATAAGTTTTTATGCCCTGTACTTCCTATTGATAATCTTCCATTTGAACGGAAGTCTTTGGTCATCCAAGCAACATTTCCCATCACATTGCCCATATTCATATGAACATTAAGTCGTGTAAAATTAATAGCAAAAAGCACCAATGTTTCCCAAGCGGATTCTCTCTTTTTCATTTCTGAAGTAGTGGCGTTTATTTTTTCTGAAGTAAAACTCCATCCTCGCCCAATGTCTTTTAATCGCATTTGTCTTGGCATTTCGCTATCAAAGCTCAGTCTTAATTTATCCCTCTGTAAAGTAGGACTGGGTTCTGGTGCACTTTTTGATAAAATATCTCCAGTCCCATAATGTCTATCATAATGTTTTAAAAGAGAGCTACCCATTACAGCTTCATCTTGACTGATCGGCTGTAAATTGTCATCACGACCATCAGAATATGAAAAACCCGGGTTTAAATCTCCAAGAAATAGCCTTCGTACGATACTACGACGATACCAGGCCTTAGGAAAAGCTAAAATTTCAGTTATTCTTCTCATATCATATTTAAATGATGCTGAACCGATGTCAACGATTGTTGAAAATCGTATAACTGCTTTACTAGCATCTGAAGTTACTCCTTTTTTAGATTGTTCACTTTGAAAATTAACTCTTCTACTTCTTGAGAGATGGAACTTAACAAATTCAACATTTATACTTAGTGAGTCTTTTCTTTCACTATCTGATAATGGTGACCACTGAGCCTCTTTTAAACTAGTTTTCTTTCCACCACCATAAGGATGGAATATATATACTGAAAAATCTGCAAGGCAACCTGTAACAGATACACCTCCAATTGCGGAACTTTCTTTTCCACTGGACGTTGATGAAGAAGCTCCTGGTGATTTAAAATCTCGAAATTCTGGAAGTTCTTCTTCCGCACGTTTGGATGAAAATACGATATCAAGTGAAGGGAGTTGAAGTAAACATTCAACTCGAGACACTGGTAAACAAGAGAATCTAAATGTTGATGGCTGCATATGGAAATATACAATAACATCTACAGGGAAACTTGCATAAGCGTAATTTCCACTTGCAGCTGTCCAAGATGTACTTTCATTGTTGTCAATCGGAAATATTGGAACATGCCCACCGCTGTTATTTACAAAAGTTTTACTGGAAGGAATAGGTTCAAGAGTCTGTTCCAAAAATTCCAATATATGAGGACTAATTATTGTTTCTTCTGGAATACTTTGAAGAGTCATCCAAGCAAATAAACTGGCCTTCTTTGTACTTGATTTGCGAATACCTATTGTAGGATTAAGTAAATTGTTTTCAGCTGAAGTACGTGGAGAAATGGACACTTCTTCAGGAAGAGTTTTCGATTCATAATGTACCTTAACATCCAAGCCAGGAATGTGAAAAATAGTTAAATCAACCAGAGGAACACTAGGATGTTGTTGCATGTAACGTAATCTTGAAGTACTTGCTGTTGCAGATTTTTCTTTGCTGCCAAGATGTTTTTTACTACTACTTGGACTACTTGGTTGAAAATCAAAATTACCACCTGAACAAGATCGCTCTTTCTTCATCCTACTCAGTAACTTCAATTCATCTTCTCTAGCTGGATCTTTTGTATGAAGAACACATTTACCACTATTGATTAATACTTTGACATCAAGTTCGAAATCAATATTAGGTTCTTGTGGTTTCTGGGGCATTGCAATATACGGTGAAGAAGCAGTAGAAGTTTGAATTAATGGTACATTTCCATCCATACTATTATAACTTGAAGCATTACTCATGTCCAGTCGATTTTTTCTGCGTATTTCCACTTGTTCGCCGTCAATATCAATAGTCTCTGGCCATTGTAATTCACTTATTACCTCAGGTAAACTTAAATCTGAACTTGCACTTGGCAATGAAGATTGTCTACACATTGTGTGATTGTCATTGAATGTAACTCTTGGACCATTGCCTCCAGCCGAACTCCCATTACCACTACTAAGTGCTCGATTGACTTTTAATGATGCCGAACGACTTGGACCACTTCGAGGACTGCTTTCGTAACTTGCAGAGTTTCCAGAGTTCATGTCTGTATTCATATCTTCTGGACTCTCTAATTGTTGATGTTCTGGAGTTGGAGATGGTACGATAAATGATCTTGAACGGTAGGCATTAGGTTTGCTGCCAAGTCCCAGCTTGCCTTTAATACTAGAAGCTTTAACAGACTGCCGCCTGAGTTTTTGAATCATGTCTCGACGGAAATCTTTAAAAACCATAGCTTCTAACTCATGTAAACGCTTCATTTCTTGTTCAATCGTTCCATGGGACGCGCCAAGTGATCTTAAATCATTAATAATTTTTGCTTGCTCATGCATTTCTTTTTCAATTAATTTAGATCTTTTTTTAGCATCTAATGAAGGGTCGAAAACGAATGCTGGTAAGTTATCAGTCCAATACTTTGATTTTTTAATCAATATATTTTCCTGTAAATAAAAATTTATATTAGGAAATTCTAACTTACACTAGACTACATTTATATCATAAAAAACTTAAGATAAAACTGGGCAAATGAAAAAAAATAAGACACCATACTTTTTTCTTAACCTGGCTAGAACAATTTTCAGGTTGATCTCCATCATCACTGTCATAATCGACTGATGCACCAGCATCATCTTCTTCTGAACCTGTTAACATGGTCAATGTGTGACCTAGTGCTGAAAGCTGTTGTCCAACACTCACGTCCATGTGAATATCAACACCTTCCATTTGCCACTGAACGTTTAATAACCACTTGGCGTTATCTAAAAAGTATATAGTATTTTATTTCTTCATATCCAATTATATAGAAAGTTACTGATATTAATGAACTTACCAGATTTATCTTGTTTTTGTGCAACTGTTCGGCTACACACTTCATAGGTCCCTTCTGACACAACACAAAGATTCATAATGCTGCTGTCATTCATATCTGGTTTCCAATCATCAAGAGACGTTTCAAAATCTTCAGCAAATCTCAAACAAAGTCCAATAAACCTTCCTTTGCTAACCAAGCTACCACTGCTACATGCCGAGATACTAGTATTTTCCAAAGTGACAACAACTGCTCCTCTAGATTCTCCATCATACAATCCACGTGTCATTGTTCCCCAAGTATTTGGTGGCAATGGATTAAGAGGTATACAAATACCCATATCATCAACAGTGAGCTGTAGGAATAAAGTACCTAAATGCTGAGAACTTAGCTGACTTGTTAATTGACCAAAAGGTACTTTTTCAAAGACTTGTTGTGTAGCTGTTAACACTTCTTTATTAAGATTCGCTCTTTTTTCATTCCAATATTCGTAGGCATTTTTATAGTTTAACCAGACTAGAATCGCTTTATCCACAGCCATTGGTTGAATATAAATCAGAGGTCTTTTCAGTGTAATTAAAACTAACTCTTTATCAGCACCTTGAGCCATTTCTTCCTGAAACGCATTTCTTAAGCCAACTCGAGTATTGAAAAATGCAAACTGTTGAAATTCAGGCTCTGCTTCTTCAAATATTACATTTTTCAACAACTGCCCGAGCGATAAATTAATATCTAACTGAGCTTTACCAAAAAGTTTCATGTAAGGATTTGGTTGGGTTGAACCTAAAACATTTTGAACCCGGTTAGACAATTGTAGTTCAACTGCACCCGTTTCCAGACGAACTGCAGAATTAGTTGGAGTCGTAGCAGTTAATTGAATCCTTTTGATACGTATGGTGAGAGAGAACAATATTCTTTTAAGACTAGAACTTGTCGGTTCTTCATCTTCTAACCACAAAGGAACTGGTTTCTCACCTCCATAAACTTTCTGTACAACTTCATTGACCTCTTTCATAAAAACTTTTTGTACGAAAACCAGATGATTTAACAAATCTGTTGTTAGTGAATGTTCAAATATTCCAATATCAGCTGTAGCACTCAAATAACTTCCTTGTCGCAAAACCACGCCATCGATCTTAGTGTCATTTAAATTATTATTCCCATCTTGAATGTATTCAGCTGAAACGTGAACCTTGGGAAGTTCAATACTTGCTTCAGATGGCAGATTAGCTTCAGTAACTTGAAGTTTTGTTGTAAAACTTAAGCTATGCTGTGGTAAATCAATAGTAAATTTAGCTTTGCTGCCAGTAATTCCTGAACTATTAACCTGATCCATTTTATATTGAGCTTGAAGTGAAGGCAAAAGTGCAGCAGTAATACTTAAACTTTGTAAAATAATATGGAATTGCATAACAATTGGCTCTAAAAGACTAGGACCTGGATCAGGAGGTTTTTCAACATCAACATCTACATCAATAATTGTAGCAGATGTCGGTGGATCATGATGATGTGGACTTCCTTGCGGAACTGGATCAGATTCCTCTGGTTGTTGTTGCTGTTGTCCGGCACGTGACATTCTCGATGAAGTTCTTGTGACACGTAATTCTTGTAACGTTGAGGATAATTGTTTACTACCACGTGTCATCATACCATGTAAAGCTACCGGGTGCTGAGGTATATCAATATTCACTGCGCCAACTGTGAGCAATCCACTGTTTTTATCTTTATGACGTCGAGTCATACTAGAATATAACGCTTGAGATTTGCCAACAGTCACTTTAACAACCGTTTGTTGATTTGGAGCAACTCCTTCTAAAAGAACAATCATCGTTCTGCCAATTTGACCAGTTAAACTGCACTCCGAGCTGACAGGCTTAGATTTCTTCCGGCATGTTAAACTCGCGTGAAGGCTAGTGATTTCAGCTTCTAATTTTAATCCACTTAAAGTTGCTAAGAGTCGTGTTCTATGAATTTTCGCGACACCGAAAATAAATAATCTTGTACGTTCATCAGTAACAACATTTAATTCTTTATATGGTTGTGGATTAGGAACTGGTGTGAATCCATTTTCTCTGTTTAATCCCTTTTCAATATCTGTTTCTTTCGTTTCATTCAAATTTTCATATTTCCATCGTCCAGATTTTCCGTACTGTTGTTCTGCTTCAGCTGGAAACGAGAACCGATGAGTAATCGTTTTTGTTTCCGGCCGTGTTGCATATAAATCCAACAAGTAATAAATTGTTCTCCAACACCGAGGCGTTAAATTGGTTGAGCTTTCTTTGCTACATTTATCACTAATCACACTAAACTTATCTAATCCCGACACTGTATTAGGACTTGTACCAAAATTACTAGGAGTAATTACACCTTCATTTAAATTAATATAGCCTTTTACACTCTTTCCAGTGCTCCTTAATTTTTGTGCAAAGCTCTGTGGTCTAGATCTTATGCTATTTGATGGTGAAAGTACCTTGAATTGATCTTGAGTATAAGACGAAGCTTGCAATAATGGTTTCTCCAATTTTTTACTACCATCTTCAGCCAAAAGAAGCTGCTCTTGAACATCTGAAGTAGAAGAAGATCCGTTCTTGATGGTTCCTTCATTGACTGTTAAATTAGCAGTAGTTCGTTTACTTTCTGATGGTAGCTGTTCTTTCAATTCCATCTGAGTTTCTTTAACATTTTGATACATATTACTGATTTGATGTAGCAATCGTAAAAGCGGCATATTTACTTGTTGATTAATGTATCGAATATTCAAACTAAAATTAACAACTGTACTTGTATGTTTTTTGAGTTGACCTCTGGAAATATATAAAATATTCTGACGCTGAATCATATCATCTACCGTCATGTCTGCCATTTTCTTAACATCAATATCAATGCCAATTCTCTCACAAAGAAATGCTGGTGTTTCTGGTGGAGGTATGTCAAGAGAAATCTTTGATCCTTTTTTAATTCCATACTTATTAGGTTTCTTTTTATCTGTTGAAACTTTTCCAAATTCACTCACAACAATATCGATTCTCATTGTATCCATAGTACCAACCAGTGACAAATTGGAACCCAAAGAATCAAACGAAGAAATATTATTATTGTTACTATTATTGGCATTGTTATTATTTTTATGATGAACATTCCCAGATCCAATGGCTGATAACATTTGTTGAGGCATGACTGAGAGTGAAGAGAGCAGCGGCTCGAAAATAAGATGTGCATCCAATAAACGAAGCGAATCCTTCATGGGATACAAACAAGCTCCACTTTGAATGTCTGAATCTTCAGTATCTTCTGTTGTCATTGTATTGATTTTTGAATCCTGAAATATTTCAATTAACTTACTTTAACTCTATTGTATTATAATTCTATTCATGACAAAATTTGCAATCAAAATATGTTAATTAAATCAAATGATTGATAATATTGATTAACGACAAGTATAATACCTTCATCGTTGTAGTTTTTTGTTCAGCCCGAAAGACCTGATATCAATAAGTGCTCAATATGAAGATGGCATTGAAAGTGAAATTATAGAAAATTATAGCAAAGATAATTACCCAGTTCCCTTTCAAGTTTCCTTTATCGTTGTCCTTGACGAATTCTTGTTGTTTTGCCATCCAGCTATAAAGATCTTCGCCAGTATTGATGATTCGACTGGACTGATGTGTCACTGGTGAAGTAATCTGGTCTATACTCCCTGTGCTATGAGTATGACTACCATGACCACCAGCTCCTCCAGCTCCACCGGAATAAATACTAGGATTGGAGCCCATGTTATGGGAATGTGATACGTGAATTTGCGGAGTTTTCTCTTCTTGCAGAGTTCCATAGCCTAGGGAAAATATTAAAAAGAAATCATTTTATTTTTTTCATTCTTTAATATTCTATAAATATATAAAAATTTAAGTTGCTAAGCTTACGTCAAAGAGTATGAATTTTTTTTGCAGTAATAAATCATGCGAATGAAATTGAATAGTAGAAAAGTAAGAAATTGATTAGATGAAACTCACTGATATTATTAGGGTCTCGTGGAGGATTAAATAATCCCCCGCCGGCGAGTAATGGGAAAACAATACTCGCTCGTGAGCTAACAGGTACTTGAGTAGGTTGTAATGATCGGCCTTTTTTAGTCTGTTGAGCTATAGGTGGAGAAGGGGATGTCAGAGAATCTGGACCTGGTACAGGCGTTGAAGATGGAGTTATATTATCTCTTAAACCACGTGGTGAACTCACCGGGACTGTAAGACCATCACCACCATCACAAATACCTACAATGTTCCACACCACAAGCAAAATGTTTTAAAGTATAGCCAAAGACCCAGACATTAAGTAAGAAATAAATACTTAACAAAGCACACACCATTAAACTACAGATATTAACATTAATTTCAAGTGTTAGATTTAATTGTTAGTTAGTGATGGAGATATTCTACTGGCCTACATAGCAAAAGCAGCTATTTCTGTCTTTACAAATAGACAAAGATCTTTCTATTCCTTATTAGAATTCAGTTGTTCAATGTTTCAGCTCAGGGTACTCTCAGTAATGCAAGTATAATGCAAAAAATGATACCTGTACTTTTGTCCTGGCTTATTTTCACCTGCTGGGCATGCTTGTACATATGGTCCGTATGGATGAGCATTGCACATTCATCTGTTACTTCTTGATCGTCACCGTCGCCTGCACTACCTTCACCGTCCGTCAGCAAATTTTCCTGTATATACCAAGCAAAGCCAAAACTCTGGGTGTTCATTACAAAGCACTATGTGGCATTTGTGTCTTATATTATATTAATTAATTACAATTTACAATACATCTGTTTCTCATAGATACATAACGTATCAATATTATCTTAATACAGGACTGTCGATCAACATAATAAGCATTAATAAGGCATTTTATGTGCCGTCGTGACTTTTTTTTAGTGAATGTGGTTATAATACTGTTAATGATAATCCCAATGATAATTAATTTATAATACATCGACGATTAACAGTCAAATTATGTTGTTTTTTTTAATTACTTCAATTTAAAAAATTATTTTTTGTACATAAAAGGCCCCGAACAGTGCAAAGGCGTTTTTTTTAAATATTTTATTAAGCATTAAAATTTTTTGTGAAACAAATTTTAGTGAGAATAACTACTTGAATAGCAACAAAATAATTTAAACAAAAAATTTAAAATATCTTACGCCTTTTTGTACTGTTTATTTTATCTCCTCGCTCCAATTTTCTCACACATTGAACAGAATTTTCCTATGAAGATTTGGGCATTTAATTTTATCAAATAGTTTCGAGTATTCATTGAAAAACCACTTTTCGTTCAACATCTTATGATTAAAAGTATAAATTAAATAACAAAAAAATACTCACGTCTTCTGGATCAGAAACTGCAAATGTAACATTTAATGGCTTCACATGTTTGGTTTTGTAATTATGCTCCAAAAGTAGAGGTGTATATAAAATATTTTTCCACTGTCTGCTCAAAACGATGACACCCTAAAAGAATATTCATTATCAAGTGTTTTTGAAAAATTAAAAAAAAAAAAATGTCTTTATAAAATTACCTGGCGTAAAGTTGATAAATGAGGAACTTTCGATTCACAAAGATTAGTATTAATTGTAGGCAAATCCGATAGAACAACATATTTTTGAAGAATACTACATAGCTGGCAAGATGGATCCTCTTGAAGTGTTTTAGCAAGTGGAGTAAGTCTACCATAACGGCTTTTCACAGGCATATGAATTCCCTGTTCATCTAGTGCTTCTGCCATTAAGCAAGCAACAACTGCAGTTGATCTCTTGTACATACTTCTAAACATATGTACAATTTGAATTGCAAATCTATTACTGGAGTTCATCCATGCATTTATAGCTGGAGATGCAGTGCTAAGAAGATTCCAGTCAAGTCTGGTGAAATCAATTTTCCTGGTGATTGGAGCTCGTGGTGGTGCAGCAAAATTAAACCACACAGTTTTCAACTCTATAACTCCGGAAACAGTGTTACCATTTGAATTGGATCGTGCTACAAGACTATTCGATACTCCACCGGAATTTATTGGACCAGCATTCGATGCTGTTCCATTAGCAGTATTGCCATCTGTTTCAGTTATAGTAGTAGCTGGTGTATTTGTGTTAGTTTTGGAATTAGTATTCTCTGTTTCATCATGATTTTTCACATTACTTGCATAAAATATTTCTCTTTCATTTTTTTTATCATCATCTTGACCATTATCTCCTTTTTCAAATTGTGATCTTTTTACAATCTTCAGCTTTATTCCTTCCAGGCCACATTCAAACATTATAAAACCTAAACGATCTTCACCATTGCCTGAAGTGAATTCTTCTGTGGCTTGCGGTGATGTTGTCTGTTTATTTTGTTTCTCTTTTTCTTCTGTAGGCTGATGTAAATAATAATCCACACACTTCAGAGGCGATGTTAGCCGAGTATGAGTAAATAAAACTCTAGAATGATGAGCAGATATTGCTGTAATAACAGCATCCTTTAAGATAGATGATTCATTTCTCAGTCTTCGTAACTGGGAGTGAGCTTTACCAATAATTAAAGTGATAATTATTTCTTCTTGCTGCTTTTCTGATGTTTCTATGTAGACAGTCTCTCCACTACTTATTTCAGTAACAACAGCAGCACTTTGATGACCCGATAAAAAAGCCTTGCTAATTTTATTCACTTTTTTCTGATTAGCCATTACCGCAGGCTTATTGAATGTATGAACCACTTCTCGAGCTTGTTTTCCATTATAAAAACGTGCATTTACTTCTTCGAAACAAATTGCAAATAATGATACACATGTCAAGTCTCGAATATTATCTAAAGCTGAGAAAGATATGATTTCTTCAACTACTGATGTTTGCAACAGAGTTATATTTATCTTTGGTAAAATAATAGTTCCTTGAATTTGAGTTGTAATACTTTCTTCATAGACATTCGTTTGAATAGCAGTTTTACTTTTTTCATCACCTTGACCATTTTTAATATTTCTCTCAGCAGTAGATCTTTTAGAACTTGTTTGAACTTGACTCCAATATGATAAACTTTGGTCTTGTTTCAAAATATTAGCATCTTCAACTCTGGAAATACATTCACTATGTAGATGATTTAAAATAGTCAGAGGATGTAATGTTGCAAGTGTTGGAGTAAGAACATCAATAAACTTTTGTAGTGATTCTAAAACCATTGGACTGATCATAATATCAACATCTCCTTTTAGTTTAATAATAATTGTTGTGCTTGATCCAGTTTCATGTTGAACTGCTAATAATTCTTCATCATTATCACCAAGCACATTACCATCATCTTCTTCTTTTGACTGAATTAAAGCTGAACTATCCCATACATAAGGATGCGTTGGTGTTTTGTTATTAGATGAATTAATTACTGGAGAATTATCGTTGCGTGTGACCATTTTGAGTGATGTAAATCCTTCTGTAATGACATCGAATTTTGGAGTAAATCGCCCACCAATATAAACCAATCTTTCATCTTCAGTTCTCCTGAACATGGGAGTAGTAAATGCATCGCTAGCAGATGAAAGTGATGACTGACTCCAATTAGGACATCTGACTTGTGTCAAGTGATTGACATAATTTGACATGAGTAGTGGCGAATCTACAATCGGTTTATTAACTTGCATGTGAAGATTAACAAGTGTCATATCTTCCTGTGATGACACTGCAGAAATGAAACTAGTTGACGAGACCGAACTACCAGAAGAGTCACGTAATAAATTTTTTTCTGCTGGAGGTGAAGGTGGAAGAGGTGGAGTTGATGGATCTTTTTCAGACTCTTGAAAATGACTTTGAATCACTCGAGGATTTTGCAAGCATTCTCTTTGAGGCTTAGCTCTCTCTAAAGTATGTGCCTTTTCTCCTACACCTGTGACACTAACAGTACTTTCAACAATCGATAAATCTGAAGAATATTTTTTCTTCATACTATCATTACGAATGAGTGTAGGATAGCCAGTGCTTACAATAGACTGTCTTAAACTAGATGTTCTACTGCCACCAGATCCATAATGACCAGGATCTTCATCAGCAGAATAAAATGCTTCTGAGTGGTTTTCTGATGACATAGATATTGTTCTTTGAACCTCTTGTTTTAATCTTTCATCAGAATCAGATCTTTCATCTCCATATAATGATGAATGATAAGAATCAGAAATATTGACACCATCAGCACTTCTTGCTGAAGTAGGCATTTTTGATGAGCGTGGATCAGAATTTGCAGTTACTACAGGTAATGATTGAGGACTGCTTTGTTGTAAAACATCCGTTTCAGGAGTATTAAAATAATCTACTGCAAGTTTAGAATCTGAAGCGCTACTCTTTGGTGTGTTTTCCGGAACGCAGAGTATGGACCTGCTTCGTTCACTATTTAATTTTGAATCGGAATCCAATTTTTGTGGTAACTGTACTGGACTGGCATCCACTAAACGAGAATAAGGAATATCTTTTAAATTCGATCCACGAATTGAAGTATAAGAAAACCGTCTTCCAAGTGGTGGTAGCTTTTTATCACTGGCTGGACTTTTAGATGTCGTACTGACTTTTGTACTTTCATCTTCATCAACTCCTGATTTCGTTTTTTCTGCTTGAGGATGACCATCTGGCACTACAACTAATCTTAATCCTGATGATAATGGGTAAGTAACATCTTGCAAAGATACATCCTGAAGACTATATGGAGGAGTATGAAATACTAATTGACCATCATGTAAGATAGACTGACCAAAACCTTTTTCTTTACCAGAAGTGTTGATTCGGTAAGCTGCAATGTTTATACCATCTTGGAGATCATAATAACTTGGTTTGAAAAATCTGGGACCATTTCTATTGTTGCCAAAGAAAGCACATCCACCAATACATCCACATTTATTGGGTTTTATGCTGTTATCTTGAGGCCAAAGAAACCAAAGCCTTTTTGTAGCTTCGTCATGTGTTTTAAGATATTTATTTTGAACTATATGTAAATTATGTTCTGGTTTTGGTAATGAAATGGCAGCTTCAATAATTACAGGGCCCATAGATATTGAACCAACTTCAAGCCACATATCAGATCCATCACCTGATGATACTTTATTGCTATTAGTATGAGACCTCCCACTACCTGTTGTATTTGTATTACTAGTTGTGTTAGCAAAATAACTGGCAGCAGAAACAAATTGTCTGATCAAAATTGTCGGCATTACTCCAGTAATCCCAGATTTAACTTGTTGGCCATGTAAATTACATGTAGACACGCGAATAGGTGAAATCCATAATTGTGTCGCAGTACCAGCTTCTTGAATATACAGGTCTATTACATCAATAGCTACTCTAGTCATTCTATACTTGATATCTTCTGATGTTGGACATCTGTAATGATTATCTGGATCACTATCTGGACATTGAAGAGGTGGTAGACCATGATGACAATGATGTGGCAGTCCTGGTGGTCTTAACAAATTCTCTGTATCCTTTACTGTCAATAAAAATGTTTCTAATGAAGTCACCAAATGATAAAGCTGCGGCGATGTAATTTTTCCACTTAATTTTCCTAATTGAACTTCAATTAACCAAGCATATTCTAAAGTTTCTTGATCAAGACTTCTTCCTTCGTTACTGAACATGGCATGACCACGAACTTGAAGGGCACTCAACATCAAGTGGCCTTGACTTAAATGTCGCTCTTTACTTGACATTCTTGAAACATTATCTGTAAGGAGCATTATTGCTGGTGAAAGAAGCAATTGTAATTCTGTCTCTTTAAATGCCTTTCTCATTTCAAATCCAAAGCGTTCTAAAATAATCACTGGACAAGGTGGATCATCTTCGTTGCAGTTTTTAACCAAATGTGCTTGAATATCATGTATTGTTATGCCCACAGTAACTTCAATAGGTCGATAGTACCGAGGATCAAATGTCTTAGACCTGTTGTCGTCATCTTCAACAACAGAGGCTTCTACACTACTATTTTGCATATCTTTACTTCTACTATCCGAGTTATTACAGACTGTAGATCGACTTTGTTGCATATCCGTAAATGATTGATAACTTCCAAAAATATTTTCTTTTAAATTTAAAAAACTTTTCATAAGAGATCCATAAAGTATGAGAATAGAAGAACCTATTTCAAGTTCAAGGCTCACTTTATCAGGTGAAATAGACTGTACATCGAATCGTCTCACATTTCCATCTTGAGTCCATTGAAGTCCTGGAGATTTTCTACATCTTGGTATTCTCATTGGAGAAAGAAGAATTTCTTCTTTCTCTGGGGTCGTTATATTTGCTTGAGGTGTAGGACCTAAAGGTGGACATGGATGATAAGTATAATTAATACTTAAAGCTACAATAGGAACAGACCAACAGTCCATCCAGCCTAGACTTTTTTGACAGATGTTTCTCCATTTTTTCTGTCTGGTTAAATCTGCTAAATGTTTACACGAACCATCTCGAGTGATTATTTTTGCATTTTTTTCTATTGCTAAAAGAATTATACGATTTGTATTCACTTCAGGAAGGAAAAAAGAAAGATCTACACTTTCACCTTGAATCCAAAATCGTAAAGGTACAGTTACTGGTAAAAATTCAGTAAATGGTAGATCAAAAGAGAGATCAAATATTTCACCGCAAAATGCAATATGGGCATTTTCTTGGTTTTGTGATGAGCAATCAATCCAGTTATATTCGTTGCAAATAGTAATTAATTCGAATTCTTTCAATAGAAGACTAAATTTCCAAGTATAAGGAATAAAATGAAGAATGTCTGGTCGTGATTTACTGGCCCAATCATTGATCATGTCTTGGAAAAATTCTTTATGTGCATAAACAAGATTTGCAGTGGCTTTACAACCAGTCAAATTCAACGTCCATTCTTGATAATCATTCCATCTTAATGGATAATGACATTTAACTCCGAATTCTAATGTTTCACTTTCAACTAAACTTCGATATTGTAAACTAGTCGTTGCTTCAAGATGTAATAACTGTCCAGTTATTTTTGTCGTGAATCCGTCTTGAAGAACAATCCATGGCATTGTTATTTCTAAATATGACCCCGCTCCTACATTTATATGAACAGCATTAGTTTCACGATTTTTACTAAAGAGAATATCAATAGTAGCTTCATTTAAAGTGGAAAGACGGAGATCAAATGATTGCACTTGTCTTTTTTCACCAGGTTTTGGTGATTTAGTAACTTTCAGTTGTTGATAATCATTAGGAAAAAAAAATTTAAACAAATGCTCTCGTTGTCTATCAGCCCAAGGTCCATAACTAAAATCTGTACCTTTGCCACATTTTACATCAATTCCCCAAATTGGTGGCATTGCTTCTACCATGTCTCCATTTGCTAATCTAATCATTTCTGGATGTTCAGGAACAACTCCTGGCTCATCCATATAGTAATAAAACTCAATATTATTTGAACTTAACACCACAAATCCTTCTCCCATATATCTCGGTGGATCATCAATCATGCCAGTATATTTGGGACTTGGTGCCAGAATTACCTTAAAATTCTCTGCTTTACACTTGGTGAAATGCATAAAATGATCATGCCTAGATGCTGCTGGTTTTGTTGAATATACAAAATGAGCTTCTTCAACAACGATTGAAAGTGTCGTAGGTACTAAACGATTACCAAAGACCAATCTTCCACAACAAATGTCTAATTTTATAACAGGAATTAAATCTCTCCAAGTTCTTGCTAACACATGTGCTTCTTGTTTTCTTATATTTTCCATATGCCGTGATACGTCCATCGCATTTATTTGCTGTCTTGATTCATTAGCTGCTGAATTACTCATTGCAGATCCACTATCATCTCTTTCATTAATATTAAATGTGTGATTTTCCTTATCATTAGGAAACATTTGTGATGATAGGCCGAATGTTTTTTCTAACCGAGCATATAGTTGACAGCGATTATATACATGAAGTTCGAACCCATTTAATAACACAGATAGACGTGTATCGGAATGTGAAAGATCTATAAATTAATTTAATAAAACAAAATTAGAATAAAGAATGATGATTTGTGGTAATTTAATAAATTATATTTTACCTTCAGATACATCTTTAGGAACATAACTTCTCCACCATCTAAATATTACCCATCCATCTTGAACCCTTACACTATAATCCGTTGTAATATAAACTATGTCTCTAAACATTATTTTACCACTTAAAGCACAAAGCGTAAACGATCCTAAACAATAAATAATTAATTATAATAAATAAATAATTGAGATGTTAAATGTAATATGAAAAGCATAAGTTTTAATGAAATGATTACTCACCAACTTTCACATATCCATCTCTTACAACAAATCGATTCAACAGTCTCGTTATAATATATCCTATAACTCTACTGTTATAATATGTAATATAAATAATCCAAGATATAGCAGATACCAATGAACAAAGCAACCAAATGAAGTTGCTGTCTATCTTAAGATCTTCAAGGATGACATGGTCAGTATAATTCCAATAAGCTGGCTCGATTTTTGAAAAGGATGGAGGTGAACTATTATTGTACATTTCATAGTAAGCCATTGTAATTATGATGATACTAACGATGATAATTTACAACTAATCACAGTACCATGTAGAGCAATGTCTCCATCCTCTTAGCCAGCCTGAAATGATATTCGATTCAATTAATTAATCAACATCAATCAGTGAAATCAATCGGAATCTTTAATGGTTATTATTTAATATATCAAGAAATATGACATCGAAGATAAGCAATCAAAAGATTTTTATAACCAAGTTCAACTATAAGTTATCATTTTTATATTTATTATCTATTCAAAATCACTCATTTATTTTCTAATACTTATGTTCTTGAAATATAGGTATCATATTCGATTACTTAGCAGAAAATAGAAATAATATTAGATAAGTGTGATAATAAGCTGATACGTGCTATAATACAAATATAGATGTGTACAGTGACATGTCATAACAAATTTGTACTCAGTGATAATATTATTTTTGTACCTGCAGCACTTTATATCACATTATTATTAAATTTACTAATTTTAATATTTTTTAGTAGCATACTGACGGTTGTGTCAAGGTGTTATTAATTTGAATACACACAACTGAATATATCTACACATCTTTGTATTTCAATCAACTAATATCCTAACGTCTTCACTTCGCCATTGTATATATTGTCGAACTGAGAAAAGAGGTCCTCAGTTGCTTCAATGCTTTCGGCCTCCCCACCGCTGATTTTCTACCCCTTCTGCCATGTTTTTTACTACTGCGCAAGCGTACAAGAACACATGAAAAGCGTCTGAGGAACTTTCTTCTCACTCCGACTATAGCGGGCAACTGTTGAAAAACTATCTCCATCATGATGCACAACCGCAGAATAGAGACCAGGATAGAAGTCTAATGCCGTGTTAAAAATCCGGACGGAGTTTCGGTCAACATGTCGGTAATCTCAGGTCACAACATAGAAGTTTCTGTGAACCCATCGAGCGACGGCGGTGCACCAATTTATTTTAGCCGCGCCTCGTAATCTAAGAAACAAAAAAAATAAGATCTGTAAATTATTATTCTTCAAACGATTTCTCAGTTACCTACTTAATTTCAATTGATATCAAGCTTCGACCTTTCACCGCCAAAGAGACCAGTCTCTTTTTCTCTGTGCACAACGCAAAAAAATCTGTTTACTTGACAATCGATACAGTCGATGTGTGTGATAACTATCGAGCTGAACAATTACAGTACAATTATTCGCAAATAGAGGCCATAGGCATATGGAAATTTAGCGACCAGTTGGCAGTTAGCACATTGCATCGTATTTCATACAGCAAGTTGTATTGTCTTGTGAGTTAAATAAATCAATTTTAGTTAATACCAACTTTTTACAGAGTTATTATTGTAAGTATCCATTGTTTGATTACTCCGGTATTGATCTAAATACTGTTTACGCAGCTACTTTTGATACTTAGATTGTTGCGGTGATATTACAAGTGCAGGAGACCAAGTAAATTGCGGTAGTGGGGCAGGTGCAGGAGTTGAGATAGAACGTCGATACGAAGCAAGCGAGAATAACGGCATAATTGTAAAAAAATAGTCGAATAAGTGATTAGAAATGGATGAAGAATATGATGCGATAGTCCTTGGCACCGGCTTGAAGGAATGTATTCTTTCCGGTATGCTATCAGTGAGTGGAAAAAAAGTTCTCCATGTCGACCGGAATAAGTACTATGGTGGAGAATCAGCTTCCATAACACCACTGGAAGATTTTTTTACGTAAGTGTCATTATACCTGGAATAACACTTGATCTTAAGTATCATTCTTTATTTAGTTATCTAAATAAAAACACAGATTTTCTTACATATTTGCTATCAGGGCGCGTCCGAAATTGACAGGTTAATATTGATTTCTTGCCCTCCTCCTATCTCTTTTTCCCTTCTGCCCCGCGTGCTTTTATTGTTCCAGAATGCTATGATTATTATGTTCATGCAATGTTATTATCTTTAAGTCTATTTTTTTTTCTATTTATCAATGAAATTAATTATTGAAAAATACGACTGTTAGATAAGTATTGTAGATAAAATAAATCGTATCAAATATTTTGAAATGTTTTGTGGTTGAGATTGAATTAATTATGTGTCTGTTTATTTAATTACTATTTTTGTTTTAATACAGACACTTTAAAGCCCCACCACCAGACAAAATGTACGGACGTGGTAGAGATTGGAATGTTGATTTGATTCCTAAATTTCTCATGGCCAACGGACTGTTGGTGAAACTTTTGATTCATACTGGAGTCACTAGATACTTGGAATTCAAATGCATCGAAGGATCTTATGTTTATAAGTCTGGAAAAATTTCCAAAGTACCAATTGATCATCAGGAAGCTCTTTCTAGTGATTTGATGGGTCTATTTGAAAAAAGAAGATTTCGTAATTTTCTTACTTGGGTGCAAAATATGCAAGAAGATGATCCAAAGACTTGGGACGGTTTTGATCCTTTCACTAATAGCATGAGTGCACTTTATAGCAAATTTAGTTTGGAGGCAAATACTCAAGATTTCACCGGTCACGCTTTAGCACTTCACAGGTATAAATTATATTTTTAATGGTAAACTATCTTGAATAGGAACAACAATAATAATATATCATTAATTTGTACAACAGAAATGATGAATATATTTCACAACCAGCTATTAATACGGTTAGACGTATCAAGCTCTATAGCGATAGCTTAGCACGTTATGGGAAATCTCCGTATCTTTATCCTATGTATGGCCTTGGTGAACTACCTCAGGGCTTCGCTAGATTAAGCGCTATTTATGGTGGTACCTATATGTTGGACAAGCCCATAGATGAAATTGTTATTAAGGATGGCAAGGTAATCTTTTTTAGATATCATTTGAATGAGTCAGCTAAAATGCTACAATATGGAGTAGGAATAATAAACCAATCCAAGTATATTCTATTCATTATAAATGTTGTTACAGGTGGTTGGTGTAAGATCTGGCAACGAGGTTGCTTCGTGCAAACAAGTGTTTTGTGACCCTACTTATGTACCCGACCGAGTGAAAAAAGTTGGCCAAGTTGTCCGAGCTATTTGCCTTTTAAATCATCCGATTCCAAATACCAATGATGCTCTCTCTACTCAAATAATTATTCCACAGAAACAAGTCAACCGAAAATCTGATATTTATGTTTCACTTGTATCCCATACTCATCAAGTTGCTTCAAAAGGATGGTTTATTGCTATGGTATCAACAACCGTTGAAACTGCTAATCCAGAATTAGAAATAAAGCCTGGTCTTGATCTATTAGGACCTATTTCGCAAAAGTTTGTATCTGTATCTGATTATTTGGAACCCACAGATGATGGCCAGAATAACCAACTTTTCATATCAACGAGTTACGATGCAACGACACATTTTGAAACAACTTGTCTAGATGTACTTGATATATTTAAACGTGCTACGGGTGAAGAGTTTGATTTTAATAAAGTCAAACAGGAACTTGGTGATGAAGATCTCTAGTATGGTGATTACGGTGGTGGTACTAGTGATTGTTAATATAATCTAACAGTTTATGAGGGCTATTGCGCAAATAACAATGTCGCCGCGCAGTACACAGCTTGTAAATACATACACAACAAATACTAAATGTATGTATATGTTTGACGGTCAATTTCTGCAACCATGTCAATGATGATGATGATTATGATCATAATTTAATGATAAAAATGATAATGATAAATCTGGTAATGTTGAAAGATGAATTGTTATTTTGTGATGGAATTTAAGATACTTTATGTTTGTGGAATATATATGGAATTTTAATCATCATACTTTATAAATACGCATAAAAAATAATTTTGAATTATTAAATGTGAATACAAAGTGGAAAGTATATGAGATCATCGTCTGCATTTTAACAGTCTATTATTAATTATTAAGTTAAAAATAAAAAATTAAAAAAATAGAATATACATCCATTAGAAGTATAGAGATAATCCTATACAGCTGCCGTGCATTTTGAGTAGCCAATAATGAAATATTTTTATTTTGTCAAAAATTATTTTAAAAAACTGAATCTAAATACAATTTCTTGATGCATTAATGTACTAATAATTATAATAATAATAATAAAAAAAGTTGTACGAAATAAATCTTGTTTCAATACTTTTTATTGATACTTACTTTTTGTTTCAATAGAAAATACTCATTCTTTTTTATCTTTTTCTCGTTGCAAGCATAAAACATATAAGTTATCATCTCGACAACCAACGGTTATGAAGTTCTTATATAATACTGGTGATGAAAAACAATTTCCATGAAGATTAAAAGAATGTAAAAAACATCCTATCTGATAATCAATAACTTTTAAAATACCATCCTCTCTTCCAATCAGAATAATACTTTCGTTTACCCAGGGAGTGGAAACAATCATGTAACCACAATCTATTCTATATTTTAATTTTGGCACTGAATTAGGATTATCCAAATAATATCGATAAAGAAATCCATTTTTACTCGCAAATATTAAGTTTTGTAAATTAGGAGTCGACGAGTCAGTAAAAACTACGAGATCCGAAAAAATTTGTCCTGATATGTTGAAATTCCATAATCTATTACTATAATTTTGTGCCATCTGATGATGATTGTTTGTTATAATTTTTAAACCTGTTAAATTTCCGCAAACATCTGCTACAACTACTACGTTATCATCTAATGCAATTGGCGATGAAAATATTGGGTTTTCTAGTCGATATTCCCACTGTAAATCACCAGATGTTTGATCTAAACAAATACACATTCCGTTTAATAAGCCAATAATTACATTGCCAGTTTCGTCATGCACCAGAGGCGTTGAGCAAATGCTTGAGTAAATTTTCCTTCTCCAAACCAGAGAGCCATCCTGCAATAAAACGGTAGCCATTAAAATTTAATTGTGACTATAAAATTTTAAAGTATTATTGATTTTACCTGTGTAGAAATGCAGTAAAAAAAATGATCATAGGAGCCAATAAAAATATTCTCTTTTTTACTACAAATTTCTGCTGAACATTTTACAATATCATTTGTTGCGAAAGTCCAGTAAATTTCACCAGTCTTTAAATGAATGCAATAAATATTGCCATTATGACACCCAACAACACCTCTAAAATTATCAAGCACTAATATTGATGCTTCTATTCTTGGAATAGTATTATCACTTTGAGGTAATTGAATTTCCCATTTTTTGTACTTTTCAGAGTGATTGGCATTTAGTTCTACAGTACATATTATTCCTAAATGTGAACCTACACATACAAATGCTGATTCTTCATCAGTGTTTTGTAATAATCCTTCTGATGAAAAACTATATCCAAAAACAGTCGGAGAAGCATCAACACACTTTCTTAAATTAAAAGTTTGATATTTATCAACATCAAAGATTATAGATTCATGAATAACATTTTGCATCGATTGATGTGGATGATTATCATTCAAAGATATTATTTTTGTTCTTCCACGATACTTTTGCCAGATATAAACATTATTAGAGTAATTATTAATATTTGGTATTGACTTATGATTATTTTTTTTAATATCACATTCACTTATATTAAATTCAACGTCACCATTACATTTATCGATATAATCTAAACATTCTTCTAATGTTTTATTTTCTAATAGCATTCCAACTAAATTTGGAAAACTTCGTTGTGATTTATCAGTTAACTCTGAAAGGATTTGTAAAGCGATTACTGATGTTCCTCCAACATCTATAAATCTAGTAAGATTAATATTATTTACATGACAATGTAAATGATTCATCCAACTTTCTTGTAATAGTCCTTTGATATCTAGAGAATTAATATTTGATATGTTTGAAGTTTTTTCAATGTCAGTGCAAATATTCATTAAGTAATCTTTGCATATTTTTCCGCGTTCAGTCATTTCGAAATGATTTAGTATATGAATTTTATCTGGGTACATAATTGCTGGTAATAACTTGATATGAACCCACACATCTTGGATAATATCAGTGTGGTGGTTAATGAATTCATTTGATATCGTTAAAAATAAATACAACTTATTCGAAGGAGGAAATACAAACGAATAAGAATCTTTTATATAATATAATTTTTGTGCATGATAATTTAAGTCATTTAAATATACTTTATGACCAAATCTTTTTATACAAGTGTCTTGTCGACCTTTGAATATTATTTCTCCAAGTTTATTTATTTTTACTAAGTCTCCAGTCTTTCGAAAAACAGGTGGCTTCAAATCATCTAATTCCTCATTACCAATTATGCAAATTCGAGTATGACTTCCGATGTAAAGAATTCCTTCACCTTCATCAATAACATGATTATCATTTTCTATGTCTCGAACTTGAAATATTGTATCACTTAACACTGTCCCAAGTTTGAGCTGAACTTGTTGTTCATCAGAATTACTTTCTTGATTGCAAAATATTTCTTGAATACTTGCCCAACAAGAAACTTCTGTGATTCCATAAACATTAAATATTTTTGTACGATTTTCAGGATCCTTGATGTTAAATATAAGATCTAGTTTTGGAAAAATTTCACCACCAAGTAAAAGAATCCGAAGGTTGCTGTTTTTTCCAAAGAGTGTTACTTTTAGATCATTTAAGCTCCAGCCACGATGAAGAAATAATGATGGAGTAGTTGAGATAAATGTAATTTTCCTATTATAGAGAATGTCCAGTAACTTGCTAGGATTGTTTTTCAAGTGCTCTGAAACAGTAACGATCGTAGCACCAGATGAAAGACTGAGAAATATTTCTATCAAACTTGGATCAAAAGTAAGAGGAGTTAATTGAGTAATTTTGTCAGTACTGGAGAGTTTAAAAAGTTCTCGGAAGTCAAGTATATTAGATAAAAGAGAAGCATGAGAGACTTTGACTGGAACAGCTGCCCCAGTTGATCCAGATGTCGTAATAGCATATGCCAAATAATTTTTACGTTTTAATTTATTATATTTGAAATCACTCGTCTCATCATCATCATCATCATCATTCTTATTGCATGTTATCTTTGAAAATATAAGAGATTCTTTGTGCATCCAAAATTTTTTTATCACTTCAACATCCTTAATGACTGTACTTGCTGACTTTGGTATAAATAAATATTTTATTTCCAGTGAATTTACTAAAAATGGTAGTTGATCTTCTGATAAATAAACGAAAGCGTGTCCAGCAGAAATTATTCTACAATTTATATAAGATTGTAATTATTTAAATAGTTTCTAGTGTATTAATTATAATTAATATTAGAAAAAATTAATTACCCTAATATTAAAGAAGGAATACAATAAATTGGTACACTATAATGAATACCAATAAATTGTTGTGTCGATGACTTAACATTTTGGAGTATAATACTTTTCAAAGCTTTTTGAGCTCTGTAAATTTTTAAATAATTAATAGTTGTACATTTAAAAGTAGTGAGCTCTTGTGATACCGAGGTATTTTGAGTTTCATTTGTTTCAGAGTAGTGTTCTATTGCTACATTTAAAAGATTACTCCAATTACAAATTTTACTCAGATCATTCTTTTTTTTTATTCGATGTGTCATTTCTTACTGAATCTGCATTTTGCACTGGATATCATTACACGAATGCAGGACAATATTAATTTTTATTTGTATGTGTATTTAAAAAGATTCAAACACTTTGTTATAAATAAGTTTATGAAAAATTATTGTAAGGTAAAGTGTAAAAAAAGGTAAAAATACACATATTCATCTGACTTTTTATATGACAGAATGCAAATGTAAATCAGAGAATAGAGAATAATACAGAAATCTAATCGTGGATAAGTATTTCAGAATAAGTTCCCCATCGGCTGTCTGTTGACAACTGATATCACATTATCGACGAATAAAAGTAAACAAGTAATGACATCATGTTGTTGGAATTCGTACTAGAGGTTGTAATAATCCAAACTCACCTGTTTTGACGATCTTTTGTAGCTTAGTATTCTTTGATAAAACCACATAAAATTTACACTTTTACAAATTGAGGTAAGGTTAGAAAAACGTTTCTATTCTTTCAGTTTACATTAGAGCATTGTGCAATCATACTTAATTTGGTATTTCGTTGTATATTACAAATATGAATACGAAAGAAAAAGAAAAATATATAGAAGAGTTCGATTTTCCTCATTGTGATGAATCTTCTAAATATGAAAAAGTCGCAAAAATTGGCCAAGGCACTTTTGGGTAAATTAATATTTTTTATATCGACCATATTCCAATTTTCGGAATTTGGTTGTAAATATTCTGTTAGTTAATTATAAGTTGTTTATTTTTTTTTTTTTAGTGAGGTTTTCAAAGCTAGAGATAAAAAAAATAGCAAAAAGTTTGTAGCAATGAAAAAAGTACTGATGGACAATGAAAAAGAAGGAGTATGTATAATAAATTGGATGAAAAATGGAGTATTGCGAATAAATTGAAACGCTATTTATATTTTTACAGTTTCCCATTACTGCTCTTAGAGAAATCAGAATATTACAACTACTCAAGCATGAAAATGTGGTAAATCTAATTGAAATTTGTCGAACAAAAGGTAAAAAACTCTCTCTATAATAAAATTATAATTATATCTCTATAATATTATAATTATATTTAATATAATTGTAATCATTTCATTACAGCTACTCAATTTAACCGATATCGTTCGACGTTTTATCTTGTATTCGATTTTTGTGAACATGACCTCGCAGGACTGCTATCAAACGTTAACGTTAAATTTAGTTTAGGAGAAATTAAAAAAGTTATGCAGCAGCTACTGAACGGACTGTATTATATTCATAGTAATAAGGTAAGACAATATGTTTTTGTAGGACATTTTCAGTTATTAAGAGTGTTAGAAGATTTTATGGAAGGACTACAGTTAGGTGTAAATTTTAGATTCTTCATAGGGATATGAAAGCAGCTAATGTTCTTATAACGAAAAATGGTATTTTAAAATTAGCTGATTTTGGATTAGCTAGAGCATTTAGTGTAAGTAAGCCAGGTTTAGCTAATAGGTATACAAATCGAGTTGTCACACTTTGGTATCGACCACCTGAATTATTGCTAGGAGATAGAAATTATGGCCCTCCTGTAGATCTTTGGGGAGCTGGATGTATCATGGCAGAAATGTGGACGAGGTAATTAAATTTAATGCTTCTGCTATTTTGTGTTGACCGATGATATAAACAGAATAATTGTTCATCTAGATCACCCATTATGCAAGGAAATACTGAGCAACAGCAACTCACATTAATATCTCAACTTTGTGGTTCTATTACTCCTGAAGTTTGGCCGGGAGTTGAAAATCTTGAACTCTTTAATAAAATGGAACTACCGAAGGGTCAAAAGAGAAAAGTAAATTTAGTTAATTAGAATTTTTTTCTCTCAATAGTACTGACGAATTTTTTATAATCCAAAATAATAATTTCAGGTGAAAGAAAGACTGAAACCTTACGTTAAAGATGCTTATGCATGTGATCTTTTAGATAAGTTATTAATTCTCGATCCTGTGAAAAGATTTGACGCAGACTCTGCATTAAATCATGATTTTTTTTGGACTGATCCGATGCCTTGTGATTTAAGTAAAATGTTAGCACAGCATACACAGAGTATGTTTGAGTATTTAGCGCCACCGCGAAGGCCAGGACATATGCGTCATCCACATCATCAAGTTCCTGGAGGTCCAACGAGACCTAGTTCGAGTATGGCAGATAGTGGTTATCAAGATCGTGTGTTTTAAAATCATGGGATGGGTTAGAAGTATAGATTTGTACTGAAAAAAAAACAATTTAAATTTAAGAATGAATTTTAATGATCAACAATAGAAAACAAAAGCAAATACATATGTGAATGTGTCGACTCAATAGATCAGCTGGTTTTATTGTTCACTATTTTTTATTCATAATAGTTTTTTAATTACTGTTGAAACCTAATGTAAATTTACTGTAATTTACAACATAAAACATTTGCTACATATATTTATAAAAAAGTAACTGGTCTTGTTTTTTTTTAAGTATTCAATATAATTATAATTTTTTATGACCTAAATTTATGAAATTTGAAGCGATTTTATATACTAGAAATATAAATAAAAAATTATTACTAGTTGATGTAATTATCATTTTTCAGTACACTAAACGAGTGTGACATATCTGCGCTAGTATTTAGAGCACCGTTTCATGCTTAATACGTACACTGATTGATCAACATAAATATTTAATTAAGTGTGTAATACTTATATCGCGTCATTACATATATAATTCACATATATTTATATCAACTTGTTTTAATCGCATCTGACGTATCTTATTAATATTATAACGTATATTTATATCTAAAAAATGAGAGTTCATTCATAAAAAATAAATCAAGTAATGATAAATTAATCGATTACCAAGTCTGTTATAATCAACGAATAATTAACAAAATCATCATTTGTTTAATAAAAGAGGTAAATTTCTTATCACATGTATCACTTAGTCGTCATCATTTAGAAATTGATCAAGTGGATTAGGACCAAGTCTTCGAGGCTTTGACGTAGACGTTTTTTCTAAACTCTCAGCTAAAATTAATATAAAATTTGTGAAAGTAATAAGATTGATTTATTCTTTAATGATAAATAACCGCCGTTAAAGGTAAGGTATTTACCTGGTGTCGGTCGTTGTGCATTTAAACAACTTAGCCATTCGGTCATGCTAATTCTTCGGTCATTATTTATGTCACAATACCTCGGTAATTTTTTCCCACATCTTTTCAAGTGTTGATTGCTTGATACCATTGTGCGGAAGGTTTTCCATTCTTTTTTCTCGAGTACTTTATTTTTATTTTTATCAAGCATAACAAAGTGCCAAGTTGCAACTTTTTCTTCCTTAGAAGCAGGCCATTTGTCTGTTGCTTCTACTGAATCTGGATTTGATGTTTTCATTTTTCTCTCCATCAGTATCATTAAATCTCTCAAAAATATCTGTTTTTTTGCTTCAGGACAGCCTAAAAAAATATTTCATATTATTATACAAATTTTGGAATTTATTTAATTAAATTTGTTTTATTCTAGATTACCTTTCATGGGTCTATTGAGTGGTGGTACGGGATTGCAATTGGAAGTATGATTCTTGGAGGAAGTACCAGGTATTGGTTTCCCGGTATCTTGATAAACACACCAACAGTATCCTGAGTAGCATTGAATTTTGTGGTATCTTCCATCAGGAGTACACTGAGGTATGTAAAACTTTTCTTGAGAATTTTGCTTTTGATCTTCCAAGACAGATCTTCTGTCCGAAATGCAATCATTTGCTAGAAAGAATGATAAATTAATATTAAAGTTTGATAAAAATCAAATTAAACAAAGTGTTAAGTCATCAAAATATTAATTACCATCACTGTCTTCTTTTGTGTCTGGAGGATTATCGTTGAAGGTCGGTCTGGTGTGAACCGGTGGAGAATTCCCTTTTAGAACTATCACAAATGAATAACATTATATTTATTACAAAAAGCCAGTATTCTAAAAGAACATAAAAAGTCAAGAACAACTATTGATTTAAGTTTTCTTTGAAAATATTTTAAAAAGATTCTTATATTAGCTAGTCAATAAGAGTAAAAAAAAATAATTTTCAAACATGGAAGAATATCCACTGAATTGGAAAGACCATTGGCAAGAGGCCCAGGCCTTCAGAGACCTCACGTTGTCCTTCTGCACCGTTGAGCGACAAGAACAAACGTGCTAAATGATAACAAGTCTGTGTACGTCACTCAGCTGACTGTCTACCTTTAAGCTTTGGTAATATTTAAACCCTGATGGCATTTTGTACATGTATATGTCCATCAGTTCTTGTCAGATACAATTTTCAAGAGGACTGTGATTGTTATACTATTAAGAATGCCAAGATATAATTCTGAAAACTTCTGATGCACTTTGTGTCCACTAAATAATATTAGCAAATGAAAAAAATAACACTTCTACGTGGGTTGGGTAAATTTATGAATGCTATATACATATTATAATTAGTTCAATCATAATCCCTAACTACAAGTGCTTCTTTCTCAATTGCTTTAATTTCTTTGCTATGTAGCTGCGTGTGGGCACCAACTTCCGGCAGGATTCACGACAGACCATTATTAAAACTGTCTCATCCACCAACATCCTGCTTCTATTCTTCTTTCTGAATCATCAATTCTTATTTCAAGTTTATTCTTGACTTTACCTCCTTGAATATAGTTTTCTTCGACCTCTAAGTCTTAGTTGACAGCTCAAAGAACATTGATTTTTTTATTTCAATGAAAAATCAAGATTTATAGGCTCTTTGAGAATTCAAAGAATTCAACAAGAAACAATGAAACTTCTCAAGTAAATTTTATTGACAAAATTGTTGTTCAATTAAAAAAAAAAAACTTACGCGCAAAATCATTCGCCAAACAAGCACCCCATTCTTGTCTGGATAATTTGAGATCCTGATTGAGATCACAAGTCCTTGCAAAAGTTCTTGCACACTTTTTTGGTCTTATTGCCTTCTTAGCCAATCTCCTTAATTCTTTATACTCAGTTCGATCTAAGTAATCGTCACCATCTTTATCCAATGTCGTAAACTTCCATGAAAGAATTCGCTCCACACCTTTCTCACCTGAAATTTAATTCAAAATATCTCTTTAATTTTTATTTTTTATTAAAATTCAAAATAATAATTACCAACTCTTTAAGAAAGATTCATACGAATAAAGACGAATTAAAAAATAAAAAAAAGAAAAATGAAATATAAAAGGACTTGATGAAAAAAGAAAAATACTCCAGTCGGCTAACTTGCATGTGGAGTTGGTAATCAGATTCAAGTTTTCATAGTAATTATCACTTTCATTACATCGTTATGACAACCTACAATTTTCTCTCTCTACAAATTTTATGTTTTTTTAGTTATTTTTATATTTCTGCATAATACAAACTAAGTTCTACTAATTGTAATTATCCCATAAAAAAAGATCTGTTTTATTCCATAGTTTAAATTTAACTCTAACAAATATCCCATTTATTTATCAATGATACAAGAATAAATTAAAATATATTGTGATAAATATTTTTGTTGATAAATCTAAACATATCATGTTGTGTAACCTTCACCTTTAGTAGCTCTTTGATTTTTTAAACTAAAAATTATTCCTTAATACCAATAAATCATAAAAACATCTTTGTCTTCAACATTTTAAGCTGTCCAAGCACATTGATAAATATCATTCTCAGTTCAATAAAATTATTCAACTTTTTATCGGTTAAAGTTTTCTAAAAATTCTTATCAATTTCATGATATTAAAAAAAAATCATACCATTATTATTAGTGTTGTTAGCTCTCCTATATTCAATTTTAAAGTTCTCTATCAGATTGCTGTTGAATTTAGATTTTTCTGCTCGATCACAATTATTTCTATGTCTACTAATAAATTGTCTCTTTTGTTTCCAGTTAGATGAGCGTCGTTTTTGGCCACTTTTAGTGGATACTTCTCCGGAGACTAAACTGTCAGAAGTCGGAAATACTCTTGAGCATCTTGGCTTCTGGTATTTGACTGAAGTATCCGGAAGTGGACGACCCTGAGGAGTTACACACCAACAGTAGCCAGTCTCCTTATGACACTGAACTGGCGCGTAGGTGCCGTCAGGACGGCAAACTGGTCGTGCTCCTGGTCGTGCTGTTACTCTTGCTGAGAAGCACGCCGGTGTCTCTGGAATAATTTATTGAGCTTTCAAGCTTCAAAGTAAATATAATTTAATTTCCAACATGAAGGCTTAATAAATAATTATCTCCATAAATGGTTTTTAGAAGCCTTCAAAGTCTTGGAATTGCATACTTAAATCATCAAGTTTATATAAAATTGTCATAAAATAAGTTAAGTAGTAAATAACAAAATCATTGAGTAAAGTGGATGTTAACTCACCTGGACATGGACCTGGATGTTTTATCAAGATTGATTCACCATGACATTGTCTTGATATAACTTGACATTGTGATGAATATGTAACCCCATCACTGCCACAAACTGGCGTAGTTGATCCGCCATACATTGAACATTCGGCTATCTTCTTTCGACATTCCTCCTAAAATAAACAAGAGAATTTAGTTTCTAAGTACACTTGAAATAAACATTTATCTCGTTCAATTAATTGTCAGTATCAGCATCGATGAAGTGCAAAGTTCGACAACGTGGATTATCCAAGATAGCAAACACTTGATGAATTTTTTTTTCTCTCTTTTTTTTTTTTGGAGAAATTCCTTTTTCTTGGGGTCATGAGGAGCGGTCGTGAAACATCAGAACTTTCTCGTCGTGATGACAAGACGATATGAAATAGAGGGGAAGTAGGAAAAATGAATGATAAAGTGTGATTCGCTTTCCCTTTTCTTCATCACATTTCTCACTCTCATATTCAACTCTTAGGGAGAAAATTCAATCAGTCTGACAGTTGTTTAAAGAGGAGATTATTTTCTCTTTTGTCCATGAACAAACTTCTGAGCATTCGCGACTTTTACGAGGCCATGGAGTATATTTGAAAAATAATTGTGAGGTTTATTATTACCATGTTGTGTACTCTAGAGAATTATCACTGACTTTTGTTAAAAAAAAGGAATAAAATTGGCCAAATTCTAGCAATTGGTGGATTAAAGAATATAATAAAGTTTTAAATAATTTAGTTGATGTATGAAGAATAATTATCAATAATAAAAGGAAAAAAGTAATTAAACTGCAAGTATTAAATCGATTTCTTAGGTAAATGTGACCTAACACATTGTGCCAATTGGCAGTAAGTCCTTGAAAATAAATATGGTTGTAGAGACAGTAGTCCAGACTGGTACTAATGTATGAAAACCACGTGGAAAACCGCAACTCAACGATTATCCGTGACTAAGTATAAAAAGAGATATCAACGTTCCGTTTCTCGACCTTTTATATTCAACTACATTCGCCAGTCTTGCTTGAATAATCTTTCTAATTGTATTTGGCACAGCTTTAACATTTTTTAAATGATTAAAATTAGCTTTGAAAAATAATTGAAAATAATTTATCAACCTTCACCATGAAACATAAACCAATTGATTTGATTTGAATTAGAAAAATAAATAACTAATCTTGTTAAAAAGGTTCCATGCATACGGATTTCTTCATGTAATTATAGATTTCTTCGCGTATATCTGATCAATTTTTCGTGTTTATATATCCAGTCACAGGTATAAGAAATGGATAAATTTACTGTCTGCTGGTTCACTCTGAAATGACTGAACATGCTGATGGTGTAATCCAACATCTCCAACATGTATAACTCACTTTCGTGTTTTTCGTTCTGTTAACCAACAACTGTCTTACTTTTTCTTACATCTTTTCTAAAGCTCTCTCACTTCGTGGCGCCAAGTTAATCATTGCCATCGATCACTCCTACTCGGGTGGCGGGTGTGATAATGATTACATTATTCGAATCATTCGTTTGGATTTTGTGGATTGATTCTGTTATCAAAGACGTCAGGCTTCTATATGTTCGTTCTACTTATTTTCCTCTCATCTTTGTAATTAATAACACATTTTCTGTATCTATAAATTAGTCATATTGTCTCTAAAAATAGTGAGTTTCTTATTATACAAACATCTTGTTATATTCCATGTAGTCAATTCAATATTTATAATTTAATTTCTTTCATTATATTCATTGCTGATAACTCACTAATTTACATTAAATTTTATCAAATTTGTCAGTCAATTAATTATTACTTATTAATGATATCATTTTGATACTAAAAAGTTAATTAGCACTTGAATTTCCTTGTAGCATTACAAAAATCATTGTTTGTTTCTAAGATGGAAATAGTGCAAAAAAATGTTCTTTAATGTGTGTTAAAAAATCATCTTCTCAGAAGCCAACATCCAAGTCAACATGATTGATTCCAATTACTTTTTTGTTCAGTTTTTCATTTATTATTGATCTTTCAAGAAAAAATGATTCATTAAAATAAGCCTAGAGCATGTTGGTGGTTGATGGAGAGGTCAATAACCATAAGAGTTTCTGACTGATGAAAAAAAAAAGAATTAGAATATCACTGATTGATCGATACTGATAATTAAAACATTACAATATCGATATCGCGTGTGATATGATCCTTATGTATCTATAAATAACATTGATGCAAGGACATCCGGTTATTAGCTACGTCAAATGGTCTTGCCGTCAGTCATTTGATGGCGCCTGCAAGAATTAATCTGTCGAATCGATAATTAAAACACTTACACTGGCCGCTTTATGTCACTTGGTTGGCGCTAGCCTACACGTGTACACTTGAGATACGATTATATGTTATGTTGCACTTCATGTCATAATAATCGATGTTGTATGCGAAATAAATATATATTATAAGTGTAAATTAACTATCACATCTGTTATTTTATACTAGTCTAAGTGGAAAAAAGAGGTGCCAACAAATGACAATATACTGATAATTAAAGAATATGATCGATTATGATCAGGAAGAAAATTATAATCAAATCCTGATGATTCTTATCTTAAATATGATAATTGATGTGATGAAAGACTAGTAATGAGAATATATAGTGTATTTAAATAAAAAACTTTTGATAGATATTGTAATTTAATACCAAGGAAATGATGAATATTGCAAGAAAAATCATTTAAGAGGTTATTTCATTTGTAACTTCCTGAGTAATATTTTATTTTTTTCCAATTTTTTGATCTATTTTTGAGGTTAAATGTTTTTATATTAAAAAATAAACTGCTATAAATTGTTTAAAAGACGTTTTTTAGTTGAATAAACGCAGTAGAGCAGTGAATAGAGATTGAATTTTACCTTCATATGCTAGTAGGAAAAACAGAGGTACCAATACAAAGATAAAACTTTCATATTTCATTTTACTATTTGCCAAGAATTGTTGATACATATTCCAAGTGCAACGAAGTATGTGAACATTTGTTAAATTTGTATATCTTTGGCTTCAGGCAAAGAAGTAACTTGCCGCTACCGTTCAAATATTTAACCAACCAAGTCTTTGCTCATAGATCTTGTGTACTATAAAAGCATAACATCTCCCTTAAAATACATTCAGACTGCTTTATAATATATTTTCTAAACTAGACAATCAATGTTACTATTTTATAACATCTTGCTCCAAAAAAACATTTTTATCAACAAAATATATTGATGTAACAGCAAAAAATAACATTCGAATAATAAGAAATTAATATTAATTTATTGCTTCCTTTATTACATCAATTTTATCAAGCAATAAAATGTGAGATTTGATAAAATTTCATTATTATTTAGTTAAATGAATTTTAATCTCAATCTGAATTGATAGGCACATTTCCGGACCCTCTGTTTATTTGAAAATCATAGAATTCAACGAAAATTTATAGATGATAAAAGTTGACTCATCTCATCAATTTTTTATTAACTTCTAATTTCTTTTTCTTTCTTATTTATGTCACATAACTTCCTAACTCTGAATTCTAAATTATAACCTCTTATTGATGTCACTCTTTTTCTTCTGACCATCGATTAACGAAGACCGATCTTAAGATTGCAATTGAGATGAGAAAGATGCGTTGATTCACAGGAATGGGAGCAAGTGATGTTATTTCGTTTTTTTTCCATATCCTCTAATGATGTCTTGCAATGTCTTAGACATTTTACATTTAATTTAGATCCATATCAAGATATATTTGTATGTAAAGATGTCTCTATTTGTTGTTATTATTATCATCTTTTATTTTTTTTTGATTTAAAATCTATTCTAATTCAAGATGTCAATCACTATGTATGATCTTTGATGTATCTAAAAGAAATGTTGGATAATTTTGAATTAAATAATTAATTGAACTAAATTTTTGTACTCAATTGTTGAGCAATGAAAAATTAATCAATATTGAAGCAGGTGATATAATAGATAACAGTTGTTATTTAATTATTCAAAATATTAGCAACTATTATTTCACCAAGTATTTGTCACATCTTTCAATGTAAAAATAGTGACACATACTTTGAGAAAGATTATGTGATTTGATTAATAGTATAGAGGGTTCATAAATCCGTCGGGGTGGTAATTCCATTAATATCAACAAGTCCAGGACGAAGACATTTAGTCAACTAAAAATATTTTATCTTCATTTTTTTTTTTTAATTTACGCAAATTTCTCAAACATATTTTTACCTTTTTCTAAAATAGATTCTAAATTAATATTTTTAAAAATGTCATGTATTTTTAATTTTTCTTCTTTTAGAATCATTTTGGAGTTCAAAGACTATTTTCTTTTAACAATCAAGAATTTTTTTTTTATTGACAATTAACAATAGAATAATTAATAAATGCTTACCTTAGCAATATCAACAGTTGTGTTTCCAACTACCTGACAATTCTTGAGACCAAGAACAAGAATCACAAAGAATAAAATCATTTTTGATATTAGAATGTCCAAAGATTTTATTCTCATAGTGTTGATAGATATTACGTTACACTTTGATTGATATTTAAATAAAAATAATCAACTAAAAACAATCACAATCACATTTGCTCAAAAGAACCCTCGACACTGCCAATCACTGACTGATTTCTCAATGAACATCATCATGCTTTTTCCACCACTTGATTGTGGTGGAATCAAATAAGAAAGGGTTTAGAATTCCTTCATCTTATCTTTATTATACAAGTCCTTGTTGTAATAGAGATTTTATTTATTTTATTTTTTTTTTTTTCGTTCAATACACGAAGCAATAAATGAACTAAAATGAAAAAATAATCAGTTAAAATTTTTGTTAAAAAATAGCTGGTGGATGACGTTTGAAAAGTTGAAATGCAATGTCTGGCACCTCAATTGCGAATGATCGGTTGCTGAGAGTTTGAGAGTGTCCAGCCGTGGCAAATGCTGCTGAGCAACTGGTACTTGCCACTTACTATGCCGTTGAGGCTCGTCTGAGACAGGACTTACTGTCCAACAGAGTAGAGAATAGTAGAGATGGGGAGGAGCGTGTGATATCAGAGAGAATAAGTCAGCCGGGAGAAGTGGCCGACACCCGGTTATATACTCTCTCATTTAACGATTGTGCGCGTGCTCCTCATGTTGATATTACTTTTTTTTATTCATCAAACTTTGTATTAATTAATCTTATTTAATTTATACACTTGAATTATATTTTGGAGTAGACTTTGTGTACTACAGATTGGAGTTAGCTATCCCCACTAGTACCAATTTACTCCAAAATGAACTTTGCACTAAAATCATAATAATTGATGACAGTTTTTAATAAATAGAATATTCAATTTAGGAAGTCTTTCTTAATTTAATTTAAACCAGATTTATTAATGAAAGAAAGCTGACAACAAATAATTAATCCATTGATTTGAGAAAATTGAATAAATAATTATTTTCAAGGATTAAATCAATTAGTTTGAAAAATAAGTCATATTATTTGACAAAAAAAAGTAGAACGCAGTAAACCACTTTGGTCTTTTCAATAACTTGAATAACAAAATCCATAGCTTTCTTTAGCAGCTAAAGTTTAGCTTTAGAGTTGTTTGTTAAACCTCAGGTGTACGAAGATTTGTAGTCCACAACTATACAAGTCTTCAAGTAAAGGATACCTTTCAAGAGTCTTTTCAGGTTATAAAATTTTTAAAAATTACCTGAAATTGGTGTTAAGCAGTCTTTTTAGGTGTTGATGAATGATAGAAAAGTACTGCTGGAAAATCTTGGAATTAGTTGGAACGAGAAAAATAAAGTAACAGATTGAAAGATATTACAACTGGTTGAGACTGACTGGTGATCTGGAACTAAAATTATTGAGACGAAAGTTTTTCGGGTAGATAGAGTGACGCGATTCGATTTGAAAGTCGATATAGTAAGAGACTTTGTAGATTTTTTTTTTCATTTTCTGCAGTCTCGAAGGTTGTCAAGAGGCACTCCCCTCTTTCACTGATTCTTTCTTTTTGTAAAGAAGACCACAAATAGCAGAAAAATTGAGTGAACACATTTGAAAAATGTATTAGATTCTATTGACTGGTTTGGGTAATAAACTGCATTGATTTCCACTGAATCCAAATGAAATGGAAGAATAATAAAAAGTCACCAAGTCAAACTCGTGTCTTGTATCATCAAGAATTATCTAATAGCATGTAATAACAGTTTATTATTATAAAGAGCAGACGGAATAAATGCCAAGGGCTGAAGACAAACGATTCGATGGGATTGTTGTGAATCACTTATGGTAGGAGGCTCTCGAAAACGATTCAGAACTGGTTACAGACATTGGAATGTAGCTTTTAACACGATCCAGGGGCTATCCGCGTTCGGAAGATCCCGCAGAGAACGTTAGATGCTAACTCCGCATCTCACTCTCTTTCACAACTAAACTAAAAAGCAGAAAAAAAAAATGAATTAAAAAATAAATAAATAGAAAAAAAGATAAAAATAGAGCGCGGGTGAGTGAGAAAAGCACACCTGTGAGCCTTCGTCTTAGCTTGTTAAATTTTAATCGTCCTGATTTATTCCACCTGCAAAAACGAAGATATACCAGTTACCTTAACATTTTTTTTTATTGCTTGCAAGACTTCATATAAACATAAATCATCAATGTTGTTTTGAGCTAAAACATAATATTTTAATAATGAAAAATTTATTTTATATTTAATAATCCATAAGTAAGTAATTATCTAGGTTATGAATATTATGAATAATTAATAAAGAATAATTTTAGGTTAGTTATAATTTATAAAACATTTTTCATTGTCTAAGTTTCTTTCTTTATTATCTCCAGAGTTAGAAGAGATTAAGTGACAGAATTTCTTTACCTATTTCAACTGTACGTATGAGCTGTAGGCGTTAATATATATTTACTCCAGGTAATAATTGACTTTGAGAGTTAGATTCAAACTTAGCTGATCTAGAACGCATTACACAGAAAGTCCTTTGGGGTAATTGATAAGAGAGAATATATTATGCTTCCCTTCTTTTTGCCTTTTACTTTTTATTTTCTGCTTCATTTTGCCTCTGGGCAGTTCAGAGCTTGAGATTACTTGTAATTGAGTCGATCGAGGTCGTAACCATTGTGTAAGTACTAAAAAATTATAAGAATTAAATTAAGATTTTAGATAATAGAAGAATGAACAAATATTTCATTTGATTACCTTAAAAATATTCCTCTTGCAATATTATGGTATTTTTATTATCATGATACTATTTAATTACATGATTTCAAATCAAAATCTTCTTTGGCAATATAAAAAGCAAATAAAATAACTACGAATTATTGTAGACGTTAATTGGCATCATCAAGTCGCGAAGAAGGAGTGTAAAAGAATCAACGTCATCCATACATAAGAAAGGAGCAAATGTGGTTGCGTTTTTACTTGAGATGCGCAAGAGAGATCTTTAACAGGCTGCTTGTTCGCCGACTGGACAGCAAGTGATCGCGTCTGACTGGGCACACCTGTTCACTCAGGTATGCGGGGGGTTTACCATCGTATTTTCTCCCGTAGGATCCAGTGGTTCACCATATAATTCTGTTTTTTTCTATCATTCTGCCAATTTGACGTCTCCAAAAATCTTTATTTCGCAATATATTCTATGATCATGTTCCCGGAACAGGACCAACAATTACCTATGAAAAAAAAAAAATATTTAGGATTAAAAAAGAATTTATTTGATATTTTTCAATGATAAATCACTAAAAATAATTGAATAAAACCTTTCATAACTAATTATTAAAATGATAAAAATATCTAAAGGTTCTCTTGTCAATTTTTTTTTCTTCAAAAAGAACATTTTACCCTCTATTACCATTATCATTCAAAATTTACATAAAATGATTTTCTATTCAAAATGGAATGAATATCAAGTTGAAAAAATGATTTTAAGAAAAAAAAATTACTGAGAAAGAAACCAGGGCCAATGATGAGAACAATTCAAAAGACTCTGGACTAGAACGGTTTCATTTTGAATGTAGAAAAAAGATAAGAAGGATGCCGCCACGCCAGGGGTCTTGCCCAGGTGGATCCCAAGATCTTAAGACGAAGAGAGGATGGAAAGACTCTCTGGTAAAGCCAGACAATAGGACGCCAAAGATGTTGCTTTTTCTCTCGCACTTAATCTTTCTCTCTCACTAGTTCCCCCTTCAAATTGTCCAGTCTTTCGTCTTGGACTTCAAGAACTTGAGAGCCATGTTCAACTCACCGCGTGAAACCATAATTTACGGGTTGCGTTTACGTACGTGGGCATATACCAACTGATTCCATACGCCATAGGGCTACTTTCCTTTACATTCAAGCTACCTTATAAGCAAAATCCTACTTCATACGGAAAAAGTCTTGCGAGGGTTAAGCATCCATGTGACTTGCTCTGTATACTTATGGTCTGCACAGGTGTACGCTATTTTCTTTCCTTTTATTTTTTTTAATTCTCTCCTCTTTCCTCCTCCGCTTCGTTTTGTATCTCCAGACCAATTGAAAGACTTGAATCTCCAATAAATCTTGCTTGTTTGCTTTGAATTCTACAAATGTTTGATACAGTTAGAACTTTTTCAAGACAATAACCATTTTTTACTTATCATTTTATACAGACTTCTTAATTCTTATTATTTGAATTAAAATAATTCGAATATTTTAATTCTATTAATTATTTTTACATGATTTTTAATCAATTGTACTTCAATCATTAATAAATTACTACTGCAATAAGTTACCTCTCGTTTAATAAATTGTCGTTGTTTGTTAATTAAACAACAACAATGTTGATAAAAATTCTAAATGCAATCAATCTTCTTGAGCTCTTGTGTAATAACTTGATCAATCCATTAGAAATAACGGTTTCTCATCAGCTTGATGCTATGCATTATATTCTGTCACTTGGTAATGAAACTTGTAGAAATCAGGTTTGAACTCTAGATTAGATCTAGAGAATTATAATACATCAATATAACTTGATTTAATTATTTTTTTAAACTGAAACAGAAGACTCGCTTGACAAGGGAATATTTGTTTTCTATTACATCAATTTGCATCAGTGATGTATGTAGATTATTATTATAAAAAACTCTTAGGATATTTTTGTATTCATAGAGAGCTAGTTTCACAATATTTAAATATGAGGTTGATGATTTTTCATAGAAAGCGTTATAATATTAATACTTTCCTTCATTTATCATTTTTAATCAGCTAACTGTTGTTTGTTTTGAAAATATGAAATTAATGAGATTGTTTTCTTTTAATTAAAATTATTTCTCGTTATTAAAATGTTGAAAGTATTTTAATTAGAGAGTAGTTGATTTATTATATCCTAATTTTAAATTTAATTGTTTATGACTATCTTTATAGAACAATTAAATGAATTATACACAATTAATTTTGTTCTGTTGACTGTTGTTTTTTAATATTTCTAAACACTATTGGTTATCATTAATATAACCTAACTTTAAATTAATGATAGGAATTGTATACTTTATTTTTTTTAATAATAATAGTAAATTTTGTTCAAATGTTATTAATTTTTTTTATTAATGAACTGAGTAAACATTAAATTATTTTTTAATAAAATTTTTATTCATAAGACGCGAATCATTACATAGCAATAGGCGCTGGTTGAGGTATGTCCTTAGCCGTTTTAATTTCACAGCTGGGTTGTTGATGGACAACTTCTTCTTTTGGCTCAACAACATTGACAGTATCGGGTAGAGGTTTCTTAGGTCCAATCTTACCATTAGGATCCCATGGGAGCATAATTTTAACTTTAATTCCCAATACTCCTTGTCTCAGAAGTACATGACGAGTAGCAGTATCAACATAATCAGCTGTTGGCTCTCCAGAGTGAATCATAAGTCCATCAACGAATTTCATGCTTTTAGCACGTTGACCTCTTAGTTTTCCACTAACTACTACTTCGCATCCTTTTGCTCCTGACTCCATAATGAAACGGAGAATACCATAACAAGCTCTGAAAAGTATTTAATCATGATTACATATAAATATAACCTCCACGATTGGAATTTAAATAAATATTTGGTGTTAAATATTTACCTTCTGACAGCTAGACCTCCGATTAATTTATAACGGAGTGATTCAGCTTGAGCAATAGCGCAAAGACCACGAGTTGCTATTTTTTCAGCATACAGTTCAACTGTTTGGTCTTTGAAGTTGAATCTTTTCTGTACGACTGAGGTCAATTCTCGAATTCTTCGTCCTTTTTCTCCTAAGACACTTTGTGTATGAGTAGCCATAAGAATGATTTCAGTTCTGGTGGGTGTAACACGTACCTCAACACCAGAGTATCCATCTTCAGCGAGTTCACGAGTTAAAAACTCGTTTAATTCAGCTTTGAAGACTCCGTCTCCAACGAACTGTTAAAAACAAATAATCAATTTATTAGTGAACTCTCCACTTATTACATATTATTTCGATAATATTCATTTTTTAAAAAACACAATCAATCAACAATCAACACATGACACTTGATCACGACAAAACATGTAAATTAATCGTCAATCATCGGCACGAATAATCATATTTAATTTTTCAAACACAGAAAATATTAAAGAAGAAGATTCAGAGAATCTTTTGATTATAATATTTTTATCAACATTTTGTTTATAACAACGTATTAATTACAAACCTTTCGCTTTTTTGAGATTGACCGTGCAGCCATGTTTATTGAAAAAGCGAGAAAAGAACGAAGATGTCTACAGAGTGCGCGACATATTGTTTAGTTTGGAAAAATCACTGTAGGTGGCCATTTACTTCAATGAGTATAGTTTCGTATCTAATATTTCTATAGTTTCAGTTGAATTATTTTTCATAGAAACTTTGATTATTGCCGGCTGTTTTCCACGGTAGACCTGATAAAAATTTCTTTGATCTGATATCACCTATTTTAGCCCTATTCCTATTTTTATATTTACCTATCAAATTGTGTGAAGTTGAAAAAACACTCTCACCAGCATTTGGTTTTGCAACTAAGCTAAAAGTTTCTATTTTTTGCCAATCATGAGGCACGTGTATTTCAGGTTACGTCAATCCAACATAAATAAATTTTTTACTCGTAAATTAAACAACATAGAAAATTCTAAATTATCTGAAAATCAGAAAAACACATTACAACTTACTGATGAGATAGAAACACTTAAAGACAGGTTAATTTATTGTGATGCTATTCATCGTAAAATGTATTTTTCTCATGAAAAAAATAAAAACAATGAAGAGCATTCCACTGCTTTACAATCTTTAAGTGTTGCTCTAAAATACATAAGTAATGATAATTGTAATATTCAGAAACAGATGACAACCCATCAAAATAACGAAATTGCAGAGAATACATCAGGACCAATTTTTATGCCTTATCAACAAACTGATCAATATAGCAAGACCGAAGTGAATTATTCAGATGATTTGTCTAAGGATACAATTCCAGTTTTAAATGATAAGTATTCTAATTTGTATGAGTTATATTTAAATGCTAAGAAGAAAAAACTTTCAAGAAGAAAACTCTCTCGGATTCGTCAGGAAATATTCGGAAACTACGATTCTACAGATACACCATCTAAAGTTCCACAAAATTGGATGGCTGATTATGAACATCATAACGATTCAATGGTGTCTGATTCATATTTCGGAACACCTAATCAAAAAATCCCTGTAAGTAGCATTCCATGTGGTGGATGTGGTGCTTTATTACATTGTCAAGATCCCGCTATACCCGGGTATCTTCCATCTGAATTATTTATTAATATAAAAAAGAGCGATTTAAAAAACACTATTTGTCAACGATGTCATTTCTTAAAATACTACAATACAATGGTTGAAGTTAGAGTTCCTACTGAAGAATATCCAGAAATATTGAGTCAACTAAAATTGAGTACAAAAAAAGCTCTTGTATTATTGATGGTTGATCTGACAGACTTTCCTTGTAGTATTTGGCCAAATTTATCAGACATTATTGGAAGACATACGCCTTTCTTTGTAGTCGGAAACAAAATTGACTTACTACCACCTGACTGTCCTGAATTTATAAGCAATGTTGAACAATCATTATTAGAAGCCTTGGAAAAATCAGGCATTCGAAAAAAAAATATTCAACATCTAGCATTAATTTCTTCTAAAACTGGATATGGAGTAGAACAACTGATAACTAAATTACAATCCACATGGAAATATGAAGGTACTAGTTTTTGTTTCAATCGAAAGTTAAACAAATTTTAACTAATTATTTTGGAATTATTTTAGGTAATGTTTATATGATTGGATGCACTAATGTTGGAAAATCAACTTTATTCAATACACTTCTTCAATCTGATTTCTGTATGACTGGAGCTACTAATCATTTTCAACCAGCCACGATGTCACCTTGGCCTGGTACAACTTTAAACGTTTTAAAGTTTCCCATTCTTAATCCTGTTCGATGGCGTTTATATTTACGAATGCAAAGACGAAAATGGGAACAACAACAAGAAAATTTCAGTCTTGAATTGAGAAAAAATCAATATTATAATACAAAAGACATACGATTTGCTACATTACAAGGTATTTACTTTTTTTTAATTTTTATTTATTTTAGTCTTAATATATTTGAATTATCCTTGTATTAATGAAAAATTTTTACAGAAAGTATTGGTAGAACGTTTTCAAAAATAACAGATAAAAATGAATCTTACAAAAATTGTCGTTGGTGTTATGATACTCCTGGTGTAGTTCACTCTAATCAAATATTACATTTTCTAACTACAGAAGAATTACTACTTACATTACCAAAGCAAATGATAAGACCTAGAACTTTTCTATTTAAACCAGGACAAACATTATTTCTTGCTGGTTTAGGTAGGGTTGATCTTTTAACTGGACCGGTCTATATTAGGTGAATATATGAGATGATTATATTTTACTTTTAATCTTTTTTTTAAAACCAAAAACTTGTTTGATTAATCAAACTTATTAATATAATAATTCAATATTTAATGTAATATAAATAGAATGAATTATTTTGTTCAGGATTACCGTTTTTGCGAGTGACAAATTACCAGTAACTATATGTCACACTGTTGATGCTGATTCGATGTATGATAAGTTACTTTCAACTGGAGTTTTTATAGTGCCAGCAAATAATCAAGAGAGATTAAAACTTTGGCCAAAATTAGCTAGTAAAGATTTTAGTGTTGATGGAGTTGATGATACAACATCTGCTGCTGACGTTCTTTTATCCAATGCAGGTATGATATATAATGCTTGACTTAAAGTGACATTTAAACAAGTGCAATAGAAATTTTTTAATTTGTAAATGTGATAATTAGGATGGATTGCCGTTACTCCAAATAAAAATGAAAAAGTTAGCTTAAGAGCATGGACCTTAGAAGGGAGAGGAATATATTTAAGAACTCCGGCAGTTCTGCCTAAATCTGTATCATTACGTGGTGCAAGAATTAATAATACTGCAACCTATCAGCCTGGTCGTCAAGTTTATGTTAAAAAATAATAAGATTATTATTATTATTGTATATAATTAAAAAAGAAGTAATGATTTAAATTGTCATTCAATTAGAACATTTATATAATGTTAATATTATTGATAATTAAAATTGTAATATAAATCGTGTAAAATATCGTATTAAATACAGCTAAAAATAAAAATTATTTTCAAATGATTTTTTTATAAAATATTTTCTTTAATTAAAGAGTATGATAATAAGGGCATTCTATAAATATAGTACATCTATTTTTATGTATGTACTGAGAGATAAAATTCTTCATGATTTTCAATCGATATTTTTTTGAAATAATAAAATACTTATTAATATAAAACTAAACAAAGAGTCTTTCTTTTATCGGTGATAAAAAATTGTAATGAAAAATTCATGTTTTTTTTCTATGTTAATTACATAAAGAATTATCAAATATGCATACCGATATAAATTTTATTGTATGTATGGTATTTTAATTATATTTAAAAAAAAAAATACATGATACGTCAATTTATAGAAATATTATTACGATTAAATAAAGACTCATATGTAACAAAAAAAGTGGGAAAATTATTTTTTGAATAATGACTGTAACAAATTTGTTATTATATACTAATAATTCAAGAATTTCTCAGAAATTTTTTTATGATGTTATTATTCATAGAAAGTAATCAGCTTGTGGTTTTTTGCTTGGTATGCCTCGACTTTCTTGAGGCGCTGCTTCAAATATAATGAAATCTCGTTGAAGACGTTCGTTTAGCTCTAAAATAGCAGCAACATTACCACATCTGCAATAAAAATAGTTATTAGGATTTATTTTAAAAAACAATTACCTTTCAGGAACTTATTTTAACAAAATTTTCTTAGTTTAAAACTCAATAGGGATAATTACCGATAACAGTAATTAGGTGCAGACCATACAGTGAGTACTGTTTCATTAAAATGCCATTTATATCCTTCCATGACCAACTGATGTGCTCGACAAATCATATCAATGTCATTTGCAGAATTAAATTGAGCTACAACATCACTTCCGAAAAGATAACCAGCTCCTCGTGGTGATACACCCCAACCTTGAGTATCTTCAGGATCTGACCATAATAAATCACACATTGGTCCATCATGAGGAACCTAAATAATAAAATTTTATGTTAGTAAAGAAAGAAATAGTAACGAAGCTATCTATTTTATGTTTCTAAAAACAAGTAACTAAGTTTAATAACAAGAATGAAATCTTACTTCTTGTTTTCGGTCTATGGTGCGAATTTGATCCAACGTTTGAATGCTAGGAGAAAGACCTCCATGAACACAAAATATTTTTCCATCAATTATAGCAGATAGAGAAAGATAATCGAAAATTTCGGTACAATAACGCCATACTGTTATACTTCCATATTTACGAAGACATTCATCATAGAACCCATAAACTTGGGTAATTTGCCTAGATTCGTGATTACCTCGAATTAATGTAATACGGTCTGGATAACGTACCTTAAACATTGATTATTATATTTCAATATTATAAAATAAGATTTGAGTAAAACTAAATCTATAAGCAATCTTCAGTTTATAGAATTATTTTATAAATTTAAATGATTATATTCTTTCTTACTGATATAGTAAAAAATTATCAAAAATACCTTTAATGCTAAAAGTAGCAGAAATGTTTCGACACTATAAAATCCTCGGTCAACAAAATCGCCCATAAAAAGATAATTTGTCTCAGGTACATCTCCACCAACTTTAAAAAGTTCTTTTAGATCATAAAATTGACCGTGAATATCACCGCACACCTATTGAAGAATAAATAGTATTAATACTTAATAAATACAATAATTTTTATTTCTTCGATTGTCTATATCTTATAATGAAAGATTCTCCTAATTATTAATCATTTCTTTATTATAACCAGGATGTTAAACATATCTTTAATGTTATTTTCTTTAAGGATTATTGAAAAGTGACATGTTGGTCTAGATACATAAAATGTTTTTCAAAAAAAGTGTTATAGGGGCGATTGTAGAAAGTTACTATTTTTACTAATTAATTTTCAATTAAAACAACGTCAAATAATATAGTAAAGCTATGTTTCGCGATAGATATGACACAAGTTTTTAATTATGTCCAGCTCATATATTATTAAAATCGATTATCTTGAGATTATAAAAGAAAAAATACAATTGGAGTAAATATTAAACCGTATTTGGTACCTATATAAAAGCATCAGTAGATATGGATAATTTTTGGATTAAAAGCTTTTTGATGTATTCTATCATAAACAACAGAAAAAATAGAAACATTAAGATAGACCTGAAAATTAGAAAAATTTTATAATTTATGTAAATTAAACAATAAATGATTCTTACTGTTACAGGTGAGTCAATTCTTTGAACATTACTTTCTTCTATAAGAATTTCTCGTGCTTTAGCACATAATGCTTTGACTTCTGCTTCTTTGATGATTTCACATTTTTTCAATTGTTCAATTTGTCGGTCTAAGTCACTTATATCAGCCATTTTATCCAGCTTTTCTGTAATTCACATATAAACAAACATTAATTATTTTTTATATAGAATAAGCTTGTGATGATCAAGATCTAAATTATTAATAATAAAATAAACATTGAAGAGCACATTTTGTGATGAATAACACATAAAAGAGCCAGGAAATTATTTTTGAAGAATAACAGATATTAAACAAATGTTTGCTTGTTTTTTTTTCAATATTCAAGTTATAAAATAATTATTAAAATTACTCATAATGTAAGTATGATCTATTAACGGCTCAAAATAACTCACGTTTTTTGAGTTTATTACCAATTTATATTTACTATGTTTACTCATTACTAACTGAAATATTTAAAAAATTATTTATGTAAATATCATTGATAGATTTAATAAATTTTGTTGGTGAAGTTTACCTTGGTGTAATCAAAAATGGCATTTGAATATTAGTTTATGTGAATACTCCAACTTATCAGTAGCACTATGCTTAAAGACTTATAAAACAGACACATCACTTTGAAAAGATTCAATAGTTAGAAATCATATGTCCTTTGTACTTTACCAAATACAATTCATATCTCAATTATTATTTATATTATTATTAGGAGAATTATTTGTAATGACTCCTGTTATAGCAAGTATTGCCTATTTAAATAGAATACAATTTTTTAATTTGTAAAACACTAAATTAAACAGCTCTGACTTTTCAATAAGCGCAATGCTTTCGTTGATTCCGTATCTATACAACGTTCATGAATATAGATATATCTATATTGTATTCCCAAGTAAAGATGTGAAATTACCGGCATCAGAGATTCCGGTAAAAACTGAGTAAAATTACCGTATTATGGCAGTTAAAAAATTTTACGTGAAAAAATGACCGTCAGTTATAGTAATTGTCGTCCATTACTGGTCATTCGCATCTAGCCGGACAAATATGACGAATATTTACCGCCAAAATCACTTTTTTATTTACTTTCTTGCGTTTATTTTGACTTTTTCGCTTGCCATTACTTAACAATAATTTTGATTTAAAAATTATAATAAAAATTTATTACTGCAATATTTTTTTCAATTTATTTTTAAGTTAAATTATTTATCTCAACTCGATTCGCCTCCGGTAGAAACTAAGCCAATCATTCATGAGCACTACACTCGCTGGATAAGGTAGAGTTTGTCTACTAGGTTAGGTCAGTTCGCGTACTAAGTACTTCTTCTATTTGCAGCCTGTGTATTCACGGCTTCTACAATCAGCAAAACAGTAGAAAATTCAAAGCTTTTGATTCTGTCAGAGATTGAAAATGAATGTTGTAGAAAATTTTTTACCAGGAACAATGAACACCGCCTCTAATTCCGCAATTCCAGATTGGTTACAAGCCGAAGCCAGTACTGGAGTAAGTAATCATGCTTCTTTCATTAATTATTTGCTTTTATAAAAATATTCAGCACAGCACTAGGTTAGAATGACATAGCAATCTTTGCAAAAAAAATAATTTACTTTAATTTTACTGAATAATTTTCGATAGACTTCAATTATGGCTTGCGAATTTGATGGGGGTGTTGTTATTGGAGCAGATTCTCGTGCTACAACTGGGTGAGTTTATTTACTTCATAATAAATATCTAATGTTCAATTTCTCATTTTTAAAATTTCTATTGTTTGATTTGTGATTCTAATCTTGGATATTATTATCTATTTCCAGGGCATACATCAGTAACAGAACTGCTGACAAGCTTACAAAAATTACAGACAATATTTACTGTTGTCGTTCAGGATCTGCTGCTGATACTCAAGCGATTGCAGACATTGTTGCTTATCATTTAGGTTTTCATCAGTAAGAGATTCTCTTATTATTACATATTTATAACAATACTCTAAAATATCATCTAACAATTAATGCTGTATGTTCTTCAACTGCTAGTTTTAAAATATTCATTTTTATTCCAGAATGGAACTTGGAACCCAGCCGTTGGTTGAAACTGCGGCGAATGTTTTTCGTGAATTATGTTACAACTATCGTGATTCCCTGGTAGCCGGTATTTTAGTTGCTGGATGGGATTCAAAGAAAGGTGGTCAAGTATACAGTGTTCCAATTGGAGGTATGTGTGTAAGACAACCAATTTCAATCGGTGGATCAGGATCTACGTATGTTTATGGATATGTCGATGCACATTACAAACCTGGCATGACAAAAGATGAAACTGTTGAATTAATAACAAATAGTAAGTTTGATTTTTTCTTATTATAAATAATTATCTACTTTAAATTTGTTCCATTTTTTTTACTTCATACATTCATTCAGTTGGTTATAATTTTTTTATAAACAATAATAAAGGGTGAATTTAAGGTGTCATTTTATTATCAATAAAATAAATTTTCTCTATTGAAATTGATTAAAGTGTATATTATGTGCTAAATTTGTTTTATTTGTCAACAGCTTTGGCATTGGCAATGAGTCGAGATGGAAGCAGTGGTGGTGTTATACGTCTTGGAGTGATAACATCCAAAGGCATTGAACGTAAAGTGATTTTGAGCGAAGATTTGCCTAAATTTTATGAAGGTTAATTATTTTAAGACTATAAAAACTGATTCAATCTTGATAATTATTACAAATTTATTACGGTTCGATTGAAATACTTGGAGAATAAAAGATGAAAAAAAAAAATTAGAAATGTATAAATAATTTATTAAAATTTCTCCCCTTCGAATCGGCAATAGGAGTCTGTAGGTCATTCAATAATTTGTTAATAAATCAAGCGGAAATAATATATTATTATATAGAAAGGTCACGTTGATTGTACTCTGCGCTTCCGTAAATTATTTGATAAAGATAAGTGACTTGAAATTTCTTGTTATTTTTTTTTCCTCAATGATTCTACACGATCTTGTGATCCCAGAACAACTAAGTATATACATACATGCATTGCTTCCTAAATTTAAGCCGTATTATCCAATTGTGCATCGCACGAGTACATATATATTATAACATTTTACAATGGCACTTATAGCTATTGTCGGTTTAACAAGAAAATCGCCGTCGTGATATAAGTATTCTGCTCTATTACATCCTAAACGCATCAAAGCTGTACAGAAATCTTCCTTCATGCCTCTAAGTTCTCGTCTGTGGTGGCCTAATGTTTTAAAAAGTTTTATAAATGTGTCTAAACTAGTGAACAATTTTTTATAAAAGCTCCAATAATTTATTTATGATCTTATTGTGATTTTTTGAATTACCGAAAATGATGGCTGACGGAGGTTCTGGTGGTTTAAAAACCAATTGGGTTCCGGGTCAACCAACTGTTGATGAAGTCAGCATTTCAATGCAAACTTTTGGTATTATTGACTACACTGTTTTTACCTTGATGCTGATATCTTGTGGAGGAATTGGAATTTATTTTGGATTCATCAAAAAATCATCTGGAGAAGATGAATATCTTGTAGGAGGAAGAAACATGAAAACATTTCCAGTTAGTCTGAGCTTAATTGCAAGCTTTATATCTGGAATTTCATTACTTGGAACACCTACAGAAATCTATGTTCATGGAACCAGTTATCTTTTCATCGGCTTTGCCGTTATTCTTGTGGGTTTTGCTATGTCATACATTTATTTACCAGTTTTTCATGAACTTAAACTCACCAGCACTTATGAGTATTTAGAAAAAAGATTTAATAGGAAAGTTCGTATCCTTGGATCTGGATTATTTTCTCTTGGAATTGTAAGTGTTTTTGAGTTAATGAACTATTTATAAGGTTCATTTATTTTTAATAACGTTTCTAGATGATGTGGCTTCCCATAGTTATTTATGTACCAGCACTAGCATTTAATCAAGGTAGTAGTTCTTTAATTATCATTTTATTTGCCAAACACTGAATAACAGTGGGAAATAATTATTTTTGTAGTAACCGGTGTCAATGTCCATGTTATTACTCCTTTTGTGTGTGTCGTGTGCATTTTTTACACATGTGTGGTTTGTAAACATTTATCATGGTAACAATATAATTCTAATTTTACCAATTGAATTATTATTCAATGCACGTATTTCATTAAATCCTTTACTCATATAAAGTCATTTTTATTTTCACTATTATTAGGGAGGTTTAAGAGCAGTGGTATGGACAGACTTTGTTCAGGTCTTCATAATGTTTGGATCAATGCTATTGGTCGTTATCAAAGGGACAATTGATCTAGGGGGTCTAAGCGTAGTTATACAAAGAAATCGCGATTCCGGAAGACTGGAACTACCAGTGTATGTTTCATTGAAATAATCATTCTAAAGATAGCAGTTTGATGCTCACCTTTGATTAATGAATGAATAAATTATAGAGCAGATTTAAGTCCATTAACAAGACATACGTTTTGGGCTTTGGTCATTGGAGGGTTCGTTCTATGGTTGCAAAGTTCAGCTATTAATCAAAATATGCTTCAACGATACATTTCGCTGCCAAACCTCCAGGCTGCAAGAAGGTCATTAACATTTTTTGATGATTAAAAATTAATAGATTGGAATATTAATAGCTAATACCTTTGTAGAGCTCTCTGGATCTTTATTTTTGGAGCATTGGGTCTGATTGGAATTTGTGGCTATGCTGGGATGCTCATTTATGCTTGGTATCACACTTGTGATCCATTAACAACTAAATTAGTCAATGCAAAGGATCAGCTATTGCCTTTGCTAGTGATGGATATTCTAGGAAAACTGCCAGGATTACCAGGACTTTTTGTAGCAGGAGTTTTCAGTGCTGCACTCAGGTGTTTATTTGTTTATTGTATTACTCCATATATGTATCAAATCGATCTTTTATCATAATCCTTCTTTACTAGCTCTTTATCAACTGGACTCAACTCTATGGCAGCAGTGGTATTTGAAGATTTCATCAAGCCTTTTAGGAAAACACCACTCAGTACGAAAAAGGCTGATATATTAATGAAACTTACTGTCGTGATATTAGGAATTATATGTGTAGGTTTAGTTTTTGTTGTTGAAAAAGCAGGAACTCATGTACTCCAGCTTTCCATGACAATGAGTGCCATTCCCAGTGGACCATCTTTAGGAATTTTTAGTATAGGAATTTTACTACCATGGGTCAATGCTAGGGTATGTATATTCTCAAGTATTTATTGATTAATAAACAAAAAAAAAATACACATACCATAATTGACAATTAGCTAAATTGAATTTTTTATTTAAGGGTGCTTTGATTGGTGGTCTTTCTGGTTTAGGATTTATGGGTTGGATGACTTTGTCCGCTCAAACTGCTATTGCTACTGGTAATATCAGGTAAATAATTATCTTTTCATTATTTTAGAATATAAAAATTCTTCATCATAAATTTTTAAATCATGTAATCGAGATTTACCAAATGTTCAAGCTATATATTTGCAAATGGTTAATTACAACCTTTGTTTTAAGATAAATAAATAACCAATAAATTGTCTTCTATGCTAGATTTGATGAGAAACCAGTTTCAACAGACGGATGTACCTATTGGTTCCTGCAAGCAGAAAATTTACACCTGTTGGTACCACCAGATTCAGTTTTTGGTAACGCTGAGGATGCAAAACTAGGGTAAATAATATAATAATATTATCAAAAGATCCTAATTGTATTGAAGATATTATTTAAAGCTAAATCTCACTTATAGCAACTTCATAATCCATGTCTTCAAGCTTCCTAATAGTAATTTTATTTTCCAGTGAACCATGGGCAATCTATCGTCTGAGCTACTTGTGGTATACCGTGACTGGAGCACTAGTAACGATGAGTGTTGGCCTTATTGTCAGTATCATATTCCCAGAACGAGATAAGAAACTTGATCCCATGCTAGTTGCTCCATTCATCCGGAGATTTCTGAAGAATACTAATGCTAATTCTACCGAGTTATGTCAAGTCAGTTGTGAAAGGCATAAACCTCTATAAATATTTAATAATTAAAGTTTAGTGATCGAAGATATTTTTTAAATAAAAATTACCTGAAGCTAAAAAGCAGCTAGTATTTTAAATTATGTAATCATGCAATGTAAATAGAATGTGAAGTTTTTTGTAACAACATATCTCTAGATAACTTTGAAACCAACTAATACTGTTGTAAGACTACCATCTAGACCTGAATGTACATGACAATCACCGAGACAATATGTAAAGTAGATCTTGTAATCTTTATTTTATTTACATAAGTCTATTTTACACATATTATAAAGTGTAGTGATGACCGAAATTTTGTAACTATTTGTATTTTGAATGCTCCAAGACTTGTTAAAACTTTTAAAATATGTTTAGATAAAATTAATTTTCAATTAAGAAATGAGTATGAGTTTTTTTTTGGCTTTCCAAATTTATTCTTCAGCTGAAAATCTTCCTTTCACACTTGTTCTTTTTTAGAATTAGATCTTAAAAGTTTGGATTATAATTTTACAAAAAAAACCTAGCAAATTTTAGGAATTAATTAAAAAAAATATATTTATTTTATTTAATTTCTTCTACGTAATGCGTATATATTTAATTATTTTATAAATCAAATTCAAGGCTGAATCAAACGCAATTTTATTATTTATGAAAATATTTATCTCAATTTAAATAACAAAACGAGATTGACAAACTAGAAGGAGATCTATTTACTTAGTGATAAAAAGGTTTTTAAAATATAATTTATTCAGTTTGTTTAAGGAATGTTCTTTAATTTGAATCACAAAGAGCTACAATGAAAGATTCAGCCTTTCAATTGATAACAAATATAAAGTTTCATTACAAAAAGCATTTATAAATCAATTGAAAAAAATATTAGAATATATTTTGAGTTTTTTTTATTAATATTTGTGTTGTTTGTCAATGAAGGTTCTTCACAATTGTATGTCCCAGAAAGGCTAAAAAAATATATACATATATGGTTCGCTCCCCAAATTTACGTCGTATTATCCAATTATACATCCCACAAGTACATATATACAAGAGCATTTTGTCATGGCTCTCATAGTTGTTGACAATTGAACAAGAAAATCGCTGTCTTCGTGTAAGAACTTCACTCAACCAAACCGTGAACGTACCAAAACGATGCAGAAAGTTTTATAAATGTGTCAAAACTAGTGAATAAGTTATTATAAGCATTCAAAATAGTTATTAGTTGTTCGTATGTGATTTTTGAAATAACTCAAAATGATGACTGAAAGAGTTCAGAATCAACCAACTGTTGATGAAGTCAGCATTTCGATGCAAACTTTTGGTATTATTGACTACACTGTTTTTACCTTGATGCTGATATCTTGTGGAGGAATTGGAATTTATTTTGGATTCATCAAAAAATCATCTGGAGAAGATGAATATCTTGTAGGAGGAAGAAACATGAAAACATTTCCAGTTAGTCTGAGCTTAATTGCAAGCTTTATATCTGGAATTTCATTACTTGGAACACCTACAGAAATCTATGTTCATGGAACCAGTTATCTTTTCATCGGCTTTGCCATTATTTGCGTGGGCTTTGTTACGTCGTACATTTATTTACCTGTTTTTCATGAACTTAAACTTACCAGCACTTATGAGTATTTAGAAAAAAGGTTTGATAGGAAAGTTCGCATCCTTGGATCTGCATTATTTTTTCTTGGAATTGTAAGTGTTTTTGAGTTAATGAACTATTTATAAGGTTCATTTATTTTTAATAACGTTTCTAGATGATGTGGCTTCCCATAGTTATTTATGTACCAGCACTAGCATTTAATCAAGGTAGTAGTTCTTTAATTATCATTTTATTTGCCAAACACTGAATAACAGTGGGAAATAATTATTTTTGTAGTAACCGGTGTCAATGTCCATGTTATTACTCCTTTTGTGTGTGTCGTGTGCATTTTTTACACATGTGTGGTTTGTAAACATTTATCATGGTGACAATAAACTTCTAATTAAATAAGGTTAATTATTTTATATCATTTCATTTTTATTTTTATTATTACTAGGGAGGTTTAAGAGCAGTAGTATGGACAGACTTTGTTCAGATCTTTATAATGTTTGGCTCCATTTTACTAATTGTCATCAAAGGAACAATTGACGTAGGTGGAGTTGATGTGGTCTTCCGAAAAAATCTAGATTCGGGACGATTAGAGTTACCAGCGTATGTTTAAAAGAAAATACTTTAAACAAAAAATCTTAGATTAAAAGAAAACTTCAGCTTTAATGTAATTTAATCAATTAATAAATTTTAGCACAGATTTTAGTTTAATTACAAGACATACCTATTGGTCCCTGTTTTTCGGAGGATTTTTTCTCTGGCTGCAAAGTTCTGCCATAAATCAAAATATGCTTCAACGATACATTTCCTTGCCGAATCTTCGAGCTGCAAGAAGGTTGTTGATCTTTACTAATGATCAGAAATCATAAAAATCTAGAAATAATCACAGTTAATATTTATATAGAGCTCTCTTGATATTTATATTTGGAATAATATGCGTGATTGGCATGTGTGGCTATGCTGGAATGCTAATTTATGCCAAGTATCACTCTTGTGATCCATTAACAACTAAATTAGTCAATGCAAAGGATCAGTTATTGCCCTTGCTAGTAATGGATATTTTAGGAAAACTGCCAGGATTGCCAGGACTTTTTGTAGCAGGAGTTTTTAGTGCAGCACTCAGGTAAATCACGATTCTTTATGATGTTTGTAAATAAATACAAGTTCTATCAACGTTTTATCACAATTATAACATCTTAAATAGCTCTTTATCAACTGGACTAAACTCTTTGGCTGCTGTAATATTCGAAGATTTTATAAAGCCTTTCAAAAAAACACCATTTAATACAAAAACAGCTGATATATCAATGAAACTTATCGTAGTGATATTGGGAGTTTCATGTATGGGTCTAGTTTTTGTCGTTGAAAAAGTAGGAACTCATATTCTTCAGTTCTCCATAGCAATGGATGCAATCACCTCTGGACCATCTCTAGGAATTTTCTCCATGGGTGTTTTATTACCATGGGCTAATGCCAAAGTATATCCATATTGTTGATCAATCACCAACTTATTTATTAAATAAATAAAAATAAATGATTTATTTTAAGGGGGCGTTGATTGGTGGTCTCTGCGGTTTAGGACTTATGAGCTGGACTACTTTCTCTGCTCAAGCTGCTATTGCTACTGGTAACATCAAGTAAGTAACTCATATTATTTTAAAATATCATCTCTGTACTAATATAGTAATGAATAGTAAATAAAAATATTAGATAATATGTTTGTATTTTTGTTAGAGCTAATGAGAAACCTGTTTCAACTGAGGGATGTGCCTATTCGTTTCTCCAGGTAGAAAATTTACATATATTATTACCACCAGATACAACTTTTAGTAACACCGAAGATTCAACACTAGGGTAAATATTTTAATCCTAATAGAACAATGTGTCTCCAATTTTCTGATAATATTCTTTCCAGTGAACCATGGGCAATCTATCGTCTCAGCTACTTGTGGTATACTGTCTTTGGAGCACTAGTAACAATAAGTATAGGCCTCATTGTCAGTATCATATTCCCAGAACGACATAAGAAACTTGATCCCATGCTAGTTGCTCCATTCATTCGGAGATTTCTGAAGAATACTAAACCTCATTTCACCGAGTTATCCCAAGTGGAGGTTTGCTAAATAATTTTCACCTACATTATTGCCGATAATTCATCTGAATAAATAACAGATCTATTTTTATTGTTTTTTTTTCAAGGTCTCAATTAAAAATACTCAATCGCCCAATGAACCATTGGATACGAAATGTTCATCATAATAAAAATTTATTGGTGATAAGTAAAAAGTCATTTAATTTTTCTCAGATTTATTAAGATAAATTTTTATTTTATAATTTTATAATAAGAGTATACACATATTATAAATTAAATAATTGTACAAAAAATTGTAGGTGCATATATTAATTTTCGTTGCGTCTATTTTTTTTGTAAATAAAAATCATTAAATCTATTTTTGTGTCATGAATCTCATTGATTAATATTAGATTGAAAAATATAATCCAATACAGCTAACATTTATTTTCCATATCGTTTTAGCTTTATATGGTGGTTATCAATTGCCATCATTACATAGTAAATATCATTTATAATTATATAGTAATTCATATTAACATAGAAAATAGAAATATCATGGTTTAACAGATTAAATATTATTTCATCATTTACATTTATTCCCAAAAGTATAAAGAAAAAATGTTTTTTTTTTTCAGTTAGTTTTTAATCATGGTTTTTTTCACGAATGAAATAAAACTATCGAAAATTTGTGGTAATATCCAGTTAATGTGTTTATAAAATAAGTTCTTAAAGAACGGCAGTAAAGTTTAACAAGGGCATCATCACAAATTATAAACATTTTTTCTTATCATGCAATCGCTGTGTATTTAAAAGACACGTTTATAACATAGATATCTAATCTTAATTGAGGATTTATATCAAGCTAACATTTTCTATTGAAATACACTCACATATTAAACTCAAATTTTAATTATAAACGATTAAAAAACAAAATTTGCGTTAAGGAAAAATTCTAAATGCAATGTTTAACATCAAAAGCTCTCTATATCATCCAATACTTTTATTCTTTATTCATAATACCACGAGTTTATAAATCTAGTTAATTATCCTTATTTTCATTTAAAAGCTTTCACACGATGCTTAATATAAATAACTATTATTATTATATAAATAATTATAAGTAACATAAATATATCAAATTATCATGTTCAGGAGTAAAAACATTGAAGGATTAGCGGAATACAAGATGGAAGAATTTATCATTCTGTATATTTAAATACAAATATATCATATAAAAATATGTATTGATAGTTTGTTCAGATAATTATTTTATACGGAAAAAAATTCATTATCTCAATAAGGATGTCAAGGTCTTATGTGCTTGAATGTTGGGTATGAAAATATGTTGATATTTGTTAGGCGTTTGGAAAATTGGTTTTGGTCCCGAGGTAAAAAGGCGTATATATATATTTTTTTTTTCAATGTCAATTCTTATGAACTGTTATTGTGAAAGTCACTGATGTGTTCAGTATGTTTTTTTTTTCTTAATCTAAGTAAAAAAAACATTCAGCTGCCAATTAAAATTCTTGCAATCGGACGGAGTACCGTGAGGTGTAACTGATTTTTACCTGAATATTTAATTGTTCAAATGTTTATTAAAATTAACTCAAAGAATTCATTAGCTTTTCTGCTATTTTAAAATGTATTATTTAAAATAAATATTTGCAGGTTATTTTTTGTTTAGTTAAAATATAATTTTTTGTGATAAATATTTTCATATTATCTTTTAATATGTATTATCTATGATTAAAAAAGAAATAAAAAAATAGATAGAAATATTTAATTGTTTTCTATAGATAATTAAATCAAAGTTAACTATTGGATAGACTTTTTTTTTTAATAATTCTTTGGTAACATTAATAGAATGTTTAAAAAATATAAAATATAACTACGAATAATTTCAAATAAAAAAATATACAATTATATATAAGAACATAAAACTGACGTGAAAAACTTATTATTTAAGTTGAGTTTTTAAGATAAAGTTCTTTATGCCATCGGTAATGGTGCATTTTCTTCGTAAATCATCGCCAATTTACTATATTCCATCTCTCGTTGAATACTTCTGTGCTGTAATAATTGAATTGATACATTTAATTATTTATTTATCAATTAAAAGTTATTCTCTTCGCAGAGAAAATTATCAATAGTTTATCAGGAAATTTTTATGAAATATTTAAACAATAATTAACAATAATAATTTACATCCATATAAAGTTAAGTAGAAGTAGTAAAAAAAAAAATAATCACTTAATCATCTTACATACAACAAGTTGATGTTATTACTTGAATATCAAAAAATTTAATCCTATTCTTTGGTTTGTAAATTAATAAAAAATGTTGTTGTATATAAGCAAATTAAAGGTGAAAACTCAAAGCAGTCTAAAGTCTATTGATACTTTGATAGGCCATTTCCATATATTATTAAAAATTTTACATTTAATTATCTGCATTTGGTATTCAGCATCAACAAATGATAAATATTTCAAGATAAATTATGCTGGAACTAAAACAATGCAATTACGAATTGATCTGTACCTTTTGAATTAGTGATACAATAATTTGTAGTAGCATTGAAATGAACGAAATAAAAAAAGTGTATTTACCATCAACCTCTCACCTGAGATGAAACGTTTGACTGATTTTCAGTGTTGCGAATGTGCTCACTGTCACTGGATTTATTGCTATCATCTAAGATAAGTTTAGTATTGAAGCCTCCAAGTTCAAGGTCCAAATAAAGCTGATCCAGTTGCTCGTTAACAAGAAGAGGTTGATTGAGATTATTTAGAGCTTGCATGTCTGTCTTAAGTACTTCATTCAATGACTTTGGACTCATTTGGTATCGATAAATGAGTTCAGGTGTTATTTTAATATTCTGTAGCCAAGGTGGATCCATTGGTGCTGCTTCTTTCTGACTCTCATTATTGAAGTGTGGAGAAGTACGTTTCTTTATTAATTTTTGTGCAGTTGATAGATTTCCACGCATAGTCTGTGATTCGAAGTTGGCCTTTAACTCAGTAACCATTGAAAAACGTCTACGGTTGATCGTGTCACCTTTGCAACTTCTCGCTACAATTTTCTGATTGAAATTATTAATTTTATAAAATTTAATCAAAAAAGACACGACACTACCGTATGTTATCATAAATGATTACTTGTTTAAATATTATGATAAATATAATTTAATAATAGTCTGTCAATCTATATTTTTATTGAAAAATAAATAATTATCTAAATAAAAATATTATTTAAATATAAATACTATACATTTTTACTGATTCAATGATTATTATGTATTTATTTTTAAATAAAAATATATTTGTATGACTTACTAATAGTAAATAATACACAATCATGGTTTTTAAATGTATTAAAATTCATAATAAATATATTACGTAAATTGTGACTGGAGAGAAAATTGTTTTGTTTTGTAATTATATAAAGATTAAATTTTTAACCATTCTAAAATATCCAGATAAATCCGTTTTTGCAAGTAAATTTTAATCATCACTCTGTATAACATAATAAATAAATCAATAATATTTTTTTATGAATTTTAGTAAATTTATAATAAAAATGTTTTATTTTAAAATACTACCTCTGATAAATGATTAGCTCGTATCTGCTCAGGGCAACAACTGCTACCGCTGCTAGTATTAAAAAAACTACCGTAAAAACTAGAATCACTGGAATCTTCGATGCTCGAATCAACCTGACTATTTCTTCGACTATTATTGTTCGTTGCTTGTAGACCGGCAAGACTGGAGCATCCACCATCAACACTAACACATGACGAGAAACGATCACCGGGTGAGAAAAGCTAAATAATAAAAAGAATATTCAATAAGTGATGTATAAAAAAAAAAATTTATTTAAATATTTCAGCAAAAAGAACCTTTTTCGATGATTCAGACATAGCCATGGTACTTCCAGGTTCAGCTTTGACACTCGTAGCTTGACTGGCTGGACGTTTTAGTTCTGTAAGTTTTTGTGTTGTCGGTGGTACAGGTTTTTGGACATTTTTATTTGGAACTGTAGGTACTTGAACAACCATAGGAGGTGCATATAAGATTGGAGCTGGTGTTGGAGTAATAACCGGTGGATAAATGACTCCTGCAAGTGGAGTATGCCCATAAGATGTAGCAAAAGATTGCTGTTGTTCAGATAAAAGCGATAGAAGCTGATCCGTGGTTTGATGAGATGCTTCATTTACAGCATTATTTCTTGGTTGTGTCACTGGCATATAGTAAATAGGTATCATTTGAGAAAAAGCTGAATATCTCGATTGCACTGCTACTCTGTAATAACATTAATTGATAATGATTTATAATTAAACTTATTATTCAATTCAATTATTATTAAAAATAAAATTCAACTTACGGATGAGATGTAGCAAGTGTAATTCGTGGCCATACGTTAACATTCGCTGATGTCTGATTCACTGTAACTTTATCTACTTTGGTTTCATTACGAGGTGTCGGTAATACATTGTGTGTATTACAATTGTTTGTTTTTTCGTTGTATCTGAGCACCTGAAATATTCAAGATTCAAAACAGTTAATTTACACTGTATTATTTTACGTGATAACTTATGAATTATAAAAGTATAATTATTACAATAACTACCTTAACAGATTGATTTCCATGGATATTATTATTTTTTCGTTTATATCCTTGTGTTTTAGCTTGTAATATTTTTTGCTCAGGCTGTTCATCTTGAGTGCCTGTTTTTATTCTAACATCTTTATTTAGTTTATTATTTTTTATATTTGAACGTCGTTCTTTGTGCTTCAACATCATCAATTTTTCCATGTCTTGATTGTGCTTATTCAGAAGAGTTTCTGTAAGGATTGGCATTTTTGAATGCTCTATTCCCATAGGATCATTTGAATTACCATTTTCATTATCTTCTTTGCCAGAACTAGTTTGATTTATCGAATCATTGCTCAAATTTTCACCACTGCCGCTACCACCACTATCTTGATTTGGAGGAGTTGGATTGGAAGCTAAAAAAAAAATTCCAAGTTGTATAAATGATTTCTAAATACAAATAATTTTTATATAATCATTCTTTTGATAGATGATAGATTAAAAATAGACTTACTTGTACGATTGGGTCTGGTTTTGCTATCATCATTACTCGGGACACTTAATTGCACTTTTTCCTCATCACTTCCATAAACCGCAGTAAGAAGAGGTTTACTATTGAAGAATCGTTCCATAGTTTCGTTGTAGTTCAACTGATTGTAACTGGGTGGAGTTTCACTGGAAGATTTACTGTCGCAGTATTCATGATGAGGCGAGATTTCGCCCAACATCACACTATCTCGTTCCTGTAACAAGGGATTACATGATCCCTTTACCAGTATATTGTAGCAACTAATAACCATTTATGATTGATACTGCTGATTAAAACATTCAATAATCTTTTAAATCTTTTTTGTATCATTTTAATTACTTTTTAAGGTGCAAGTTTTATTTTAATGCTTAATCGTAATTATTTCTGATTTAAGTGTAATTTATTAGATAAATAATTAAACAAAAGATTTGATGAATAACTGAAAATATGTTTAGTTTATTTAATGTTCAAATAATGTAGTTTTAACACTGCGTGATAAAGTTACTTTATTAATAATAATAATAATTTTAAATTGTATTATTATTTGTAATACAATTTTTTCAATTTGCTTCGTTAAGTGACTTTTCACGCAGAGGTGTATTTTTTATTCAAAAATAACCATAAAAAAACTACAATAATAGTAACGAAATTCTAACGTGCGGAAAATATATTCATGCAAAAAATTTTTATAAAGTAAAAAACATAAAAAAGTACCAATGGAGTTAACGAAAACTTTTCTACGAAACAAAAATTGGTACGTTATTTTACTCACCGAATCTAGACATGAAGATAACTAGATTGATCGACTACTAAATATTCTAATAATTTTAGAAAATATTTGTATCTATATAGAGAAAGATACAAGAAATATTTCCTACTTACGCTTCAAGAAGTTTATTATTATTGTACGACGTGATAATGATAGTAAATTATATGTATATGAAAAGTATATGATTCTATAATGAAGGAAAAAGTCACCGAAAAGCTCCTTTCCTCAGCGACCATGGATATTTTATTAGCCGGTGATGGTTTTTTAGAAGACCTGCTATCACAATATTCATGATGAAGCGAAATTTCACCGGCGGTCAAATTATCGGGCTCCTGCAACAAGGGATTGCGTAATCCCTTCACAAGTATATTGTCACTAAATAAGAGGATTGTATTATTCTAATTGTTAATAACTTAGAGAAATTTTTTGAACATCATAGTGTGGGTAATATATTCTTCACATTGTGAATGAAAAAAAACACTCACTAAAAGTATAGAAAAAAGTTATTGTAGTAATAACTAGTAACAAAATAAATTATAACTTAATGATGACTAATATGTATTGTCAGAAAAAGGTCAAAATAAATAGTCACCGGTAAGTTCCTATCTTCAGAAACCATCAGTGCTTTAGTAGGCGAAGATGGTTTTTTGACCTCATGCATCAGGTTCTCCATGAACAGAGCAAGCTTTGAAGACTGCTTCACGAGATCATATGTACTCATGCCGTTGGATGTTTCAATTTTCTACTCATAAGACAAAAAAAAACAGAGAGACGAATTCGAATAAAGATACAGAAAGGTACCAAGTACCACTGCACTTTATTGGCTCATTAATTTACGTATCAGTTGTCGCATGACAAAATTACGTCGTACAAACTAAACATTTTAAGAATAAGATATTACCTCGGCTAGAAGAGCACGAATTTCATCTTGAATTATTTGCGATTCTTTGAATACTTCTTCGCTGATGTTAGTCAGTAAGCTGCATTGTCCTTCATCAGGAGACTGGAAAACATCTGGATTGACAGGACCTTGAAGAACTCGATGGTGGCCAACAACGAACTCGAGCTTTCGTTCCCACGGGTTGATGTACGATGACCACTCGGTCTCTAGAACAACGTATCCACCATTTCGAACTGCAAATCTGTACGGTTTCGATCTGAAAGATGATCCATCCAGTCTGACGACCTATATTAAAGATCATATACGCATTTATGAATTTATTCCATTCAACTTATTGATGGTTATTGTCCTGCGGGCAACAAGTATGATGCTCACAGTCTCATATATGTCTTTAATAAAAGGCAAATCCTCAGGATGGTAAAAGTCAAAGAGAGATCGGCCAACCATGTCTTGAGGTAAATATCCAAAATACTGAACGACGTCGTCATCTACATGAGAAAAGTGACAGCTTGCTGTGTGTCGAGTTGAAAATGTTGATGATATTATCGTTTCTTCGGGAGCTGAAAATGTTATAACATAAATTTAGATAACTTGTATCAGTATTCAACATTGTTCTCATTTTTAGACGTGTCAATTATAAATGCTTTATTGTTCTAAATATAATTTTATATTATTAACTCAAACGCATTGTAAAATTTATTTTAAGAAAATGAAAAAATATGCCTTTGTATGCAGAGAATACTGGTTCCGCTGTTATTGTCAGCAGCATCATCTTCTTTTCTTCCTCACGTCTGCGTTCACGAAAACGTTTGAATCCCAGACTTAAATGAAAAGGAACATAAGGCAGTGTAGCTCCACTATTATTGGTATTATTAGTCGTTTTTTGTTTTTTTCTAATTTGTTTTATCTCATTGTCCATTTCATTCTTAATCACATTAGGCTCTACATATCTCCGTAAGTTACAAAATAGATTCGTTTGACATTTGTTCAAACCTAAATAAAATAAATATCATGATACTTAATAGTGCATTTATTAAATCTTATCAGTATTTAGTATTTCTAGTACCTTTTCTGCGATTTTTAAAGGAAAGAACTATTCCATCAGCCAATTTCTCAGCAAACGTTGGTCTGTCTTTTAGGTGAATAAAATCGATGAACGAACAGCCAAGCCAATCGTCTTTCGGATATCCAAGTGCTGTCTGCAAGGAAGCAGTTGACTGCACAACTAGACCATCGTGCAATGATACCACAGTGTAGAATTCCTCCTTTTAAATAAAGTACATACATTTTATTTATGAACAAAACATATTGGTCTATAAGTAGGTATTTAATTTCCGTCCCCATGAAATCCGCTCATTCAGCCACAGAGACATTTATTATTCACATTTATTTCATGCTCCTCAGCTTTATTTTTACATCCAATGTATTTTTAATGCCAATACTCAATATTCATCATTACCATCATCAAATAATTCATTTTTGTCAACATTTTTTCCAAAAAAATTCGCATCAAGAGCCAATGAATATCAGCCAATTTATAAACCCAATTATTTGAGAATCAAAATATTTTGTCATCCAATGAATTTTTTTTTTGAAGGATTAACTTTGGAATTGAAAGGTTAAATTCCATTGTAAATTTTTCCATTTGCCCTTATCAATTTAAACTTTGTTTTAATTAATAAGGGCAAATGAAAAAATTTACAATGGCGGACAAACTTTGTTTCATATATGTCAATGGCCTATACTATCCTCGTTCACATGCAGATTTAAGCTGTTAATCATTTTGATATAAAATTGACAGAATATCAGCAGTAATTTAGAGGCGAATTACAAGGGAAGACGGATCCAACCAGTGGCAATTTGATATGAGTAGTGCTATTACTGATACATTTATGTATAATATTGTACCGACGCCGAGGCTCAACACTGAAGTGCGTCTCGTCGCCATGTTTTTTTTTTTGTACTATTGTATAGTCTTGCATTGGCAAATGATGGGACTTAATTATAGTAAATACTAACATTCGCATTTAGGCCGGTATTATCCAGAGGATTGGTTTGAGAACCAAGTCCTCCCTTAGGAGCGATGGAGTTTGAATCGCCATTGTGCTCGCCAGAATCCGTAGCATCCACCAACTCTACAATACCTACTTCTTCTTGTATCAATCAACAAAAATAAGAATTATGTCCCCTATTCATAGAAAGACATTAGGCCCACTGGATGTAAGAGTAAAATTTTATCGTTTTGTTTTGTTATTTATTATTAACATCCCATTAGGAGGTTATAATAATGGGGTCGGTTGTTGAAATTCGTAATTTTATCATATTTAAAAAAGACTGTAAAATAAGTTCAGTGAACAGAATATTTGAAATTGATTTTACTTATTGAGTGATTAATATTGTTGAACACTAAGGTCAGTATCAATACAATATGGTTGCTAATAACTTTACATGACTAAACAATTTTATAATAATTTTAATTTGTTATAAACAAAAAAACTAATCAATGACAAAATTACAGATTTCAGTTAATGGGAAGTTCGTTGTCAGGGCACAAATTAAGCCTGGACCCACTTTTTTCATCATATGAAGATACCTAACCCTAAAAATAATTTAATTGTTTTTCTGTTATGACAGTGTTGTCACAAAATCAACTCTAATAGCTCTTATCTCTCTAATGGTGTATACGTTAACGCAATTGCATAAGAAATCAACTTGGCACAACGGAGTTCTAGTCGCCAATCAATGGATATGGAAATTTTAAATTAAATCAAGTAATTTTCGTGGCTGAGTTAGGATTCTCATAATACTTGATGGCATATGTACAGATTCTATGTAGTGCTCATCACAGAAGAGCTAATAATAAATGATGGTAAAGCATGTGACATTCAGGCTTCCATCATTATCTACCTGCCTCTACCAATTCTATTGTGTGAAAGAAATTTTAAATAAAAATAACATTGGTTGGAAATCGATTGATAAACATAAAAAAAATGTAATCCTCATCGATTTTGAAGAAACCAATTTCAGTAAATTATGACTGAGTCGCGTTACTCTCTGTCACAGCGGTGCCTTGGTTATGTCGGAAAGGATTGCTCTTATCAGAGCCACCAACCTGATTTTTTTAGCGTTTGATTAGACATATTAGAACCTGAAGAATATGTTCCAGTGTTCGTTTGTTGACCAGCATCTTCAGGTACTGGTTTAGAATCATTGGTAATGGTAGTTGATGTCTTGGATTTCTTCTTTTTGTGTTCTTTTTCCTTTTTCGTACTGATTGGCTGTGGAAGAGCCTCATTTCTACAATTCATAGACAAATTGTATCATTTTTTCTCCACTGCTATATTTGTTTATTTATTAGTATTTTATCCCTATAAATATATACGCCGACCCCGATCGAATAAATTTCGTTTACTTTTGTCTTCCAACTGTTTTCCAGTGTTTGTTTACTCTTATATTGGTTTTTTATCTATATACGTTTTAAAAATGTATTTTGTTTCCTTTTTTTTTTACTGTGTAATGACCATACTCCAATATGAAATTCTAAAACAACAAAAATGCTAAAATTCATAATTTCCTTTTCAAATAGTTGATGAATGATTTATAGGTTATTTATAAACAAACATAAGAAGTAATAATTCATTTCTACAGAATTGATTTCACTTTAATTAATATTCCATAAAATATAAATTATGAATTAAAAAAAAAAAATACTCCAATATAAATACTTTCCTGTTCAATTGAATACAGTTCATAGTCTTTGAGTAAAAAACTTATTGAAATAATTATAGATATGACTTATGTATTGACATAAAAGTAAGCTACAGATAGACGTAAAAATTAATAAAAAAAAAAATTAAAAAAAAGTAAAATAAATTATATAATTATTTTTTATTTTTTATCATCTATAAAAAGATAAATGATTGATGGATAATTGTATATAAAAATAATTTCAATGTTTTTTTTTCAACACGTGGACTAATTTTTCATCATAATAAAATCAAATGTCGATTCATACTATTTAGATGCAGAGGTCATAGGCACTCACATGCATATTGAGTCAACTTTATGCTAATTCTTGATATTAATGACGTGTGTAATTCTAAATAATCATTTTGGTACCCACAATTGTAAAGAAAAAAAAAGTCAATAGATAATAATAACTTCCTTTGTCTACTTTAAACTTACATAAAATATCTTATATAAATAATATAGATTTCTCAAGATTGAGATAACTATATGTCAATGAAAATTCAGAGTTATAAACTCATAACATTCCAAGGTTTTTGTAAAACAAGAGAAATTCTATAAATACTTGAGATACTAATTTAGCAAGAATTACAAGTAATTAGCTAATAAAGCTAAATTCAAATCCAGGATATATTTTGTATATAATAATAAATATATATTACATATTATATTTCCAATATCAATAGACTGATATTTACGAGAAAGTTACATGATTAAGTAATATTTTTAGCTGATTTTAATTTTACATATACTGCTCTAATGAGTTGAATAAGCATTAATAATTTTAACACTCATCCATGCTTTATTTTCGTATCCAGATTACTTAACTCTTTTCAATGCTATCAATACGCATTTATTTTATGTATTATTTATATAATTATCACCATATATTTTAACTCCTTTTCATTTAACTGATCTATTTCATCCATTATAATTTAACTAGGCCAATTAAATCTAAAAAAAAAAAAAATAATAATTAGTTTGATGAATTTTTTTATATTCAAAATATATGAGGAGTATTTGATCAAAAGGTCCTATTTCCATAATAAAAATTTTTACAGAAAACAATAAAAAGTATTTAAATTGCTTAAGAAATATAATAATAATTGTTATCATTGTATTTAATACAGATTAGGTTAATTGATATCTATGCACATTTTATTAATAAAAATTTATTTCTTTCAACAAGAGAATAGGACCTTTTAAACACTTTTTATATATCATTTTGATTGATGTTAATAAAAACTCTTATCATATGAGAGAAATTAGGCAAAAAATTAAACTTTCAACTTCTTTATTATTTTTGCAAAGAAGCAGTTTTATTATTCATCTGAATAACTTTGAAGACAATAAATAAATAAATACCTTTATTATATAAATAAGAGTCATTCAAGATATTTGATGAATTTTTGTTCAATAAAAGTAATTCTTAATTTTCCAGTAGCTTGAAAAGATAAATCTAATTATTGAAGTTTTAATAGGTTATCAATTGTTTTGAAAAGAAAATATTTCTAATAAAATTCAATTAGTGTATTACTGATCTGTTTTTATGATAGAAAAATACATAACGATAGTAATTAATTAATAAGCTTAAATAAAAACAGAGAATGGAACTTCATTAAAACATTTTTTTTCTCAGTCTTCAAGGAAATTTTACCAGCCATGGATGGATTCTTATTTGACACGTTTCAACAAAAAGCACGTGGCAGTCCACGTGTTTCTACATCACTACACGATGCTCTATGATTAGATGTATATGAACACAGTGGAGATCATTGGTATTTGTTAGTGTAGTAAGTTGACAATACATACTTATCTCACTTGCATTTATTGAATCTTTACTTCTCTTCATATTACTCATAACCTTACAAAATGTTTTCCTTTTCAATTTTCATCCTGAATAGAACTACCGGTAATCAATTGTCAATTTTAATGTATTATTCTTAGAAACGTAAGGGTTACTTTAACAAAGAAATTGACCAAATTTAGAATATCATATTGCACAACTTATTTATTTACGTTTACCTAACGTTGGATTGTCATTTAGATCAATCAGACTGATCAGTTGTGAATGTTGTAATAATAATAATTATTATGCAATCAATTTTAAAATACTTAGATAAATAAATGAGTTTAACCAAAAATTTAATGAATACATTTTATTATAATGTGTATACTTGGTTCAAGAGAATAATTGAAGAGTAAAAAATTGAATATTTATCTTTTTTTCATTAGTTGGAATGATTATGTGATAATATTTACACATTAATCGATCGGGACCGATAATTATCTTCTGTTCTATCTAATAATGTCTCTTACTTCATGTATATTCAAATTGAACGAATTACCTAAAACCAAAATTGGAAAGATGACCATCACAATAACCACTACTCTCAGATTGATTGCTATTTCTAGAGAGAGAACTTCCACTACTGAAAAGAAAAAAAAAATGTAAAGTATTAAAATGAACATGAAAGTACATGTATCAAAAACTTTATTCAAATAATTGGAAAAAGGTTTGTTGAGAAAAAAAAAATATTTAACATCAACCTTTTATATTTTCCAAGTTATTTATAACTTATCTGTTTTTGATTGAACAAAAAAAAATAAGAATACTCTCTGCAAAAAAAGTAAAATTGTTGGAAATATTATTTCGATGGAGGGAAAAAATTACATAAGAGATTCATAAGCTCACGTTTGATGCCCCGTGACTAGAAATAAATGGAGCTACATATCTATCGATTCCTACACTTAACTCAATTGGTATATTTATAGTTGGATGCAAGTAAAAACTCCATGGAAAATCATCAAAGTCACCGTTTTGAATAGATTTTACTGGAAAAGGTCACGGTCATCATTGATACTTATTATTTATTTTCAACAATTGAATTAATATTATAGCTGGAAAAGCATACTACTTTAAAATATCTCAATCAATTGAAAACAATTACATACTCAGATGTTCAATTATTAGAATGTATGTCATATAAGTTTATCTAATAGACTAATAATATTGATAAACAATTTTCAATTTTAATCAAATATAACTTATCTGTAATTAACATCCAGTTAAATAGCTTAATTGACAACAATAGTCAATGATGTTTAACAATGTTTATTTTAAAAACAATAAACAGATCAATTTAGTATCATCAATGCTATTTTGGTGGAAGATTAATACCAATAATACCAAATCCATTATATTTTTATTCGAATAATCATTCAGAATAAATTATGAACAATGAATTGAGAAAAAAAATCTATCATCTTATTACAACTTTACAAAGTAAATAATAAAAATAATAATTAAATTAATTAATAATTTAAAAAATAAAAAAAATAATTTGATATTTGTAAGAAATAATTTTAAAAAACCAATACAATATTATTTAAATGTAATAGAATATAATTTGAATAAATTGAGCTTTGATAATTAATAGTAATATCAAAAAATAATTTTATTGTAAATAATAGTAATTATTATTTTAAATATTTATATTTTATATCAGTAATTGAAGACTCACCTTCCATGAGATTGACTGTTTTCACAAGTATTTGTATAGCCGGAATCTGACACTTTGGCATTGTCGTTAGACGACATTTTCATCTATTTGACGAACTGTTATTATTTTTGATTTTTATTCAATCTTAATTCTTGATTATAATGCATTCACACATCAAACACTTTTTTCATACACAAGGAATCTCTTCCCAACCAGATAATCTACGAGTAAGATGTCAAAATGATAAGTGAAAGTTACTTTATGTGAAACAATTAAAAGTATTTAACTCTGCATTTTAATAAATAATTATTTAAGTTTAAGTTAATTAATTTAATGAACAATTTGACGAATAATTAATAATTTTTATCGGTACGTATACCCAATCACGTTGGAATCCGTATCAACAATGTTCGTACCTAGAGGTAGCGGACCTAAGTTGGTTAGTCGCGTAACTACAGAGCACGTGGTAACCACCTCCCACTGCTTGGTAAATGATGAGTATAATCGTCAATGTGACAAGGGTGAACGCGTCTCATTTATCGGAACTTAAGAAGGTTGGTTTAGTTACAGCAAACAAGATTAAAATAGCCTATCCTTTATAACTTTCATCCTTTGTTTTTAGATAAATATACCAAATATAAAGGTGTTTATTTTAAAATATCAAATTATATTGCTATAGAAAATTATGCAATTTTATTCTTAATTATAGAAATTTTTGATGAAAATAAATAGCATTTGTTTCTTTTTAATTGAAATCACAGTTGCTGTCAGGTACTTGGTTTCGATGTGCCAGGGTCCTGAAAATGGAAAAAACTTTTCAGTAAAATTGAGTCATCATTTGTAGACTCAATTAATGAATTTGACTTTTTATGGAATTTTTTTTAATAGAACGGGTTTATGAAGAATTAATAATTGATTAATTATCTGATTATTTAGATTATAAATTTTCCATGTATTTTCTTTTTTGTTTGCTTCATAAGGCAAGTCAGTTACAGTCTAACAATTTATGTAATAGTCAAACATGAATGTCAAAAAACGCATGTGAATTGAATTTTTTCGTTGTTTATTTTTTAATTGTTTTTATTTTTTATGACTGTAATAACAAAGATTATTTCTATTTGTATAGAAGTATGAAAATTATAATCATCGCGGTTATGAACTTCAAATTCTAAATAAAATTTTATGATAAAATCAATTTAAGTAAAAGCCTTATTGATTCAAGCATAAGGTTTCATTTGTAAATCGAAAGGGTGATTGTACATAATATTTATGTAAGAGAAGATAAAAACATACGAATTAACAGCAAAATATCATGATAAATTTTTGAGATCAATAATATCAGTTTTTCTGACTAATTAATTTCTTCACAATTAATTCGATTCATAAAATTTGACTTTTTTATGTAAAAAATTTCGACCTGCTATATTCTAAAGGCCACGTTTTTAATTGTACAATTAATAAATAATTAAAATATCTACGACACAGAATATATATATATATATATTTTATAATATGATTTAAAACATATATGTTAAAAAAAATTTCATGAAATTTCACTTTTTGTTTTATATTTTTTGACAAAAAGGGCGCAGTATGTTCTTTTTTTTAAAAAATTTTTTTTTGTTAATAAAATTGATTTGCTTGTTAATCATCGGTGCTACTTAATTATTCCTCCACTTACGAGCCATACTCGACATTAGTCGTACCAAGATTTTGTAATTTCCTGTATAAAAATAGATGTAGGACGTTTTTTTTTTCTTTTACTTATTTTGCTTTTTCATTTCGTTAATTTTTTGCATTAAAATTTCGTTTTTCCAAAGCACAACCGGTGTTTTAAAACCACGAATGAGCAATATTTTTTTTTTTTATCAGCACAGCCTCAAAAAGAAAGTACGAAAATGAAATCAGTCTCTGCACAAATGTCTATCACACAAAGATCGTAATTGACCAATAATGTTTGAGTATTCAATAACGGAAAATGTGTTGTAACGTTAAAGTTAGAGTTTCGGTAATGTTGAAGTGGTAAATGTAAGCAATATAGTGAAAGATAATAGTTGAAGTAGTTTCCTCAGTTGCAGGCCCGACGTGGTCAAGTGAGTCTTAAAATTCGTCTCATTGTTGCGTGCGTCCAGCTTGTGTTTAACCAGTCAGTCTGTGGAGATAAACACAAAAAATTAAATTTTGTTTCCCGTTCTACACCAATAATCCTTAGTGACAACAATGCCTTCGTGATAATTATAATAATCACCATTCATTAAAAAGTGCTGGCTTTGTAGATTATAATTTACTTACGTGACACTAAAAGGAGTTAATTTTGATCTTCATCCATTTTTAAACGCTTTCGTCGATCTTCACCTACATTTCTTTCTTCTGCTTCCAGAACTTTTAAACGAGATCCACAAATTTCTTGTCCATGCAATGCCTATGAAATAAATCATATCATTAATTAGTATTTTCTCGCTACAAATATCCTCGTATTTTTATGAGTACTTTAATCTAGAACTTTCCATCATAAATTAAAATTTGTCTAATAATTTGTCATTACAATCATCTCACCTCAATGGCTCTTTTTGCACTTTCTACGCTAGCATATTTAGCATATCCGCAATTTTTTCCTGATAACATGTAAACATCTATAAGATTGCCAAATCTACAAAAAGCATCTTTCATAGCATAAATAGGAGGCACAGGTGGTCCACAAACAATAAAACATCTTTTTTCAACTTCAGCATCTATACTCGCCATTGGTTGAACAGGCGGTAGCTTCATAATCGTAGGATCTAAACCTATAAAACATTATTTAACGTTAGTTATTAATAAAGAAAAGTACACTATATTTATGTTATCATAATATATAATTATAAGAAAAAAAAACTTGGCATGATTCACGCACTTGGTGCCGTTAATCCTGCTGCTTGAATTAACGATGTTGCCTGGACAATTGTTTCCGCCAGGTGTGCCAAGTCCGTTCTCGCTACGCCTAGTCCAGTTATACTTGACCCACCAGGTTTCATATTTTTCTGTGGAGAAACTCCTGTCATATCTGGTTTTACAATCATTCTATGTCCAGGAGGATATTCAAATCCATGTAACTTTTCTCTGGCGTAAGCTGCAGCACTAGGATGCGAATAGACAACTGTTGCTTGCCCACGTGGCATTCTATATCTTACGTCTGTTTTCAGATGACAATAACTTAAGCCAGGTACAATGTCGAAAAGCTTCCATAATTGGTCTTGATTCAATGCTGGATGGGCGATTACTTGAAGTCGCGTATACCCTTCGGGATTTGGATAATTAGCAGCAATTTCCAAACCAATACTGTTTTTGCCAAAACTAGATGAGCTATAATTATTACCCATATTGTCAAACTGCATTGAAAGTCCATTGTTATATTTGGAATCCGAATGATCTGGCTTTGGTTTCTTCGGCTCAGCGAAAACAGCCTTGAATTTTCTATCACACTCTTCAAATGCCTTAGCAGCGCTTGACACCTTTTTAAATTTAACGTATCCAAATCCCTTGGACTCATTTGTGTTTCTATCCTTTACTACTGTTGCATACTCGATCGGTCCAAATTTAGAAAACTCTTGCTGGAGCTCGTGATCGGTCATTGACTTGGGTAAAACACAGAATAATCTAACCCATCGTTCCTCTTCATTAGTTTCTCGAACGGATCCTTGATCTCGACTAGAAATAATCAATATTAATATTATTACCTTAAAAAAATTATCACTACTTATATTCAATTAACACAATTTGTTGCTTGTCGACTACTTACTTTGATGCAATCATTACTTTTATTGGACGGCCTATTGATCCCAACATTTTTCCATTCATTTCTTCAAGTGCAAATGCAGCTTCAGATGTTTTAGAAAATTTTATATAGGTAACTCCTATGATCAATCAATAAAACAATTAATGAATTTAATTGTAGCTCATAATATCAACTTTAAAAATATTGTTTATGAATAAAGTTTTTTATTAGAGTCATTAATTCAGTGAAGATTAGTCAAGCTAAAATATTTCCCGGTGTTTTCTTTTGGAGTCAATTTTAATTATATTACTGTTATTTTCAGAGACATAGTATTTTTGTTGGTATACAAAATAAAAATATTTTCAAACACGAGATAAATAAAATGGTATTTAAAAAACAAAAATAAGTGGATTAAAAATAGAAGAATATTGGAAAGTGAATTCGATTAAGAATATTTAAAGTGATTATAAATAGATATTGATTGCGTAATTAGTCGAAAAGTAGTAAAATATTATCGATTAGGAAAGATCGTTAAAATGTACCTTTATTTTCACCCGTATTCCGATCCTTAACAACCCAAATATCTTCAATTTTGCCAAACTTATCAAATGATTTTCTCAGATCCTCTTCTTCCAAACTTTTATGACAAATAACAAATAATCGTGAATTAGGTGGATCATCATTTTTTGATCGTGGATCTGATTGAGAATAATATGAGTCTCTTTCTCGGTGATCAGCCATTTTGCAAGTGAGCGAAATTTGCGTCTGAAGTTATACACTCATGAGTAAAGAGAGATAGAGAGTGAGAAAGAGAGAGTTTTAATAAGTAACACTGTACAATCTCTCGTCCGGCTAAAAGTTAGCCAAGAAATGAACCAACGCCCGGCGTGACAACAAAGTCAAATCTCTTTTAGAACTCTTGATAGCCGTCAATATGAAAACCATCGATGATAGGGAGGAGAAATCAAACTACGAAATATAACGAGCAACAATACAAAGTAACAAAACACGCAGTATGATGGCGTTGTTATCGGTGTACGGAATTTACAACTTTATCAACGCATACTAATAGGTTAGTTAATAGCATGCTGAGCCATCTACAGGCCAGTGGTAAAGTTAAAATGTTTTTTTTGGTTAGAGTTTGATGACAGATGGCTCAAGAATGGCTTTCAGGGCCAAAAGAAAATAAGCAATGTTAAAATTTAATATTTAGTTATATTTTCATAATTAAATAAATTACGATGATAATTAATACTTATTTTAACATTTATATTAAAGAATGATGTTATGCTTTACAAATAATAGATTCAAAATGAGACATCTTGTAGCTATTAACAGCAAACGAGAAAAAAACGTTTATTCATCAAATATCACACCTATTATGACGCATACAAAATGAAAGTAATACGTTACATTTAATACATACACACGGTTTAACGTTTAATAAGATATGTTCATGTGTTTGGTAAACTATAATGTCAATTTACCCTTGTACGATAAGCAGTGCAAAATATATTGTTTTGAAAGGAAATAAGAACAGCTTTTGTGTCTGGAAAAAGTCATGCAATTAATATGGCTCAAGGTTAAGATAAAGTTTTACAAGATCAGCTGAATATAATCACAACAATTATCATAAGTCATAAACTGATCATTTAGAGACATTAGTAATCGAACGTGTCTTATCTCATTAGCTTACTGACATTTCCTTAAATTTTTTATAAATTGAATACACAATAATATAACTGCTTTTATTCATTATGACAGTTACAGTTATGAAGTTGACAAAATAGTGATTTTTTTGGAAGTTTTTATTTTAAATTGCATTTAGAGAAAGTCAAAATTTACAGAAACATTTAAATCATGGATTTTTCTGGTAATGACACACCATGGGGATTACGTTGTCTCGAATGGATATTAAACAAATTTTGTCCTCACAGAAGAGCAAATAAGCTAGCCTGGCATCAAGCTGGGATATTGGTTCTTACTTATGTAGGATATACCTGTTATCATTTATCAAGAAAGTCTCTTTCTGTTGTCAAAACTGTACTCCATTTGAACTGCAGTACAGTATCACCACCCCCAAATCTTATAATCAATGATGATAATCGATATACATGGTGTGATTGGAAACCCTTTGGTAAGAAATTAAATCATTTACTAAATTAATATTTAAACTATAATAAATACAAAATAGACTATTTACATGATTCTCTTTTATAGATACTGAGGATGCTCCAGCTCTATTAGGTGTACTAGATTCAGCATTTCTATTTGCTTATGCATTTTCAATGTTCTTCAGGTAACTATAAAATAAATGCTGATATTTATCAATTAGTTGTGAAGGGAATTTTTTTTATTATCAATACTTTTATTTTTTTAAGCGGAATCTTGGCTGAACGAATGAACCTTCGGTATTATTTATCTTTAGGAATGATAGCATCTGGAATAGCTTCATATTTACTTGGTATAGCTAAGATTTACAATATTCATAGTTTATGGTATTTCGTATTCGTACAGGTTTGTACATGAATTTTCGTAAATTTTCTGGACGGAAAAGTTTTAAAGAAGCTGTAAATTTCCAGTGTAAAAATAATACCAATATTCTTTCTGATAGAGAAGAACATAAATTTAACCTTTGCCTAAAGACAGTGTCTGTCAGTTTCTAAATCTATTTTTATGATTTCATAAGTCACCCATAATTAACAGTAATCCGTCACATTATGTCTAAATTTCTATACTTTACTTGAGATTTTCAAAGTTAAATCTTTTGTGTGTATTTATTTCAATGCATTTGAAATTTACAACATAGCTTTACAAAAGTCTTCTTACCAACCCGCATGGCTTGATTTTGGCACGATTCCGCTAAAGGTATTGTTTTAATGCAGACCCAGGAAAGTTTGACTTGGAGGAAACTCAAGAAAGAGATAGAGAATCGGGGACCCAAAAACTTCTATTGCTTACATGAGAGCAAGTGAGAGAGACTCTGGGCTTGCATAAAGATCCTTCATAAGATTCTCTGGCTTTCAAGTTTCCCTAAAATTGAGTTGGCCTGGCTTTTACATGAGGTAAAAATATCAATGCTCAACACCTTATGTTAGGACAGGGTTGGACAAACTTGCAGTACCGTTTGAAGAAAAATATATTTTCTTTAAATAAAATATATTAAATTTAAATGCCAAGTTTTTAATTTATAATATGAAACAAACTTGCAGTACTGTTTGAAGAAAAATATATTTTCCTTAAATATGATGTATATTAAATTTAACTGCCAACCTTTTGATTTTATAATATAAAACAAACTTGCAGTACTGTTCGAAAAAAATATATTCTCTTTAAATATAATATATTTCATTTAAGTGCCAAGTTTTTGATTTTATAATATGAAACAAACTTGCAGTACTGTTTAAAGAAAAATATATTTTCCTTAAATATGATGTATATTAAATTTAAATGCCAACCTTTTGATTTTATAATATAAAACAAACTTGCAGTACTGTTCGAAAAAAATATATTCTCTTTAAATATAATATATTTCATTTAAGTGCCAAGTTTTTGATTTTATAATATGAAACAAACTTGCAGTACTGTTTAAAGAAAAATATATTTTCCTTAAATATGATGTATATTAAATTTAACTGCCAACCTTTTGATTTTATAATATAAAACAAACTTGCAGTACTGTTCGAAAAAAAATATATTCTCTTTAAATATAATATATTTCATTTAAGTGCCAAGTTTTTGATTTTATAATATGAAACAAACTTGCAGTACTGTTTAAAGAAAAATATTTTCCTTAAATATGATGTATATTAAATTTACTGCAACCTTTGATTTTATAATAGAAACAAACTGCAGTACTGTTTAAAGAAAAATATATTTCCTTAAATATGATGTATATTAAATTTAAGTGCCAAGTTTTTGATTTTATAATATGAAACAAACTTGCAGTACTGTTTAAAGAAAAATATATTTTCCTTAAATATGATGTATATTAAATTTATCTGCCAACCTTTTGATTTTATAATATGAAACAAACTTGCAGTACTGTTTAAAGAAAAATATATTTTCCTTAAATATGATGTATATTAAATTTAAGTGCCAAGTTTTTGATTTTATAATATGAAACAAACTTGCAGTACTGTTTAAAGAAAAATATATTTTCCTTAAATATGATGTATATTAAATTTAACTGCCAACCTTTTGATTTTATAATATAAAACAAACTGGCAGTACTGTTTGAAAAAAAATATATTCTCTTTAAATATAATATATTTCATTTAAGTGCCAAGTTTTTGATTTTATAATATGAAACAAACTTGCAGTACTGTTTAAAGAAAAATATATTTTCCTTAAATGGAATATATATTAAATTTAACTGCCAAGCTTTTGATTTTATAATATGAAACATAAAATAACTATTTAAAATTTATTTCAAGGTTTTAGAAACTAGTTTATTTCAGCGTTGAGTATTGATGCTTTTATCTCAAGTAATTTTAGCTGAAAATCTTGCCAAATATATTATAATTTACGATATATTCTTAACACATTATTTTTAATATCCGCAGGCACTTGGAGGAGTATTTCAAAGCAGTGGGTGGCCTGCAGTTGTTACATTAGTAGGAAATTGGTTTGGCAGAGGAAAGCGAGGTCTTTTATTTGGAGTATGGAATTCTCACACTTCAATAGGGAATATTTTAGGGACTATCATAGCTACAGCATTTATTACGACTAACTGGGGACTTAGTTTTATTGTTCCTGCAATTATAATTAGTAGTGTAGGATTTATTATCTTCCTTTTCTTGGCTCCTCATCCGAAGGATGTCGGTTGTATTACTCCAGATATGCACGGTTACAAAAAATTAGATGCAACAAACAGTTCAGATGAAGGAATGTCAGGAGATGACCTCGAAAGAACCCAAGAAAACGATGGAGATGTGAGTTGATAAAATATTGGACTTATTTTCAGTCAACTTAACATAATATTTTTACAATACATCTATTTTTCTGCTTTATAGCAGTTTCAGGCTCATTTTTTTTTTTTAAATATTTTTAATATTTATTCTTATTTCATTCAGTTTGCTAACAATTTAATCCACTTTAGCAATCCTTTCGACTTAAAAAATGGTATCAACATAATTTGGAACTCGTAAGTGCATGTATTCAATTTTTTTTTTTTAACTATTATTTTTTAAACATTCTTCCATCATATTTTTACTTTGTTTATTAGAAAACTATACTTTCACACATTACTTAAATATTATTTTTAATACAATTTCTATTATTTAATATATTGGTTTTAATTAATTCAAACTATTATTAGTTACGAACATCAAATTTTTCTTAAAGGATTCAGAGGGTATTCGTTCTGAAACAAGTCCCATGTTATCTGTAAATCAACGCATGCAACAAGATAATGGAAATCGAGCTATTGGATTTTTTGGAGCAGTGAAAATTCCTGGTGTTAGAGAGTATTCTATTTCATTATTTTTCTCCAAACTTGTTATATATACATTCATGTATTGGCTGCCTCTGTATATTAATTCTTCAAGTTAGCATTTTTAATTTATTTGACATCATTAACTAATTCACAAAGTTTCTAATATAAAATATTCATTAAATGATTTATTTTTTCTTTATTAGCTGAGTATGGAGCAACTTTGAGCGCTTATATTTCAGTTTTATTTGATGTCGGTGGGATAATAGGAGCGATTTTAGCTGGAATATTAGCTGATTATTGTGGAATGAGTGCTGTAACATGTGCAGGGATGTTATTAACAGCCATTCCACTGGTTAGTATTAAAATTTATATTAAATAGAAAATTAAAAAAATATTTTAATTGCTATTTTTTATGTTGATTTGATTTAGTTATTCATTTATGATCACGCTGGAAATTCAAGTTTCACTTTGAATGTGATATTATTATTAATTGCTGGAATAATGGTTAGTGGACCACCTGCTTTAATATCAACCGCTGTAGCTGCAGATTTGGGGACTCATCCTAATCTAAGTGAAGGTTCAAAAGCATTGGCAACTGTAACAGCAATTATTGATGGTACCGGAAGTATTGGTGCGGCACTTGGACCGCTTTTAGCAGGCGTTGTGTCACGATGGGCTGGATGGCATAACGTTTTTTACATGTTAATGACTGCCGATTTTTTTGCATTGTTATTTTTACTTCGATTAGTATTCAAAGATCTGAGGTTGTATCGACAACGGCGATTGGTCGTTTAGATAATTTCATATTTTTCTTTTAACATATGATGTATATTTTTTAATGAAAATATTTTAATGAACTATCAATGAAAAAATGACTACACAATCGCAAAATGTGCAAATGTATTACTATGTATTTTTTGATGAATTATATACGAGAGGAAAAAATATAAATAAGTTTTTAATAAGTAACTAAATATTTTTTACTTTTATAAATAAAGTTTATATTTCATTAATTAGTGAAATTGATGAATAATTAAATAATGTTTCTATTGTATGATATAAAAAATATAAACTTAGGGAATTCCTTCGGGAATTATGTACGTGATAGCATCTGCATATTCACCCCAAGCTACTCGTTGGGTTTGGAAAGTGATGACCCACGCCAAAATACCTGCTGTCCATAAAAGTGCCCCTATGCTTGAAAGTATCACATCTAGATGAAGAAAATTATTTTTAACAATTATTTGTTAGTGTAAAAACCTAGGCTGTAATAAGGATAAAAAATGTTTACGATGGAGGTTATGATTTTAAAAATAAAGAAATAAAAAAAAAACGTTCGTAAAATTATTTAAAATTTTAAAATACTTTACATTTTCTAATTTGTTTTTGTTCATTGTACTGTGGCATGAGGAAAGCTTCTTTGAAAAACCAAATAGCATTTACTGCCCAAACAAATGGTAACACGCAGAATCCCACTAAAATATTTCATGAATTGTAAATATAAATGAGCTAATAGAGACTATTTTAAATATTTATTTTTATTTATTTACTGATCTATTATATTAAATATTTGATACATACCTCGAAAATACCATCTACACAAATATAGTTTTTTCTCGTTCGACATTTTAGCTAGATCCATTGTTTATGTATAAATTAATGAGCTAATTATTTTAAATCAAATTAAATTCTTTAACTAATAAATAAACATACAATTGATGAGTTAAATAAAATTATTGTATCTACAACGCAAGTATTTATGACACTTGCGAAAACGCCATGATGCATTTCCCTTTGAATGAGGTTTATGTTCAGTATTTCCAACAGACGGTAATTCATTAATGTTAAAATCTAATGTGTGATGGCGTTAGTGAATTTTTGGTACCAAATTCAAAAGATAGTTAGCCGAGCCCACCCCTTTTCTCAATTTATTCAAAGATTTAAATTGGGCTCAATGGGCCTTGAGATTTAGCCAGTGTAAAAATTTGTTATTTTTCTCAATAAAAAAAAAATAATTCTAAGATTCTAATTTGGAATTATTATAATTCTGAAATTATCTTACTAAATGGAGCTATTTGATAATGAATAGATGATTTTCAAGGAGGAACTAGGATAATAGTCCTGTCAATATGCTTTTGAATTTGAAAATTCGTTAAACTTTAATCATTTTTTTTTGTTTTTTTTTTTTATTTTTCTTTATTTTTGTTTCTTTTTTATTTTTTATTTTATTTTTAATGTTTTTTTTCGTAATGACAGACGATATATTTAATTATTTATATGAAAAGTACTACTGTTTTTTTAAACAACTTGACATTAATTGTTTTTTTTTGTTTTTTTTTAGATAATAGAATTTTCCATAATACATATTTTATTTTTTATTTTCAAATTTCTGTTTTTTTTTTAAAGCATATTGCTAAATGGGCTCAATGGGCCTTGAAATCTAGCCAGTGTAAAAGTTTTTTATTTTTTTAAATAAAAAAAAAAAATAATTCTAAGATTCTAATTTGGAATTATTATAATTCTAAAATTATCTTACTAAATGGAGCTATTTGGTAATGAATAGATGATTTTCAAGGAAGAACTAGGATAATAGTCCTGTCAATATGCTTTTGAAATTGGAAATTTGTTAAACTTTAATTATTTTGTTTTATTTTTATTTTTTTTTATTTTTTATTTTATTTTCAATGTTTTTTTTATTAATGACAGACGAAATATTTAATTATTCATATGAAAAGTACTACTGTTTTTTAAACAACTTGACATTAATTAAGATAAAAACTGAAAAGTTAAAATTAAATAGAATTTTCCATTATACATATTTTTTTTTTTATTTTCAAATTTCTGTTTTTTTAAAGCATATTGACTGGACTATCACTACTTATAATTAGAGGAAAGGATTAAATTAATGAAAAAAAAATCATTTATTTTATTTTTTTGCTGTTTATTAAAATACATTGCTTAAAATTACAATTAATCATAATTATAAAAATCACATAATAATAAACTTAATTTACGTATGTATATATATATAAATATATGGATGAATATGTATGAAAATGAAAGTACAAATAAAAATCTGGAGGTACAATGATTTATATATTGATGACTGAAGTGATGATTGCTAAATAAAAAAAAAATTGACTCTACAATTGCACAAGTACGACTTGATATGCCATAACAAGGTTAAAAATTATATCACTTTCACAGTACTATTTCTGTTTTAAAATATAATATCATTTATAAGCGTATACAATTGTTGTAATGTTAAATACAAAAAAAAATTCAGCTCTAAAGTCTCATAAAAAAATATATCTATGTAATGTACCAAAAAAATTTACAAGATATATTCAGTATGTTATAATAATGTATAATAATAACACAGTAAAAATTGGCACTCTTTTACATTTTCAAGTCTTAAATAAATAATAAAATGTGTACAAAATCATTGATACTAAAAATTGAAAATCTTTGAATGCTATCACTTGTTCTAAAAAATTCTGTTAATTAATATTAATTACATATGAATATGGATAACATAAAAAAATGGAATTCAATCACAACTAAATTGACATACTTTTTGGCATCATTCATCCGTTTTAAGTTTTTTCACAACCTTCTCATCTGGTTCATCTGATTCAGCAGCTCTAGTACATGTAAGTTGTCTTAAAAATTGTGTAGACTGCGTCTCTAATAATATTTTCGAATTATCTCTTTCTGAATTGGACATAAATTTAGTAACTCCTATTGCTTGATTGAAGTTCTCCATATCGTTGTTGCTAATATAACTAAATATCTGATTAGTACAAAATGCTGGTAATCCAAAAAAGATACTGGATTCAGAACAATTACGAGCAATACTCAACAACTTCTTTCTCCTCAAAGCTTTTGATAAACGATATTTTATAAGATCTATATAAATTGGAAAAGATGTAGAGAGATGAGTTTGCTTTAAAAATAGTTTAATCTTTTCGAGATCAATATGACTAGCAAGAATGTGTATATCAATTATTAACATGTCATGCAAGCAAAAATTAGTGTCTGGAATGTTGGTCATCTGCAAATTTTCAACTTCAGTTTTACATATTAATTCGTAAGCTTCTAAACTAGCGATTTCAATGTCATCATTATATACATCTGTATTTGTATGGTCGTTAATACTGAAACGTACATTTTGAGGATGAATACTCATATGAGCAGTTTTCAGTTTAATAAGATGTTGCCTCAGAATAGACATAATTCTCTTGTAATATCTCAACTTCTTCCAATAAGGAATGTATTGTCTTCTTACTAGTATGTAGTTATTATGTTCATTCCAGTTTTCATGAATATTATTTAATACTTGAGTGAGATCTTGATGAATTTTAACCACTCTTGCATAAATGTACATTGGAATGGTAGGCTTCTGATTGGTGGTAATGTTTATATCAGCTCCATATTGTAATAAAGTTATTACAGTTTTTTCCTGAATTGCAGCAGCAGCATAGTGAAGTGGTGTTTTTCCAAAATTGTCGACAGCATCAATGTGAACATTAAGGATGTTCATAAACTGCTCGATGAGAGTGTGACGTTTTTCTTCAACGAGAGCATGAAGTAATGTTTTTCCTTCTTGAGTGATAAATTTGGTAATTGTTGTCTTTCGGCTCATCAAAAATCGGGCTACTTCTGTAGAGCATTCAGCAGCAACGTAAACAGGAGTCATTCCAAATACATCTACATGATTGACTTTAGCATGATGAGCGAGAAGTGCTTTTACTGCTTTTAAATGTCCTCTTTTACAGGCATAAAAAAGTGGTGTTTTCTTATGGATATCTAAAGCATCAATATCCGCTCCGTATTGTAAAAATAGTTTCAGCACTTCTGCACGCGGACATGCCAACTGATTACATAAAATATGTAATGGTGTTCTATCAGAGTAATCTCGATCATTTGGACAAGTTCCTTTCGTCAACAATAGTTCGATGATTTCAAAGTCTTGACCTGCAGCAGCAAAATGAAGAGCTTTTTGACCATTTTGATTTATCCAATTTATATCTCCTCCATGATTGATTAAAATTTCGATCACCTTGGCACTCCACTTTGAACATGCAAACTGGAAAGGAGTGATATCAAGGGGGTTAAGCTCGTTGACGTTTACTCCATACTTCAAGAGGCGCTTCACGATGGTCGTACTTACTCCGGTTTCTTGAGCTATCACATGAAATGAAGTATTGCCATCGATATTTTTATGATGAACATTCGCTTTATTTTTGAGGAAAAATTCAACCATTTCAATGGAGTTACTTTTCAAGGCGATAAAAAGCGGTGTTTCTCTATCATACCCTTGTGCTTCGATATCGGCTCCATTGTCCAGAAGCAATTGTGCGGCTTGGTACTCAATGCATTGCTTAAATCTTGAAGGTTTTGCTGAAAACAACTGCATTGATCGAATTTCACATGTAGCACACTCATGTAAGAGTGTTTTTCCATTAGCTAGTTTTGCCTCAACATTGAATCCATGTTTGATGAGTACATGAAGGATTTCAAGATGATTTTGCTTGATAACGCGACCGATTAGACTAACGAACTCGGGCTCGTATGAGATGTTTGCTCCATAACTCAAAAGTGTCTCGAGCATTTTCAAATCTGCATTTTCTACAACAATGTATATAGCTGTTTTTCCCGGCCATCGTTCTAATTTTGTTAACATTGAATAACTGTAACATCTTAAGGTACCGGCTTCGATAATGGAATTGACGTCAGCTTTGTTCTTCAGAAGCAATTCTGCCACCTTGTGCTGTTTGTATAAACATGCAGTATGCAAAAGTGTCAATCCAGTTCCTGTATTCCGCATATCAACGTTAAGCCCAAGTGTTAATAACTCTTTCATAATGTATAGATATCCATGTTTTACTGAATCGAAGACAAAGCTGTCATTTTCTTCGCATCCAGACTCCATTTTAAATCCATGTTGAAGCAAAATATTGAGACATGCATTAAATTTTTGGCCTCCAATCAAAACGGCAATTTCGTGAACGCGTCTCTTATCTTTTCCGAGTCTACAGTGAGGAACAATCATTTTAACTATTCCCGGCAGTCCTTTTGAAACAGCCAAATCCAATGATGTATTAAGATTCCTGAATAATTTATTTTTTACTCCGCAAGTAATCAATAGCTTCACAACTGTTTCGGATTTCATGTTAATTGCAATTTCCAATAGTGATTTGAAATTATCGCCGATGTACGCCTTTTTATCCAAAAGTAACTTGATAGCTTTGACATGCAAGAGTTGAACAGCAAGATTCAATGGAGTTTGGCGACGATTATTTTTAGCATAAATGTCGCCTCCTTGATCAATCAGGATTTTCAGAATATCTACATCTTCAAATTTAAGTATTGCCCAATGAATTAGTGAATGTGCCGACTTACGTTTGATGTCTTCGATCATGGTGTTGTTGAGCAATAACTCCTGTGCTTCTTTTTTATTCCTCTTCTTGATAGCATCACGAAGCCGCACATATAAATCACAATTGTCATTCTTCGCCACTCTTTTAGGCATGATGATGATGTAGATTTTTATCCAAATCTATGCAATTTACACTATCATAGAGTATCTATCACTCAAATAGTGTTTATTAATAGTTCAAAAACTACTGAACTTATCACTTCTTGAATTCTAAATCACCTGATGAATAGAACTGGTATGTGTTAGCGTTTTGGCTGCTAATTCGTAACTGAATTGTCATTTTTGACAATTCAAGCGGCTTCCTTGCTACTCCCACTAATTCCCACTCCTACCCCAAGAGGCCCAAATGTCGACACATGATAGGTCGATTTTTTGGGGCTGAATCCCTCGCTCTTGGGCCTTCATCCCTACCATCAGAGAACAAGGTACGTAGGTGGAAGGGGAATCGTAGGGTCTTTGCATTTGTATTTTATCTTTCATCCCCAATATGGCGGAAAAAGGAAATATCATGGTAAAATTATCCATAGAAGTAAAACTGAAAAATTGAGCCTGAAAATGGCCATCCTTGCAAAAACTTTACTTTGTCAGATATCATTTTCATCGATGGACCTAGAAAATAAAGGCTAGAGAACAAAGTGCCATTTTTTTCAATTGGAAAGACAGAAAATCGTCGCATAAAAAAAGTATACAAACCTTGGAAAAAAGTGAATTATCACTAAATTTATACATGGTCTGTAAAAATCAACTTCTCTCCTATGGTGTTGATATACCATTGTATTATATACTTTCATATTAATGGTATACATACTTAAAATACATGAAAAATTCCTTAAAACAGCAAAATTATTAATTAAAAAAAGCTCGGAAAAGAAACGAACGTCAATTCTATGCATTCGAACGATTGGAAAAATTAAGAAGCACCATTTTGTTTACTATCGGTAATAAGAATTCCTAAGGTAAAGTAGATTTCCAAAGCTCATATAGATGTTTCTGTTACCAACAAATGTACAACTGACATTCACACTATCTAACGGTCGAAATGTAAAATGTTTGTTAGTAATGTAAAAATATGTTATTTAGTTTTACACTCAATGTTTTTATAAAATTCATAAGAATAACATCTTCATTAAATTATTACAAATCAAAAGATAGAATACTGAATGATTGGTAAGTTTGTATATTTTGAATATTGATGTATTTCTTGTTATATATCAAAAAGAAAACCGTATTTATTATAAGGCAAATTGTTTTAGGTTATTTTTCAGATAAACACCATTTCATAATCATTAAAAATAATTACTGAATAATTAGTAAATGCAGAAACGTGGACCAATGTGGCTCAAAAAAGAAACGAGAGCAATGCTTAATATCATAAAAGATAATAATCTACTGAAACGTTCTCTATCAGACTCTGAATTAGTGCAAATATTGGTGAAATTAATGAAAGAAAGGGGTTATGAAAGGACACCATTGCAAATTAGAATGAAGTTAAAAACATTAGAAAGAAACTATTTTTTATGTAAAAGAAGAACGTTTGATACAGCGGCGTTAAAACAATTTTCTCACTACAATATTTTAAATGAACTTTATTCTAGAAAAAGAAAAAGAGACAATGAAGAATCAGATGGTGGTATAATTTCTGATTATAATGATGACAATTCAAATATTTGGCTTGCTGAAGAAATTCAAAAAATGATGTCTATAATAGAAGAAAGTAATTTAGCATCGGATTTATCAGATGGCTTTACTCTTTTTGCTTTAAGAATTATTAGTGAAGAATTGATGAAGGCTGGATACGAGAAAGATGTCGAACAAGTTGAGACTGCATTGACGAGTCTCAAAATGACATACAGAAAGACTCAAGAAGCTTTAAAGAATGATATTGATACAGAGGTTTGTCCGTATTTTGATTCTCTACAAAAAATATGGGGTACTGATACTCGAATGGAGAATAGAAATAATAATTTAATTATGGAAGATATGTCAGAATCAGAAAAAATTTCACCTGATAATAGTCAAATGCTAGTTGATACTTCTAAATCTGATGACGAACATATTGAAAAAAGGAACGGGCATCTAAGTGGTTCTGTTAGTTCAATTAATTTAAAAAATGGTGATTCACTGTGTTCAAAATGGTCGGAAGATGAAACATTAGCGTTATTGTCAGTGATTGAAGAAACAGATGTATTCGATGATTTTATACACAATCTATCAACTTCAACAACTACTAAATTGATGGAAGCATTTAATAAAAGAGGGTATAATCGTACTGTTGAAGATGTAACAAAAAAATTGAGATATCTACGAGATACCTATTTAAGAAGTCTCTTGAATGGCTCAAATAAAAGTGAGAATTCGCAATACAATAACAAAATTGACAATATGATAGTTATTAAAAAAGTAAACGTTGATAAAGCATTACAGAATTTTGATACAGAATATAATATTGATCATAAAATTCGCAGTGATCATAATTACATGAGCCTTGCAAAAAAGAAATTACATGAAAAACTGGGCTTGACACCTAGCGAATATAGTGGAGGTAAGAAATATTTATTCTATTTATAGTCTATTCAAATATTTAAATAAACTGAAATAATTATTCTTTTTTAGATAATGAATTTCAACCTGATCCATACGATTCTGATGTTAAAATAGTTGAAGAAATACGTCCAGCACAAGAAAATATAAAGAAAAATCATTTTCAAAATAACGTTTCAAGTTCAACTGAAAATAATGCATCTTCTAAACAAAAAACTAATTTTCTTATTACAACGCCAATTCTTATAGCAAAACCTATACATCCGAGTGAAATAGATTCAAAAGATAAGATTAAAACATCACCAGGTATATATAATGAAAATTCTAATAATTTTCTAAAAATGATGGCTGCTCCTTTACCAACCAAGTTGATTAAACTTGTAAATCGTGATTCAGGAGTTATTGTGGAACGGATATCGTCTTCACAACCACCAGGATTAGTTTTTATCCCACCAATTACTACTAGTGCAACCACACAAAATGTCAACTGTACGCCACAAACTACTATTGCTAGCTCAGCTGCATCTAGTTCACAAAAAACAACTACAAAGCCACAAACAATACCTCTAAAGACTAAAATTAATATACCTATTATTCATAATCCTCAAAAAGTTGCTATTCCAATAGCAGAATATAGTACAAAAACCATACCGATTACAAATGCTATACCTGTTAATTCTGAAACATCTAAATCTACGCTTGAGTCAATTTTTAAACATGAAGAACAGTTACAGCAACAACATCAAAAGTGGATGGAACAGCAATTTGAGATCCAAAGAAAATATGATCGTGATCAGCGGGCAGTTTTATTGCATGAATTACGAGAACTCAAAAAAGTGTTTATCCAGGCAATAGCCAAAAATAATTTTATTTCTAATTCAAAAAGTTAAAATTGTATTTAAGTTAGATATATAAGAAAATTTTTCAGTAGTGTGCATCGGATAAGAAACAAGGCTGTACAAGAATAAAGTTTAAAAAAAATATCCTAGATATATTTGTGACAAAAACTAATGGAAGATAAAATAGATTTCTATTTCTACTAATAAAAAATTTTATATTAATTATTAATTAATTACCTTAAATTATAAGAATTACTTTTAAATATATGTTCATCATTTTATTATTTATATTACTCCAAATTTCATCTAATTGCATTCGTTTAAATTATTATTTTATTTTTTTCTAAGTTGTGCTAATACAAATGTACATTCAATAGTTAATAGTTAATACTAAAAGTATCAAAGACATCTGATTTTAATATTAATTAAGGATCAATTTATATATAAAACTGTTGCATTTTTTAAGAGAAAAGAAGTTTTAAAAAAGCTTTATTTTTAATATGATAATAAAATTCAGTTTTATTCAATTAAATAATACTCTATACTTCTTTTTGAAATATTCCACTTCAATATTATTACTACTTTAAATGAAAAAAAAATATTTTGTATTTTTCTGTTGATATTTCTAACTATCACTACAACTGCTTCAAATCTTTACGTTGTACATGTAAAATAGGTGAATCCATCTGCTTGCTTAACACAATAGTCTCTATTGTAAACATAGGCAAAGCAATGAAGTTAATTAGCACATAAATTCCTACGGTTTGTATTTTCTTTCATAAACATTCAGCGAAATTTCCGAATCTATTTCTATCGGGTTGAATGTAAATAGGAAAGTTAAAATAATAAGAAAAGTTAAGACTGACGATGGGGTCTTGTACCTTAGTTAACGAGGAAGAAAGATAAAATATAGACAACTCTGAAGCCACTGAAATGGTGTTATGAGAATTATTCTGGGAGTGAAGAGGGTTTTCCAGTGAGTTGGACTCGTTTAAATGATTGAATTGCTAAGTTATGTATCTTTTCTGGCAAATGTTTACCTGAAGAAAAAAAATAGTATATTTATTAAAGACGTAATACCTTAACTACTTAAATTAATGAACGCATTCGTAGTTGACTTGTGTGATTAGAAAGGTCAGTCTTTTCATAAATATTTTTATTTTGTAGAAGAGAAAGAAAACAGGAAGCATTGACGTTTACTGCTAACAGCCTCAATCAATCTTGTAAACATCATTCGAAAATCAAACTAGGTAACATGAATTTTGGGTTGCTTCAATTATTCATAAATGTATTGATTTGATGTCATATTACTGGTAGAAAATGTTTCAATAGCAAACAATGAAGGACTAAATACCAACTTAATTGTAGTTGTATCAACAATAAACATTAATACTAATGTTTCTTTCTCAAGTAATCTTTTCTTGTGTTATTTATATTAGGGTCGTTTATGGAATTAAAAAGTTTATGACTTTCTTGGTACAAGAACAACTTATCCAATTCATTAATTTGAAAGTTTCATTGTTAATTAAATGTTCTAACCCAACAATGAATTGCGATAAACTAGCTTATGTAGTTTGAAGCCCACCGTAGAAATTGTAAGGCTTTTAGCTGTTACGTTGCTGATTATGAGATGAAATCAATTTCTTCTAGCTTGGTAAAATTGAATATTGTTTTCATTTAATGAAAATAAAAATTTATAAGACCAAATAATAAACTTGAATTTCTGTTGAATAATAACACAGGCCAACGATAGAAAAATTTTTCAGTAACTTGAGTTAATTTCGGTGTAAGTTGGTGTACTGATTCTGAAAAAAATAATGAAAAAGTTGTATCACTCACCAATTTTCTACAGTTCAATATTAAATAAAAATAATTTGTATTAATTTTTAGCTATGTAAAAAACTTTAAAGCAAAAAGGAAGTGTTCATTAATGCCTTTCATGTATCTGATGAGGAATTACCGACTGAAATATATTTTTTTTTTAAAGTTTCCGATCATGAATTTTTTCAACATGGTTCATATTAAAAAATAATTCACCTAAATAATGAAATTAAAATATAAACAATTAAAAATAGTATTAATTTTTTAAATTAGGATTATTTTTAAGATCATAGTGAATAATTACCAACAAAATATTGTTATAAATGACTTGATATAATAAAACAATTGTTTATTATTCAAAATAATAGCAAGTCGTTAAAAAAACTAAAAGTTGACAAGATTAAGGTAAATTAGTTGAAAAAGTTTTCACAAACATTTCTTTTATTGGCTCATGTAATTCAAGAGCCAAAATTGTATTGAAGTTTTATAGAATTACTTTTAGGAGAGGATTTGATGGAGTTTTGATTTACAATCTCGAACAATCTTGAAGTCTCATCAGCGAATATAGAAATCCAAGGTAAGTGAAATTTATTGTTGTTATTTTGTTTGTACTTTCAACAGATATTCTGGGATAAAGCCAAATTACCGTGTAATAATGTATTAATGGTTAACTCGCAGTATGATGTGCTTCAACAATAATTAAATGGGTATGTTCACTATGTGATTTGGTCTTGTGGTCACGTTGGACTGGTTGCTAATTATTGAAACGTGTGACGATCTATCCTGCTAGACAAACAGAATAAGCTTTTGTATAATAATTAAAGAGAAATGAACGGAAATCGATTTCAATCAGCTGTTAGGTTATTATTAACGATCATATTGGTCTTACATTTCATTTGATCAATTATTCAATAGCTGAAACAGACGAAATATTAAATAACATCTTATATATTTATTTCCGACATAATAAACCAACAAACAAATTTATTTTTGAATAAGTATAAAAAATTATGATGTGGTTCGACAATAAAGGTCATTTACAAAGTATCAGCGACCAATAAACACTTGTGTTGAATGTTGAATAGTCAATTACATGACGAATTATGTATGCATCAAACATGTGTTTTATTTAAAAAAAAAAAAACTATCTTATCTCAAGAAGATAAATTATTTTTGCGAGAGATCCCCAGTTGACGTCATTTGAACTTCTGGGTTTAGATCTTTTGATAGCATTGATGATTTCAGAATTTTTGTTTAAAGTCAAACAGTATGTACTTCAAGTCAATTTGAAGAGAAAAAGAGGTTAAACAATACATTCACTGGTTCCAATAGAGTCAGTTATAATATCTAAAGTCTCATTTTATTTTAATTTTTTTCCAAAAATAATTTCTTATGAAACTGAAGTTGAACATGAAAGTAATTACACTCTTAATCAAATTATTTATTAAATTTCCTTATATAAAATATACTTATCAACCAGATACTTTAAAGAAAGAAGACTAATTTTTATTATTAATCGTTGCTTTAGCATTAATTGTTTAATTAATTGTGATGTTAATTCTGAAAATTATTCAGAAAAGAATATAACCTATAATGTATTGAAAATTTTTTGTTAAAATGAAAATTTTTCCTAACGTCACAGTAAATAAATTAATGAATGAATAATCTAGACTAACAGACAGACACGGAATAGAAATCTTTTACGTTTTAAAAACTGATTGACATTGAAAGCATTAATAATTATTTTGATTAACAAGCTTTGATTTGAATAATAAGAAACAATTTATTGCATTTGGAGTTTAACTTTTCTTCAGTCTTAACCTTTCTTATCAACCCAAAAGCAATAATAAATTGTTTTAAATTTAAAATTTAATTAATCAAGGCCTAAAAATGGTCTTTTTGAAGTAAATTTTAAATAACACATTATCAAGTTTGATTGTTTACTATCATTCATTTATATTTATTAAAGCCGAACATAAAAAAGTTAATAACATTAAAATATAAAACGCATTTGTTTTTGATATTCAATGTAAACAGATCAATAATTGAAGAGTAAAAAGTTTATTGCTATCATCACACTTGACCAGACCTGATGATAAATAAATTTAATAAAATCTGAAATCAGAGACTCCAATTACAAAATGAAATTGACTTCATTCATCAGCTATTATAATTTAAATGTATTAAGAAAGATTTAATTTTCTATTACATAAGTAAAATATTCGTGACCAATTCTAAATGAATTGAACAAAAAAAATGCTAAGAATGAGATACATATAATTATCTTGCAATAAAGAGTGAAAAAGATGTACATAAATGAATGGTTAAGATTATAAATAATTAGTAGTTTAATTATAATTGCAACAATCTACTTCAATTAATCGTTTAATAATAATACGATAAAGTTCCGTATACCCAAATGGATTGCGTGACAACTTTACAGTTAAGGGCGCGGTTTGGCTTTTGAAATATATCAGTTCCCAACTATTGTGTATGCATGCATAATCTCCAGGAAATAATTGACCTAATTTTTTGTATTGTGAATCTTCCTAGATCTTCTACGCAACAATAAAAGGAATCTTTTTATTGAGTATGATAAAATGATAACATTCAACTCAATTATTTTTATCTAAAAGACACAAATTTTCCACTAGTGTTTTATTAGGCTTATTATATTATCCTCGACAATAGAAATGGAAAATTCATAAATCCATCACAACAGTAAACATTAATAAATTATAATTTAAATATTAAAAAGTCCCAGGATGATGAACAATTTTAATTAAATTGTCAAAGCACCTTTTCGTTGGTGAAAATGTGTTGAAGTGTGTAATATAATAATAATTTTTTTATTCCCACTATCTTTACAATCTCATAAGAGTGATATAAGACTTGTATTACAGGTTATCATCAACAGTAAAGTCATGCTGAAAGTGAATATTAGAAATTTAGAATCTTCATCAATGTCATTTGGAGTTGGTACACAGAAGCAAATATTTTTTATTGCATTTATGATGACAGTATACACACGAGGAGAAAAAAACATAAAACGAATGGGCAAATCAATTGTAGATGAGGTTAAGACTGATCACGTCACATTCCACAAACAGTTGTGCCAATTTAAGAGGGCAAGACAATTGAATAGCAACGACAAGTATCACAGTTGGGGGGCTTCACCAACAATTCAATGTATCTCTTCAACATTTATCCGGTCGTTGTCGGACATTGTTGTTATCAAGATATTCCGGATTTTAACTGACCTGCATATTAAGAACGATGGACCGAGTACGATGACATTAGTAAACCGGTTCCCATAATCCTCTCTGGTTATTTTGATACGTAATCATGAGTTTACTAACCTATCTTTACGCCTTGGTAAATAAATTACATTTATTTTTGTTCAGCTGAATATGATAAAGATTAAGAAATCTTCTATTTTAGCTGCAGACATTTGTCTGGTATATTAATACTTGAGAAAGAATCCTTTCTACTTAATTAATTGTCTGGTTAAAATTTTTTATTGCTGTCTAGATTATGCTGTTAGTTTACAACTAA